TGTGGCATGAGAGCAAGTCAGAGCTAAATCAAGAATGTAGATAGAAAATCATCACGAATATGTGAAGTGGTCCAGAGCGCCACCCAAGTAGTTATGCCTTTACACCATCTATTCTTGAAAAATCACTTTGACAACTGTTTGTTTCATTGGTTCAGATTTTGAAAAAATTAATCTTATGTGATGACTTCTTAACATCTGTGCTTTTGATATTTTCATCCCCAAAGAGAAAGAGATTCTAAAAATAAAATAAAAAGTACCGAAAAGATAATTTTGCTCCGAAGAAACTTGTGTACAAGAAAAGAAGAGCCATTGAAAAATGACCATTAACTCTAGAATAGACAAAATCTTCTCTATTCTTAATGTTTCATTATCATCTCTCTTATGAAAAGTTTTTTTATTTATTTAATTTTTTGTACAGTAGAAAGCATGAAAAAATAGTGGGAAAAAAAGTATGAGAGCATATATGAGAATCATGCATAGGAGGGTGTGATTTGTTATGTGATTTGGTATTTATATCACACACTCAAAAGTCTCACACAATACATCATTTAATGAAATACATTAAAATTAAAGGTTTTTTAGGTTTTAGACATAAAAAAAATTTCACTTTTGGAAAAAGCCAAAGCTTTTTCAAAAAAGACAAAAAAACCGTTCAACTTTCAAATTAAAGACATGCAAATGTATTGGATTCCTTAGGAAATCTAAAAATAAATAAGGGCATTTTTGTCCATTTTTGCTTCTTTTAAAATTTTTCTCTCTCCTTTTGCTTTTTCCAAAATGTCCCTAAAATTAATAAGTTTTTTAATACCACGATACTTTTTCTTATCTTTTAAAAGTCCTAATTGAATACCACCAGACTTTTATTGATTACTTAAAAATCTTAACTGAATACCGTTATGCTTTTAAGCTTCAAAACAATCCATTAAAATCTCAATTGAATACACCCTACCCCAAGTGCAAATCGGGACTTAAATCTCAAGTTCAAGTCGAGACTTAAAGGGGGTGTATTCAATTGAGATTTTAAAAGACTATTTAAGGATATAAAAAATCTAGTGAATTTAATTAGAATGTAATGAATTATAGGATTTTATTGATGGATTTGTATAATTAGGATTTTTAACATTTGGATTTTAAAGAATATATCATAAGATTTGAAAGGACCACATGGATTTATATCATAAGATTTATACCTGCACCTGACTAAATAGGGCTACAGCCCAAACCAAAATTTGAAACTTTTGTAAATACCTAGCCCGATAGATATAGTGAACCCAAAATTTCATACCCTTAAAAATAATAAATAATAAAATAATAAAATAAAAAAAGGTAGCCCATGCATTATCCATAACTACAGCAGCCGACCTGGACAAAAAGGTGTTTGCTCCCAAGTTGTCGTTTGATATTGATGTGTCATTTTATGGGGTTAGAAGAATACATTTCCTTCAAGGATGAAAATAAGAATAACATTCATGGTTACAATAGTGCACTCCCATGGATGACAACCAACATAAATAAAAGCATAGTTCCATCTCTTGAAAGGAACAAAATCGATGTGGAGACTTTTAACTAATCCCCCCAAGTGTGCAGCTCATAAGATATGATTGTCTCCCTACGATAACAAAATAATGTTACACTAAATTGACTGGAAAATAACAATAACATTGATTTGATGGCATCAAAAAGACAATTTTGGAGTTCCAAATCATTTAGTTTGATGAATGACAGTTTGCATAAGGTTTCAACTTGGCTACGTTACATCACTCGAAGGATAATGCTTGCAGAAAATAAAAACAAGCACAATAAACAAGGTTGAACTGTGAAACCATTGACTGGGTGAAAACCATTGAGTGATGATAACCATGACTTAACTCCTACTCCTGTTTCAAGCCCAATTTAAACACCAGACATGCACCGTGAACACAGACACAATGAAATTTGAAAACTAGAAGATAATCAACGTACCTCTATTATCCTCATGACATCTTTCCCAATTAGAATGATCCCTTAAAATTGAAAAAAGAATAGGTAAGTTTTCAAGGATTTTCTTAAACCAACAAGGCAAGAAGATCAGCACAGCATGATTTGAAGGAAGAAGTACCTTGTCCACGAAGAGCTCAATGCATGTCTATTAATCTCCTCTAGCAGACAAAAAATTCTCATGTGAAAAGTCAGATAGATTAGGGTGGGATTTGAGATAGGGTTTGGTATTTGTACCTCCCACTAAAAAGTCTTACACAATTCCACATTTAAAAAAATCCTTCTAAAATTAGCAAGTTTTTAAATACCATAAGACTTTTTGTTACTTGTTTAAAGTCTTGATTGAATACTGTTAATGTACGCATTTTGGGTTTTTCTTTTGGCTTCCCTTGACAATTTTGTAATATGATTTTTATTATTTTTATCAAGCTCAAGTTTTAGATTAAGAATAGCCTCTCTAGGTGTTCTTAACTAACAACTATCCTATGGAGGTTCAAGTAAATTGTGCATTACATCACATTGCATTAAATTGATTTCATAAAATGATGACTAGTCATCTGTTTCTCGTATGACTAGTCATCTTTGCTCTGTAGGAATTCCAGCTGGATAACCAAGTTTTTTGTCCTATTCTCATTTCTCTCTCTGCTGCCTTGTACGATTCTGACCTAGGAAATTTGGGTAAAAACGCTTGCATTCCTCATTTGGCAGCCGTATCTTTTGGGTGGAAGTTTTGGAAAGTTTTGCTTGCCATTTTTCTCTTCTTCTTCCTCAAGAGAAAACCATATTTTTCATCTATGAGTTTTTCCAAATTGATTTCTTTTTGAAAAACTGCATTTGAAATATGAATCTGCATCTAGCTATTTAAAACACTCTATCATCTATATCTATGTTAGATTCAAGACTGATTTCTTCAAGAGTATGGTTTCTTGAAGAAATTGGTCATTCTCCTTTGAATCCAAATTTTGGTTTCTGTCTGAATTAGAGCTTGCAAGCTGGTGCCATGGGATGAATGAGCTGGAGAATGAGTTGTCATTGCCATGAAAAACTGAGCTTCAAGTTTTGCTAAGTTGGAGAAGAAGATTGCACAAATGAGGTATAGCTCATCTTCCTAAATAGATCTAGGTTTTTCTTGAGCCTGCTTGTGTTCCTTTGTAAGAATCTTTTTCTACTTAGTGGATTGCCTGGTTGGTTGATGACCCCCAGTTTTTCCCAATGGTGGGTTTCTGGGTGAACAATTTCTGATTTGCATCTCTGAAATGTTTCTAGGTTTGTGTTCTTGGTGGTTAACTAGTCATCATATGAAATTCTAGGTTTGTGTTCTTGTAGTTGACTAGTCATCATTATCTGTTATTTGGTGTTTACTTGATTATGATGATTTCACACACTTTCACCATAGTTGTTGCTAGCACAGGTGATGCCTAGATTGACGGGTCCTTCTGAGTGCCTAAGTTGTCACTAGTAGTCTTCTAGGGTTGCAGGTACATTGTGGCATGCTCTGTGTGTATTCTTGATTGTGGTTGTTCATGACTAGCAGTTGACTAGTTATAAGTGTATTTGGTCAAGGTCTAAAGTATGTGAAGATTGTTGCGTTTAAGTGTCATAAAATTTACCCCTCGTCACCTAAGTACCAATTTCAAATACAACTAGATTTTGACACTCTCTTTTAAAAATTATAATAGTCTTAAGGCAAAACGACAGTTGTAGTCTCTATAGTTTCCAACTTTTACCACTAAAGTCCCCGTGGTTTCAATTTGGTCACTTTTGCCACTGTGGTTTAGGATTCTAAGCAATTCGAGGGCACTTCTCAATTTCCGTCGGATTCCTTTTAGTTTTGTTAGGGCCTAAGCACGTACCCCTCACATGAAGGGGCATTACGATCAAATCGAGCCATCTTATAAACCCGAAACACTGGCTCAGCCTTACCCATTCGAATTAGGCGATTTTGGGGGAAGTTTGGGAGATGTCAAACTCTAGCCAAGTTCCAAGGTGTCAATTTTGTAATGGCGAAATGAGATTGAGAATCTCCAAGACATATAGGACTCGTGGGAGACGTTTTTGGAAATGCACTAAATCTTATGTAATATGCAAATTTATTTTTGTCAATTTTTGGGTATAAATGATGAATCTGGTTTTTGTGTTATTAATTTTGGAATTGTGCTATGCATGGAACACTTCATTGTGCTGGATTTATTTGGGATGATGAACCAGTTAGATTCAATCAAGCAAGTAGAGAGAATGAAGCAGTGAGAGGAGGTGAAGGCATTAATGGCTGCTTGGAAGATTAATTGCAAAAGCCCAAAAGGTTGTAAGACTCTACTGTAAATTCCCTAAATGGAATTAAGGATTTGTTGCTGTTGATTTGTGGATTTCTACTATTAATTTCGGTATCGTTGATAATGATTGTGGTTATGAAGTTGGTAAAAATTTGAAAATTGGCACCATTCCCATCTGTTATGTATTCTAAATGTTGTAATGTGTAAATTGAATGTTGTAGTTCTTTTGGTTTCGAAATTTGCAAGGAATGTGGAATGGAAGCTTTATTTTGATTCAAATCGCCTTATACAATTGACATTTGTTTCAATTGAAAAACTTGACAATTTCATGTTACAATTTCCTGCTTACTCATTTGATACAACAGAACGCTAAATACTGCTAACAATCAATCTACTGCTCCTATTCAATTCCAAAAAGAGTCATTTCAATTCCAAAACAACTTCAAAATGCTATTACATAACAAATGTTCCAGCAACTAAAAAGCTTCAGAATGTTAACAACTGATATCACATTCAAAACATGCATCAATTCAAAATACTTTTACATTTGAAAGGTGCAACAATTGAAAGGTTAAGCACTTCAAATTCATAAGGTCTAGTAACTGAAAGGTCCAGCACTTCAAAATACTTGTATATTCCCAACTTCAAATTACATTCCCAACTTCATTACTTCACAAAATAGTCAAGAATATGAATATGTTTCACTTCAGTTGGATTTCTAATTTATTCACTTCCTTGGTGCTTTCCTGGTCATTTCCATGGAGCACTACTGCTAACTCCCAACAGTCTTGGACCTTGGCTTGGAGTTGGATGCACATAAGCAGATGGATTCACAAAGACATAAGCGGTTGGATTCACAGAGGCAGAGGCAGATAGATTCACAGAACTCGATACACCTTGCTACAAAGTTGCATGTGATGAGCTTTTCTTGATCTGCATGAAAGAAAAAAAAAAAAAAAAAAAACAAAAAAAAAAAAAAAAAAAAAAAAAAAAAAAAAAATAAGGTTTATAATATACATCATAATTGGTAAAAAAATTTGCAAAATTATGAAATGAAACTCACAGGAAGCTTTCTTCTTTGCACATTCATTTGAGAACCTCTTGCATTCATTTCATACCCTCTTAAATTCATTTCAGAACCATATGCATTGGTTTGAGAACCTCTTGCATTCATTTGAGAATCAAATGCATTGGTTTGAGAACCAAAGCCTCTCTTTTTCTTTAAAGGATACCCAGTTTTCAATTAATAAAATGAAGGAAAAGAAAAAAAATTTGACCTAAAAAACAAAATTTGATGTTAACAACTAATAAAGTGAAGGAAAAGAAACTAAAACAATTAAAAAAAAAAAATTGAAACACCTAAAAAAAAGAAACTGAAACAACTAGGCTTTACTTGAGAAATGATCCTTCAAGTGGCACTCATCTACTCCAATGATGGGTCTACAACCAGTAAGAAAACCCTTTTTGCATGCATCAAGGCATACATAAAGCCTTTGAAAAAGTGGAGGAAGCTCCACCCTTATCTTCATTGTGCTTCCAACATTAGTTGCTCTGACCTCATCACAATACTCTCGTAACCTTAAATATTGCTTCTTATAAGTCCTTTATATTATCTCATTGGCCTTGTTCTTAACTCTTGCACATTGAATATCGGACACATTATACTCTAAGTCCCTCTTCACTACTTTCCTCAAATGCTTACACTTTATATCATGCTCATCCATGATACGATCTATGTACTTATGAGCAATGAACACACAGTTCACAAATGGGTTAGTAAAGTTTCGATGACAACTGTGCTTATCAATAAATGTCTTGATTAGCAGGGTTTGCTCAAGTTGCATAAAAGAAGCATGCATTTTCCACGTGCAATTTTTACATTGTGGAGTTATCCTCCTCTTATAATTTTTCACAAATTTAATATGACAATTGCCTTACACTGCATAATTTTTCATAGCTTTTTTCAAGTCTTCCTTGCTTCCAAATAACATTCCCTTCTCAAATTTAGGGTTATCCAAATCAGACTTACAAAACTCTGGAATTTTTCCTTCTTTCACCTTCCTCATATGAAGAGTAATTAGGAGAATCAAATTTTTACTCAGAGTTTGTACCACTGTCTTCTTCACAAGCAGCAGGCACAAAATCTTTAGGGAGATAAGTATTTCTTACTCTCCCAAAGTTGAACTGAAGATTTACATCAAATTCGTTGTTGTCATCTAGAGCAGCATCATTGTCACTCTCATAAATCTTCTTATCTGATTCATCAACACTATCTTCAAATTCTAATCTTCTTCTTATACCATCAATATCAGTGTCTTCTTCAATACTCTCTTCTTCACTATTTTCTTCTTCATTACCCTCTTCATTGATGACATTTCCAGCCAACTTTACAGGAACCTCTACAGTTCCTATATTAGGCACTTGTTCTACATATTCTTGGGTCAACTATGACTCACAATTAAAAATCTCATCAAAAAATGCATCTGGAACATCATCAAATGCTGCATTATAAAGCAATTGGGGTGGCCTAACATCTGGAAAATTTTAGCATAACCAAATAAGAACAAAAAAGCAAACCATGCATATTGAATATTTTATGTAAATAAATAGAGACACTATTCTTCCTAAAGCCTTTAGTAGTGAAAACATGCACGGAACCATTGCCTTTACTTCCTGTTCCAACAAAAAAAAAACCTTCACTTCCTAAAGTCTTTACTTTCCCACCAACTATTCCACTAAGAGACAAACTCAACCCAGTACAAAAGGCTACAAATCAAGGATAAGAAATAACACTGTAGACAATTGAAAAAATAAAGCATTGAAAGCAACAAACACTTTAACCATTGAAAGCCCTTATATCAAATTAAATCTAAGTTAAATAATCAAGCTCTTTCTAACCTGGTTTGTTCAAGCTTCCACTGCCTTCTCTTATGCTCTTCGTCATTTTGGTTGTGTAACCAGCTCCTTCAATCAATTAACTTTTACGCACATATGATAATTTTTTAATTAAACCATAAAAGGCTCAAAAGAAATCCCTAATTTATGTTTAAGGATTCGAGCCTTTGTGTTTTCTTTCTCTGGAGTAAGAAGAATGAGAATGTTGGGTTATTTTAGGGGCATGCGCTATGAATTGCAAGGGATTGTACCTTAATGCCCCTCCACTTATTCAATAACTAACAACAACTAACTAAAAGGAATTAACGAAAATTGAGAAGTGTCCTCAAATTGCTTGGAATCCTAAACCACAGTGGCAAAAATGATGAAATTGAAACCATTATTGGTAAAAGTTGAAAACCACAGGGACTACTAGTGTCGTTTTGCCTATTCTTAATGGAATACCACAAGACTTGTTTAAATTATTTAAAAGTTTTAATTGAATACCACAATACTTATTTATTCCAAAATAATATTTTAAAATATCAATTGAATATACCCTCGTAAAATCATGTAATTGCAATATATTAAAATCATAAGAAAATCAAATAATTATAAATTCGGCTGAAATCCATCATGTTAAAATCATGTAATTACAATATATTAAAATATCGATTGAATACACCCTCCACACCCAAACAGGGACGACTTTATTCCACGCGATCCTCACGTGTTGGTCGAACCCAGAAATTTCAGTGAGAGAGAGGAGGAAGAGAGCAAAGATGGAGAGAAAGGCAGTGAGAAGCGAAGCGATGGAGAGCATATCGGAGAGGCTATCGTCAATGGAGGGCCTCTACTTCCCTCGTGCCTTACACTCCAACACCGTCAATCCCTCCCAGCGCAAGGCCATACTCCTTGACCTCCTCTCTCGCGACGTCGCTGTTTTCCTAGGTACCCCGATTTATCTCTCTCCCACTCTCGGAGCTTTCTATGTTGGTATATTCTAACCCAGAAAGTTTTCAATTAGGGTTTTGAAGTAAAACCCTGACTTGATGATTGGTTTCTGGACAAATTTAGTGTAAAGTTGAAAAGATGAAAATTGTTCCTTTCGTTTTCGAGAAGATTAAGGAGAAAGAAGGAAGATTGTTTAGGTTTAGCTCAAAAAAAGCTCAGCTGCGTTTAAAACCACTGAAAGGAGATTTTTCTTTTTCTTTCCACAATCCTCTTTATTTGTATGCTGAGAGAACTGAGCAGAAAAGGATAAAGAATCTAACTTTGAAGTTGACGTGTTTCTCGAGGTTCTTGCTATTGTTAATCTCACTTAAGCAAGCCAAAGCAAAGACTCTTATGAGTAATTAGCCTCAGGTTGAGTCCATACTATCATTGTTTGAGGATTCGAATGACAGGAAATATAAGATGCCAAAATGTATGTTGATTGCTATGCTGCAGTGCTTCCGATTCATTGAAAATTAGGCAGAACTATTTCTTTGTAATCTAACAGTTCAAGTTAAATTCATTTCCATTTTTGCTAATACCCTTTTCTTGATTTGTTTTTTCAGAACGCTATGGATCGAAATTGACTTTTGATGAGCTCCAGGAGTTTGACGTGCTTAAAGATGATTATGAAATCAATTGGCATGTGAATCATCTTAGAAGTTTAATGAGCCCAACGTCAGATGAATTGAAGTCGAGGTCAGTTACAGTCAAGAACCGGAGGCGAGCGTATCTGAATAAACTGATATTTGATGGGCATTATTTCTCAGAAGATGCCATGAGGGAGAGGGAGCCATACTTGCATCACGAGTATGTAGGGAAGTTTCAGGATCCGATTGGAAGGAGCATGGCCAGACCTGGGGAGAGGTGGTCAGACACGTTGTTGAGGAGGGCAGAGGAAGCAATTTTGGTTGCAAAGATTAGAAGGGAGCAGCAAAGGTTGGGTGTTTCTGAGAGTGATTGGGTTGGTGGTGAGAGAAACCAGCAAGAAGAGCAAGAAGAGGAGGAGGAGGAAGAAGAAGAAGAAGAGGAAGAGGAGGAGGAAGAGGAAGAGGAAGAAGAAGTTAAGAAGGCTAACAGGGGCGCACAATCTGCAGAGGTAACTTATTAAACAATTAAAAGTTATTCTTGCAAAATTAAAGAAGTATTGTTGGCTGACTGCCACATTCTATATTCTATGTATATTTCAATATTTGTGCTGACTGCCACATTCCATGATAAAACATGAAAACAATATGGTGATAGTGATTGTGATTGTCTGCGTTCTCTGTTGAATTTTGGAGTTTTGTCTGGTGAGATATGTAATGACCAAAAACTAGTTCATAATTTATACTTTTTAAAAGAAGTGGGTTATGATGAGAATCAATGGCTATTACATAAGATTTCAGATCCCTCTCTCTTACTTTGGTTTTCTTCTATCACTGTAGTGACAAAATATCTGCTGCCTTATGGAAGAACACCTTGATTGCCTTATCCCTAGAATTCGAGTTGGATTCTAAATAATTATTGAAAAATAGACAAGGGTGAGGAAGTGGTGCTACAAGTTACTTTTGGTTTTATTTTTTATGTCAGTGGTCTATCCAGTGAGCATCACTGTTTTCATTCTAATACTATGTGCTATACTGATGAAACTTTAAAGTTATAGTAATCTCAACCAATTTGGTGAAAATGCTTTTTTTTAATGTTTTGTTCTTTGGTTCTTGTATGATTTAAATGCTTCTAATGATTTAGATATCTACTTGGCTCTTGTTAGTTGCTACAACATAGCTTGCAGGTTGTTCTAACATTTTTAGTTTGCCTTGTCTCTTATAGATGCTTATGGATCATCCAGATGCACCCAATGGTGCTCAAACTGGGGATCGTCTGGATGCGCCCAATGGTGCTCAAACCGTCACAGAAGAGCGCAGTGAGCAAGCAACTGTATCTGCAGCAGAGTTGCAAGATCAGATGGATCAGTTCACCCACATAATGCAGCAGAAGTTTTTGTTGGGAGAAGATAATGAGTATCTAGATTACTCAAAAATCGACAACGACGAGACCTTGGATGATCACTGGCAGAGGGAAGCCAACCATGACGCTGAGGAGAAGTACTTTGCTGAGGATTAAGAACTTAAATGCATATAGTCCTAGTTCTTGAGAGTTTTTTATTTTATTTTTAAATAACCTAGTGGTCTAGCATATACCTACTTTCTATGTACATTATGTGTAACCAGCACTTTGTTTTAGTTGTTTGCTGGTTTTTTCAACTGAAACATCTTAAGAAATACTTGAAAAGTTAATCCTTTTTACTGATTAAGATTATGCACATGTAAGATATCATAGAGCTCAAATATATTTTCACAAGTTTTTGAAGCCCTCTATCCTGAAGTGGGACTCAGAATATCATGGGCTGGAATTGGAATAAATACCTTCTTTCTTTTTTGTTATTATTTTGTTTCTACCCAGCACGCGTTTCAAATAATTCTGGAACATCATGGGCTGGAATCTAATCAAAACTGAGAATCTTCTGGATTGGTTGCTGATAAAGTATTCGATCGATCTTATAGAATTTGCATACTGTTTGCAGGAAATTTGTATAAAATCCAAGGCAAATAAAGTTGCACACGTACGCGACCATCCTATGAATTAATCTACGAATCAAGCAAAAACATACCTTCAATACAAGTCTCTGCAAGTAAGGAGATGCCTTCATCAAAGAAGATAATTGACGAAGACCTCACTGATTATCCACAAGGAAAAAAGATATCATAACTCAACCAGAAAGGGTGCATCAAAATCAAGTGTCTTTGTAGACGCCCACAAATACTGATACTACCTTGAAAGAACGCTAGTAGCTACTACTTCCTTTAGCAGCAAGAGAGACAATATACTATCAAGAATTTGACGGGGGCATCTCACTGATGCAGTCCACCACATTAATAAAAACAAAAAGAGTAGAGCACAATAATAAAATGATACATAAATAAATTTTCAAGTTACATATGAAATCTCTGTATTTTCTTCTTTTTCTTATTTTTTTTAAATTTTAATTTTTTAACTGCTCTTTTTTTAATTGAGTATTGTTTTACTCATTTACCCTCATCCATTAAAATCTCTGTATTTTAATATTTTACTTCACCAAGAGCATTTTGAAGGTTATTGAATGTTTCACTTTATACATAAAGAATGAGTGTTCCACCCTCTGTTTTATTTTTTCACCTATTTTATCTTCTCACCCATCGTGTAAATACAATCATATATTTCCACCCACTATTTTTCTAAAATATCATTTAATTATTAATTCAAATATTTATCCAGAACTCTCTCCTCCCCGTCCCCATTCCTCTACCTTTCTCTGCTCTATGTCCCTGTCTTATTCTCTCTGCTCTCTTTAAAAAAAAGTATTCAAAAGCAACCAACGTGAAACTCCTATCCCTTCTGTCTTTAAGATCTTCGCAAGCATCACTCTTTCTCGTCCGATTTATTTTTTTTTTTTTTTTCAAATTGCAAATTCATGGCCACAACTCCTTTCCACTAACTGATTAATTATTATTTGAGCATATGTCCTTGTAATGTTTTGTTGTCCAATTACCAAATTCATCTTTCTCTTGTAAAATTAAATGGTGGTGGCCACAACTTTAGCTTGATTTTTTTTTTTTTTTTTTTGGGTGGGTCGAAATTGCAATTCATTGCAAACTCTCAAAGGGATAGAGAACAGTACAAACAAAGCCAAGCAAAAGCACCGCCCAGAAAACTAGAAAATAAACATGAACAAATCTAGTTAAAACCAGTACAGTATCGCATAAAGATCATGTTCCTAAGCCGAACCTAAAACGTCAAAAAACCAACAAAAAGGCATTTACCCCACATAAAGGCATATAGCCCACAAAGAGGTATTACACCCACATTTAGCAAAAAACCCACATTAAACATAGAATACATAGAATAAAACACATAAAACCTAGCCACCACAACCAAAAAGAAACTCCAAGCCGCCACCACCAGCAAAGGGAAACTCCCTGATTGTAGTTGGACACACCACCAATCACCATCATGAAGACCCAAACACCCGTAGGTCAATAAACCAAGCCAAAAATCACACAGAACATAGGCCACCCAAGATTCACAAACATATCCAGAATTAACCCAACCCATACATCCACAAGACAGCAGCCAACCAAAAAAAAAACGAGAAAACCCATTCCATAGCCAGGAGGAAAAGAACCAAGAACCTGGAAGGAGGTGGTGCAAGCACCCAAGCTAGAGATCTACACACCTTCCAATAAATACGCATCAAAACGTGTTTGAAATTTGCAGCTACAACCCAAGGATAAGGCCAGATCGAAAGGGAGGTGAAGGAACCCAGGTGAGCCATGGATTTTGGGTCAATATGGAGCAGGACCTGCAGGGTAGATATGGTGGTGAAAGGGGAAATCATGTCCAAGGTCTTCATCCCACCATATTGGAAAAAGGAGGAGAAGGAGAGAAGTGAGATTCAAGGAGGAAGGAGGAAGAGGAGGGGAGGGGATGGGAGGAGGGGGAGACCACCTACCCCCTTAGATGCGGCGCTAGGGGTTTTTGGTTTTTTTGCTAGGGTTAGAGAGAGAACGGAGTATCATTTTCGGGTTTAGACTCCGTGCTCGAGACATAGACATAAAGTTTGTGACTTCTCGGGATGAGCAGGAAATGATTTTGATATAGGCTTTGCTACCCTTCTGAAGTGGTACCATTTGTAGTTGTAGACCTGGATTTTGGAGAATCATCAAAAACATATTTTGATATGTGAACAGATATTTTGAGGTGAGAAAAAGAAAGGATGCAGAAATGTTGAATTTTTCTTTAATTGATTGTGTGTTTTTTTTTTCCTGTAAATGTTAGGTCTCCTTAGAAGTCATTCTATAAAGGAGGAGTAAGTTTGTCTTAAAATTTTTGAAGATAAAGTGAGTAAAGAAATAGGACAGGGGATGGAAATAGTAACAAACTCTACTTGTTTGGGAGTGATTCTAGATAGACCAAAAATCACTTTTATGGAGAATCACTTCTCCATATAATCACTTTAGGTGGTTTTAAGTGATTTTATAGATAAGCAGACGAAATGTGCTTCTCCCCATAATCACTTAGGACCATTTTGGCATTGTTGTACTGTGAAAATAATAGATGTGAGATAAATCAGTTGTGAGAGAAATCAGCTATGAGATAAAGCAGTTTAGCGTTGGTAAACTTTTTGTTAAAAGTATTGTTAGTACTGATTTATGCATAATCAGAAAATGATTGCTGTATAATCATCAGTGCCTCTTCGAAACTGATTCCTGCATAATCAGAAAATGAAAGCACATCATTAGCTGCTTTTTTTTTATAGCTTTCTATTACAATAATGTTTAACAATAAGTGATTTTCTCATAGTTTATCAAATAGGTTGGGCTTCTCAAAAAAATTTTAAAATCACTTATCACCTCAAATAAGCAATATCAAATAAGCACTAAAAGTGAAAGATTGCTTCTCTTCAAAAATGATTCTGGCCTATCAGCAGCAGATGACCATTTTTGTTATTTAGCAAATCAAAAGCCAGCCGACTTCTTTTGCACGTGACAAATAGTACAATCCATCATCATGCCTTTACCACCGTGGGCCCCCCCCCTTCCGCTGCCTCCCGTATAAAGAAAGAAGAATGTCAACCCAATTTCTTTCTTTCCTCATTAAGTTCCCGTTAATTTCCAGCTTAATCATACTTGCTTTTAAATTTTAATCAATCAAATTTAATTTAAAACCATAAACAGCGAAAATATCTCTGGCCACAGCTCCACTCCCATTGGCTACCCCCACCCAACAGGGCCCCACCTGACGATCTCCCCAACATTCCCCAGTCACCTGACACGTGTCCATATCCTCTCTCTCTGTGCAGAATCTAAACGACCAAACTCTAGATCTCCCCTCATCAACAATAAATCCAAACGAGTTGTCGTTCGTTCGCTTGCTAGCCACTCGCCACTCGCCAACGACGATGAAATTACCAAAACACCCTCCGTATATAAATATAAGCCTCCCCCCCCGATCTCTCCCTCTCTTCCCTCTCTTTGCTTCGCACTCTTATTCTTCTCTCGAAGCTGAGTTGGTGACCCGAAAACCCGAACCCGAACGAACGAACGAATTCCAGAGCGGCATGAGTTAGCAATCGAAACCGAAAACCCCTAGACCCTCAGCCCTAGGGTTTTTTTAATTTTTGTAATTTCATTTTTTTTTGGGGGTTAATTGTTAATTTTCGATGCTGGGGTGAGAAAATTTTGGGCATCAAAGAAGAAGAAGAGATGTATAGGGAGCGAGGGGTGGGTGGGTCGAAGACGACGGAGGTGGGGCCCGCCGTTGATCGGAAGCGGATCAATGACGCTCTGGACAAGCAGCTCGAGCGATCCTCGCCGTCCACTTCTAGGGCAATCAATGGCAAGGATAAGCCGCTTATCATGGGGGGAAAGCAGCCTCCATCTGACCACAGAGACTCTCGCTCTGCCGCTGCCTCTCTTGCCAAAACCAATTGCTCCGATGGTTTGAAATTTTCTTTATGTTAATTTGATTAATTGGAATTGGATGCCTTCTCCTTGCTCAATTTGTTTCCTTTTTTATTTTTTGTGGGTTTCTATGAAAGTAGAAGAGTAGAGATCGATTGCCTGCTTCGGACAACATCGTTGATATGTTAACAATCTATGCTTTGCTTTGGTTTGTTGCATTAACACGAGTGTAGAAAAAATAAATGAAGGGTTTGAAATGGATTCGCATTTGGATTAAGTTTTCAGAAATGGGGTGCATCTGGGCAGTTGGATGCATTGATATAATTTTTTTTTCCCTTAATGATATCAACTGGATTTGTGTACATACTTGTTTTAATTATAATGCATTGTACACATATTACGAATTGTGTTCCGTTTGATGTCATCGAAACATGTTAGTGGTATTCAAAGGGATGAAATTGGACTTTCTGTATGAGCTTTCCATCTATTCGTTGTGACAACTAAACCTTAAGTTTATCCTTTGCTATAGCGGTCTGCCCATGATTTAATGTCACCGTCTTTTCTCTTCCGCAGGCTTATCCATACAAGAAAAGCTGTAATTTTGTGGCCCCACTAGTTAGTTGTTCTGTCGGATGTCCCATCCCTTCCTTCGCATAATTTTACTGTCCATTAAACTGCCAGGTCCAGAATCCGGAAGTTACTGAGCATTGTTTAGTATTTGGGAAATTTACTTGAACTTTTGCTAGAGTCCGTTATTTGCAATAGGATATGGGTTTTTCTAGGGAGTGATACCAAACAGTTTGGTGTTATATCCTTTTTTGATCTGGAGTTTAATGATAAATTTTGTTCTTGTAGTTTGAATGTATCCCTATTTTATAAAGAGCAATGGTAATAAACTATGTCTCAAGATAGAGAGTAATTTTCATATTTGAAGTTCATTCTCTTACAAGTGGTTCTTTGCAAACTGTTTGAAAACTTGGTTTCTTGTTTTTTACATTACTATTGAGTATTAAGGAAATTCACTTTTCTTGATTTTAAATATCTGCTTCTATCCCACTCTCCCTACCCCAGAGAAAAAAATTGATACATGCTACCATGGACAGAAGGGTTGCACATAGAACACTATTTATCATCTTTAAACTTCATTGTAATATGTGATGTATTCTACTCTGGTGAAGTTTGATTTATGACGAGTAGGTATTGTAAAATTGGGGTGCACATCTCCTGGAAAAACAGAATGTGTGAACTTTGTTTAGTTTATAATTATATTTTTGTTCATCTGCACTTTCGGTTGTTGGTTTTGTTTGGTTTGTCTTGCCTATTCATAGATATAGGCTACCAGTTCTGTAAATCTACTAATGGAAATGTATCTACATTGACTGCAGAGGAATCTGAAACAGACAGTGAAGAGTCAGATGTTAGTGGTTCAGATGGGGATGACACATCTTGGATCTCATGGTTTTGCAATTTACGAGGAAATGAATTTTTTTGCGAAGTTGATGATGATTACATACAAGATGATTTTAACCTCTGTGGGCTAAGCAGTCAAGTGCCATACTATGATTATGCACTTGATTTAATTTTGGATGTTGAATCTTCTCACGGTAAGCTTGATGTTTCAAAGTATTTCACGTTGCCTCCATGTGTGTTCTTTCTTGCAGCCATGTGATTAAGCTATATTTTCTATATAATGAAAAATATGATCAATCTGTATTTCTGTAAGAATCTTTTCCATGGAGTCGCGAACTTTTTAAGCTATTTTTCTTGAAATTTGTTCTTTCACCAGCTTAATATTAAAGGATGATTATTTTTGAACTCAAGAAGCTACTTTCTGAAGCTGTTTTTAAAAATAAAAAATAAAAAATCCAGACCCAATTCTACTGTCTAGAAAAAAAAATTAGAACGAACATCTTGTTTCTCCCTCCTCCCCTATCCCACCACTTTTTAAATTTTATGACTATTTGTGTGATCAGCCATTTGGTTTTTTGCCTATTTGATATATACTTTTGGCAGGTGATATGTTCACAGAAGAACAAAATGAGTTGATTGAATCAGCAGCAGAGATGCTTTATGGTCTAATTCATGTTCGATATATATTGACAAGCAAAGGCATGGCGGCCATGGTAAGTTTCTTTTCTTGATTGTCTGTTTGAAACTTTCATGCTTTCTTGACTGTAAAATTTGTGAACTGGCTAGAATTGTGCTATTGGATCTACAGCTAGACAAGTACAAAAACTATGATTTTGGTAGATGCCCAAGAGTTTTCTGCTGTGGACAACCCTGCCTCCCAGTTGGCCAATCGGACATCCCACGGTCAAGCACTGTAAAAATATATTGCCCCAAGTGTGAAGATATCTACTACCCTCGATCGAAGTATCAAGGTAGTATCCTTTATATATTGAACGTATATTTACAATTGTTGGCTGCATAAACAGCCACTTTGTCAAGAAGCTGAGCATTAACGTTGGTTTTTATTCCTTTGCTGGTTGGCTTCTAAATATCTGGAAGCTGAACATTAACATCTTGTTTTATGTTGAGATGGGGGTTATTTCTATTAAAATTTAATTTGTAGGTTTTGTCCTGGAAGGATTGTAATTGTCAGTTAGAAACTGGCAAGTAGGTTGAAACCATTTTTCCAATGTTTCCTTTAGGTAAATTATTTGTTTCATCTGATTCACTTGCATTTATAAGTAGATTCTTGTGGTGTCTTTTTAAAGGGTATGGCTTTGGGGTCTGAAACTGCTTCCTCTATGGATGGCTAAGCATCAATGTTCATGTTGACAAATTATAACAGCTTAGTTTTGTCATTTGAGAAGTTTTTGTTAGTTTCCTTATTGATATCTGTTGTCTATTGTAGTCAATTTCTCGTTTTTATATGCTATTTGATTCTTTATTTTTTGTTAGAAACATGAAATTACTGTGTATTTTGCTAGCACCTTGCGTTTATCAGTATCATGTCATGTACTTTGTTGTCTATAACATCATTATGGGGTTGGGTCAATTTCATGGTCCAACACCATGCTCGCTAGTTTTGCCTGCATTAATTCCTGAGTTACTTAACTCTATCTAGACATTGATGGAGCCTACTTCGGAAGTACATTTCCTCACCTGTTCTTGATGACATACGGGAACCTGAAGCCTCAGAAGGCATCACAGAGCTATGTTCCTAGAGTGTTCGGATTCAAGCTTCACAAGCCATGATGCTGGAATTTCAAGCTTCAGCTAGGGTGGTGGAGTTCATGGGAGACTTGCTTCCCTCTGTCATTAATGCTCTTGAGAGTGCGGTGGAGTTACTCCTCCAAATTATCACAATATAGATTTCCTCTTAATGTGTTCCTGGATACACTATCAATCATATTTGCAGCCATTCCAAGCTTCATTTTCAATTTTAGCTGCATCTTGGTGAGCTTCTATAGAACTTCTCAGTTTGGTTTTAGTATTAATAAGTACTTTGTAGTGGTTTCTGCCGACTTGTTTTCTTCATTTTCTTATTAGCTCAAGTTGGATTATTTAAAAACACTCCGAGAATAGCCACTTCATCTCACTACAATTTTCGTCTATCCTCAGAATGTACTGTTTAGTCTTAATCTTCTTGTCTAATGATTTTAGATTCAAGTCAACAGTAGGATGTATGCACTTAATTGTTGGAATATAGTAATCATATATACCATCTGCGTGCAGGTATTTTCATTTTTGACCTAATATTCTTTAATTTTTCTTTGTTTAATATGTTGCTTTCCTTTTAAAAACAAAATGCTGCTTTCCAAAACAACTTCTTTTTGGGGGAAGAGAATTCAAAGTTATAAATTAGATATACTAGTTAAAAACGGAAAACAGAAAGTTGGGATTCTTTGATGTGCAACTTTGGAGTAAAACTAACATGTAATGTTTCATACTCCTTTCCTTCAATAAGATAGAGCGAGATAGAGAGTATGAAACATGGGATAGGTAAATTTGTACAAATGGTCTACCCTATGTCCGGGGCAATGTTACCAATTGATCTATAATTCTTTTTCTTTTAATAGAAACTAGTTTGATTTATTTTTTGGTTGGAAAAAAATGACTTGTTCATCAAGAGGAGTTGAAAAAATTAAGAGCATTTATTTCTGTACACGATGTCGAGTTTCTAATTACTTGCTTGGATAAAAAAAACAAAACAAAACAATTTATACATCCATGGAACTCTTGACGGCCGCAGCACAAGAGTAAGAATTTGGCTTCATTATGGAGAGATGTTGAACCAATTGATTGATCCACAGTGTCAAACCTGAAGATTGAAATTAAAGGTTTCTTTTATCATAAAATATGGCCATCAATGATCAAGATTAGAGCAACTATGTAAAAATCTTCCAAAATACTTTTAAAAAGACTATATATTTTAAGAATACGTCATAATCAAATGCATATGAAATTCCAATTAAACAATTAATGAGGTTCAATCAAACGTTACGATTGTCAAAGTTCACGGCAAGCGACACAAAAACTACAAACGTCATTAGCATTATCCTTGTTTACGCAGTCAGCGTTATCTTCCAGCATAAAAAACAGTCAGCGTTATCCAATCGGATAGTGCCACGTGTGTTTCCTTTTTCAAATTTAAGAAAGAGCAAGGGCATTTCAGCAAATATTCTATAATCTCGGGGTTGTATAAAGAAGAAACAAACCACCGCAGGTCGGTTTCTGCCAGAAAACCAGACATGAATACCACAGCGCAGAAAAAAGAAACAGCAACATAACACACAGATATGCACCAATTGCTCTGAATCTAGGGAAACCCAAAAACCCACAGGTACAGAGCCACTCACAGAGAGAGAGAGACAGAGAGAGAGAGAGAGAGAGAGAGAGAGAAAGAAGAAGAAGAATGAGAATTTGTATGTAAATGCAACACAGATCGGAAAAGTAAAGAAAAAGCAGTGGCTGAGGCCAATCCAACACTTGGAATTCATCCAATTTCTCATCAAAAGCACTTCTAAATCCATATCCAAATCCAGTTATCCGGATACCCAATTTTTCCGACACATGTCACCAAACTACCCACCTGATCATTTCTAAGCAACCCAAACAGAGACATCACTCACCATCACCAAACCCACCAACACAACCTCACCAAAATCCCACCCAATTCAAATTCCATGAGGAACCCATCTCCAAGTTTCTCTTGCCATTACATGCCCTTTGCTCAGCTCCCCACAAAAGGCCTACAATGAACCAAACACCTTCCAGTCTTTCCCACTCTCCTACACTCTCCTCTCTTCACCACCACCACCACCACCACAACCAAAGTTCTTTGAATTCAGGCTCTTCTTCTTCTTCACATTCATTTCTGTGTTCTGCTTCACTTGCAATCATTCCCTTTGCCACGAGATCACTGGCTGTTAAACTTTTTCGCCATTTCCGCTGTGCCCATTTGCTCAGAGTCCACTGTCGCTTGCTTATCCTCCTTTCAGTGCCTTCCCTTTACTTCATCACAAGTCCTCGCCGGTCTTTCCTTCTTGATTTCCTCTCTGTAATCGCTTTCTCGGCAGCCCTTTTGATTTCTCTGAATATTGCACTTCCTCGTTTTGTTTCAATTCGCTTGTTTCTTTCCCGCTCTTTGCCAATTAAGCTTTGTTCATCTTCTTGCGTCTCTAAGCCCCCTCAGCCTGTTCTTTGGTCAATTGGGCCGAAGCCAAAATTGGAGAAAAGGCCAAATTCTGGGTCTTGGGTGCAGGTTTATAGTAATAAGGATGTGTATGAGGGTGAATTTGATAGAGGAAAGTGTTCAGGAAGTGGGGTTTATTACTATCATATGAGTGGGAGGTATGAAGGTGATTGGATAGATGAGAAGTATGATGGTTATGGTGTGGAGACTTGGGCAAGAGGAAGCCGGTATCGTGGACAGTATAGGCAGGGGTTAAGGCATGGGATTGGGGTTTATAGATTCTTCACTGGTGATGTTTATGCTGGAGAGTGGTCTAATGGGCAGTGCCATGGGTGTGGAATACTTACGTGTGAGGACGGGAGCCGGTATGTTGGGGAGTTCAAGTGGGGTGTCAAGCATGGACTAGGCCATTATCATTTCAGGTAAATTTACTCTCTTCTTTTAGATATGGTTATTGTGTGTGATGTTATGTTATTTGGGTTTCCAGGATATTGATGTTTTGAAATAAACACTGATCAGTGGCGATGTTAATCTACGTGGTCTGATATGTTTGGAGTTAGTTTGTTAACACTAGTCAAGTAGATGATGGCCTACGTTTTCCTGCGTGAAGCGGTGGGAAAGGTTGATGGAATTGAAATGATTATGTACCCTCCCTAAGTTACTATGTCGTCTTTTGATCTGGCGTTGGAATTTGTGCGCTAGCTTGTAGGTCAGTTTACCCGTACTCTTTTACAGTAGTAGGAAGTTCAGTTGCAAAATTCATAACAGGACTTATCAGACCTGTGTGTATTCTACTTAGGTGAAACATGGGAACAAATGTTTTGAATAAATCTCAACCTAAAAAATATTCTTCCTTTAGGAATTCGTAGAAATATTAGAGGTATACATATTGGTCAGGGTTGTCTAAGGTTTTAGGTATTATGAGCTTAATGGAACAGTTATGCACTTCGTACCAAGTTTAGTTAGTTTTGTCTCTTTGGCTAGGAGTTTGTTTGTTTCAATCATGAGTTCATAGATGTCAAGTCTGTTTGGCCTTAAGTTGTTATACCTATTATGGTTCTTTCTCATAATTTACCAAAGCTCAATACTTTAAGGATTCACTTTCTGGGTTATGACCAGGATATGTATTAGAATACCTAGAATAAAAGATAGTCAAGTCTTTTGGCGAAAAAAAAAGGCAGTTAAGTCTTTAAGCCTCATGGAGTTTGGAACCTATCTCATACTTTATTGCCTTCACCAACACATTCTCTACAGGGTCCCTTGAATCTCCTTTTAAAAAAATAATAATAAATGACAGCCATAGAATTTGGCCCCTGTTCTTTTATATGCTTAATTACGTTGCTGATGTTTTTGGCACCTGTGGACAGGAAAACTGATTTAGTTTCCTCCATTTGACTGTCGTGTCTGTGTGTTTTATGTGTGTTGTGTGTGTGATCTCACACATGTTAAGAAAACCTGTTATATGAGAAGTGCATCCAATCATTTTTGGTCTTCAAGCATATGCCAAGGAAGGAGGGGTTAGTGGTGATCGTTTGATATATGCAAGTGAAAGTTAATTCACAAAACCACATCAGTGCTGATTGCTACGTGTGATTGTGCAGAAATGGGGATAGGTATGCTGGGGAATATTTTGCTGACAAGATGCACGGTTTTGGAGTATATCAGTTTGGGAATGGGCACCGGTATGAAGGAGCCTGGCACGAAGGAAGAAAGCAGGGACTTGGTATGTACACTTTCAGAAGTGGGGAAACACAATCTGGGCATTGGCAAAATGGGGTTCTAGATATTCCCAGTGTGCAAAATACCCATCCTGGATCTCCCCGTGCTGTCAACCATGCCAGAGTGCTTAATGCAGTCCAGGTAATTGTGTTTTATGTCCTTGTGGTATTAGTATTTCTTTAGAATAAATTCTGCTTGAAATGTGATGGTCTACAACCATAAAATATTTTGGAATAAGTTAGCTGGACAAGCTTTGTGCAAAGTATTTTGTATTGTATGTTGTTGTTTTGGTTATTAATTAAAGTTTAGTAAAACACCATCAATAAGTTATATCTTCTTGTATACATCATTTTGATGCTTTTGAAACCGACTCACAATGAATTTGTCATACAAGTAATATTCCTCATCAGAACACCAACCAGTTAGATCTTTTTCTTTTCACTTAAATTTAATTGATGTGTGAAGGAGCAGCCATTGATTTAGATTAGCTTTGCTTGTTGAGGATAACTTTCTACTCAGTGAACGTTTCTGCAATCTAAATTTCTAGTTGCTTGATGATCCCAATGAAAAAATTGAAAAACTTTTAAAACAATAAAACATGAAGTTTTTACAAAGACTTGGAAGTTACACTGAGTGAGTTTGGTTTTTATGATTTTGTACGTATTAGATGTCTCCTCCTCGTTTATGGAGAGCTTCATGATTGCATTTTTGTTGGAATCTATTGGAAGTTTGTGGATGCATGAGTTGTACCTACTTCCACTATAGATGTCATCAGTCATTAGAGTTAGACTCGCTTTTGGGTTTTAACGCTATGCTGCCAGAGCTTTTCCTCAAAGAACGACAGCTTTGCAATAGAAATACTCAGAAGTTGATTTATGTGGAACTGCAAAAAACAATTATGTGCACAAGCCCTCACCACTAAGATAGTTTTCTCACTAAAAACCATCTTATGAGCAGGAAGCACAGAGAGCTGCTGAGAGAGCATATGAAGTGGCCAAAGTGGATGAAAGGGTGAGGAAAGCCGTAGCAATAGCTAATAAAGCAGCAAATGCTGCAAGAGTTGCAGCTGTAAAGGCTGTGCAGAAACAGATACACCCATTACAACAATGATGGCAACAGCACTACCCTGCAGCTCACCTCAGCTTTACAGACCATTCAGCATCAACATCATGCTTCTGTGGCTGAATCGTCACAGCGTATTTTTATTTACTGTTAGACAAAGCCACAGAAGCACGAGGAAAGAGGACCACACAGACCGGTCATTTGCTTGTCTTTTCTTTTCTGTTTCTTTCTTCTGCATTTATGTTGTGATGGGGAATGCAAGGTACCTGCCTGGAACCACATTCAGTCATTGATATATATGGCTGATTGAGGAGCAGGCAGGCCTTCCCCTTTTTGTAGCCTGAACAATATGTACATAGGATGAGTAAGAGTGTCCAAGTTATAAACCAAGGTTAGCAACTCGGCACGAAGGTTCCCGAATTTAGTCCATGGTTCGAGTTTACATTTTTGCTTCCTCTTGTAAAAGCTACTGCTTATTATTGTATGTAATTGTGCCTGGATGAAGACTATCCAGTCTGGTGTTATTTGTGTACTATGTTCCCTCCTGTAAAGAAAAAAAAGAAAAGAAAAAAGAAAGGGAAAAAGCAGAGAAATGATGTATAATGTATATGAGGATGAACTTGCAGCCTAATTTTCTTCACTTCCTTTATGCCAAAATTAGTGTTTGAAGGATCACGGAGACTCCACTATAGATTGATTTTAGGTTTTTAGGTCGGTGATCCACTTTCCTTTTTCTTTCTAATGATGAAAACGAAGTGCATTTGATGCATCTCATGCCGAGAAAATCACGAAGGCATGTTTTAATGCGGCCTCGTTTTAATTTAGCGGATTGGATGGCTACAAACACAAGATGGAAGATAACCAACTTTGGGTTCGGGGTATCCAATTCTGGTGGAAATTCAGCCATTCCTTACAATTCATGTGATGCTGTGGTTCGTTGAGAAGCAAATCAAGCCGCAGATGCTGGTCTTTCAGCCAATTCTCCATTAACTCAAAGCCAGTGGAGGATAGAGAAGTGAGATTGTAATCAACAGATCTCTGGCAGCAAGGGAAAGATCTGCCAACATGACGGTGCGTACAACGACGACTTATTTCCCAAACAAGCAAAACTAATAATCCAAACAACCACTACGCAAAAAGAGCATAAGACCATTCGAAGTATTAAACATAAATCCAGAAACTATTTCGATTGCATTGAGAACACACCCAAATTCCAACAGGGAAGCTAAAAATCTCAGATTAAACAAATACTACAAGTCAATGTGGCCTTCCATCTAACAAGTTCTTCAAAATATAAGCAAACAAAAGGAGAAACATTCTCAAAACTGTTTGAAAGTCTATCAATACTTGCAACTGCTCAGAGCGTAGTAGAGTGGAGTAACCACAGCTCAACTCTCAGTTTGCTCCCTCAGCCTTCTGATTGTGCTCCTAACCGTCACTGCACTAGCAGTGCTGTTAAGAAAAAACGAAAAATCAATAAGTTGATTACTTGGACTGAAAATTAAAGGAACTTTGACTAAAGAGAAAAAGGATTCTTACTTCAAGGTATAGGCACCGCCCGCCTTCACTTTTCCGCAGTCCTTGCATCCCCAAATTCCAACAGCCTTTCTTTTCACAGCATACTATACAACAAGGAATTCAAAGATTTTATTATTTTTCAATAGACAAGAGTAAGACTAAATTTGTTGAGGAAATAGAACCGCACAACCTTGCCGCAAAATTCACAGAAATACTTGCTGTGTTGACTGACTTCCATCTTCTTAATCTGCTTACGCAGACTAGCACCATAACGGGTTCCTGCAATAAATGGCAGAAAATAGAATCATATACACTTCAATGCAGAATTAAAACTTAAACATACAGTGCCATCAGGAGATCATGGTATGCAGCATTGTTGCCCAGAGAAAAAAAAAGTGTAGCAACATAGGAACAAATATTTCTCTTACCAAAAAGAGAAGCCCATCTCATACAATTTTGGAGAAAACAAAACAGAAAATGGAAAAAATCAGGTGTAATACCAACAACCAATCCTACCATTACACCTAATCTCAGCTACTTACATACTGGAAACTCAATGTTTTAGCATAAAACCACAACATAATCTGCATGTCAACCAAGTAAAAAAAAACCCACTAAAGCCAATGAATTTCAGACATATAATCATAAAACACCATTACACAAGAAATAGGAAAGACAGAAATGAGATCAATATATGGCTCAAAGGCTGAAGCATAACAGAGAACATAGTACATGAGAATAAAAGCACCAGGCACTTACCATATTTCCCAACAATACCCGCCTTCTTTGTCCTCTTCGTCTGCCAAAAAAAAATACAATTTCTTATAAACACACAACGCTTGGAAATACCAAATCAATATGCAATAAAATTCATCCAAGACATTTTCAAAAACTAAATTCACAAATCTTACGAAATGAAAACCATAACCCAAAATCAAGACTTTTCTTCATTTTCCCTAATTCAGAGCTAGTTCAAGATAACAACACGCTTTTACGATTTGGTTCCACAAAAATCAAGCCTATATTACAGAGCATTTTTCCCAGAAAACTTAAACAACAAACAAATTTCTGTGAAAACAAACAGTCCATAAGTAGAAAGAGATAGAGAGACAAACAGTCCACAAGTAGAGAGAGAGAGAGGTACCATTGTTGTGGGCACGAGGGTCGTTGGCTGTGAAGGGCTGAAGCGGCTGGTACTGACTTCTCAGAGCAATAGAGGAAAACCCTAACTTGGTTTGTTCTAATTTATAGAGCCCAAATGGGCTGGATCATTCTAAAACGGGTCAACCCAGCTGGGTTTAAAACCAAACAAATAAGTCTTTGTTGAGGGTTAAAAAAAGCCCAAATAACATGAGAAACTCCGTGTAGGCCTAATCACCAACGAACCAAACCATATCATTAAAAATGAATTGGACGTGAATGTACAACAAGTTCCGTTGTAGTCTAGTTGGTCAGGATACTCGGCTCTCACCCGAGAGACCCGGGTTCAAGTCCCGGCAACGGAAATTCTTTTTTTGTTTTTTGTTTAAAGCTGAACTCTGAAGTCAGTTATGCCAAATTATCTTAGCCAATGAGTTCTTTTTATTAAAAAAAATAAAATCCAAATGATTGAAAATGAATAGCAAAAATGAAGACAGATGCATATGGGTTAACTCGATGGTAGAGACGCCTAGATTAGGGCTCGTAATGGTTGTGTCAAGATTATATATGTATTAAAAATGCCCAATTCAAACTTGACCTGTTTAATGAGTTAACCCGTTAATTTTCTGTGCGAGTTTCAAGTAATGTCGGATTGATCCGCTAAGTGGTAGCAAATAAAAAACAAAGTTAACTCTAAGTTAAGTAATATGACACATGTTGAATAATTAGAGAAGGTTCCGCTACCTGTTTAATAAACGTATCATTTACGAGTTAACCCGTTAATTTTTCGGGCAAGTTTCAAGTCGTGTCAGGTTGACCTGCTAAGTGGTAGCAAATAAAAAAAACAAATAAAAAATCCTAGATTTTGATAATTAAATTAAGTAATTGCATTTTTTATTTTTTATATAAAATTGTGATTGCATTTTTCCTCTCTCTATGTATGAAGATTGAGAAAGAGAAATAAAATAAATTTAAAAAATGAAGAAAATGAAGAATAAAAAAAAGGGTTGGCGGGTTGACCCATTTAATAAACAAGTTATATAAGTATTTTAACGGGTTAACGGGTTGACTCAAAACTCACCCGTTTATAAATGGGTCAATGACGGGTTTACCTGAAAATGACCCGAAAATTTAAGAGAGCTTCACTAATATATTCAAAATAGGAGCTGAAATTATATTAAAAAAAACCACATGAAATGCATTTTAGAAACACACCCAAAATCCATTTACTACATAAAAAATGAGTGTTAAAGTTCCTATAAATTACATGATTGCCATTGATAAACTTAAAACAAGCCCAACATAAAAAACTAAAAAAAAATCCAAAATAAGCCCAACAAGCCCGAAGTACATTATTAATACCATATCATAGAAGTACATTGTTAATACCATATCATAGAAGTACATTGTTAATACCATGTTATAGAAGTACATTGTTATTACCATGTCATAGAATTACATTGTTAATACCATTTCTTACCAAAAAAAAATAAATTCCAAAATAGCCCAACAAGACATCCGATATCCTTTGCAGAAACTACCTCCAATTGTCCATAATTTCATCAGAAACAATCGAAAAAGCAAAAGGAAATACCTCAATAAGGAAAAAAAAATACACTGTTAATACTATGTTATAGAACTATCTCCTTAGTAAAAATCACATTATTCATATCATAAACTTCAAGTGCACAGTTATATATAGAGCAAAATATAGAGCATGCTTTGTTACTGAAAATCTGTTAATACTATGTCATAAAAGTCTATTGTTAATATTATTTTATAGAAATCAACTCAATTGCATGGTATGAACAATATAACAACTGTTCATACCACTTACTGGAAGTTAACGACTACATCATTTTCTTTGCATAATAGGTACGATAAAAGTGTACAACTCCATAACACTCAAAATCAATACTCAACAATGATAAAAATACAGAGAATGACTCTATCTCAACAATAGTTGCAAGTCTTGACATTCAAAATTTTTGGTACTCATGATGCATCATAGCCAAATGTGGCCATTGACAGTCATGAGATGAGAACTATCATGTTGAAAGCATTTGGTCTAATAAGAGCCCATGACATAGAATTTATCAGTATCCAGCCCCTTGTACCCTCATGCATGGTGGAATAGTCAAAAAGGAGGAGAAAAAGAGAGAATAATTCAAAGATAAAGATGACTTTGGCTGCACTATGGGCAACCCCATTTGCAAATCCATTGGGATTGAAAGACTTTCTTTCTGTTTAGGATTCGAGGATGAAAGAATAAAAAACTTTTACCTCCATAATGAATGTGACTTATGAACAGTGAGGAGAATACGACTAGTCTTCTGATATATATATATATATATGCATATAGGATTGGATTTGCTGAGGTATCTTGATATATAACTCAGTTCAGTGGATTGGAAGATATTCAGGTTTCAATAAATCTATCAAGGTTGAATTTGGTGGTACATAATCTTTTGAATACAACCGACTTAATGTCGAATTTAAGACACCTTTCATGATCTAGTTTAGTTTTATCTATTCTGCAGTGAACCAGTCCTAAATAATTTGCAGATATCATCATTGGATAGCATCATGCATGAGATAGGCTTTATGTGAAAGTCTAATAATATTAATGAAACCTTTGTTGAAGAATAATGACGTGCCAAAAGATGGATGGAAGGCAAATATTCCAAAGGCAAGTACAACACAAAGAACAAAATCTAATTTCGAGAATCTACTTCCATATTTGTTCTCTTTGCTCCTTTTTTTTTACTTTTTTGGGACAACTCGTGCAGGATAGGTACAAATGTACTTGTTCTAGTTCTGTGGCTGCAACTAAATAGCTGAATGCAAGGCAGGGAGTGAAACGACAACGTTTTCACGCTCTCAAAAGCTAAAATTGATCTCAAATAACTATACTATCAGTAATAGCATGAGGAGAGGATCGAAATCCATACCTGGATCGGCAACAACGGCCGCCGAAATAGCCGAAAAAGGTGTCGAAAAACTCGAAACCCTCGAAGGTTCTTGGAACTCGCGACTGAGAAATGAGGCTGGGCTCAAGCGTGGTTCGCTAGCCTCCTCTAGTCCTTTTAGTCACGCATCTAGCCATGGCCGGAGCACCAAGATCGTTTAGCCGACCTGGTTTCTACGAAAAGAGAGAGACGAGAGAGAGAGAGAGTTAGAGTGCCCAAAATTTTTCAAAAAAAACTAATTTAATACTAAAAGGATAATAAAGGTATTTGATTTAACTAATTAAACTAAAAAATTGTAACAGCTGTTAGTTTTGGGTTTTTTTTTGGTATGTTTATATACATTGAATGGTATTGGGTTTCTTTATAGAACCATGTCTAGGAATGGGTATATAACTAATTTTCTAAAAATTTAATCATGTGGGTTGACCTGCTAATTTTCCATGCGGATTTTAAGTCGTGTATTGGGTCATGTCGGAAATTGCCACCCCTATTGTAGATGCTCTTACCCAAGTAATTTTAGGCTATTATAAATATATAATAAAACTAATATTGACCTAGCTCAAAATATTATTACTCATGAATTTATAATAGTCACATATTTTGTGGCTTAATATGCAATTAATTAGGAACATGATTACTTTTTGTGACTTAAGAACTGTGACAAAAGGATCTCTTATTTGTAACTATGGAGTGAATTTGATATGTGAAATGTTAAAAGAAGCCAAAATTAATTTAGTTGATTCGGATGATCTCCGATAATTAGTGTTGTAGATAGTCAATTTATTAGTGATTCTCTTTCCTATATTATAAAGACAATTAGCACAATATATGGTTTTCTACTTTCTTGTATAAAGTTGTAAGTATTTCTAAGGAAATATTTTTGCTCACCATTTTAACCAAATGTGTATTATCATAATCTTTCTCAACTCTTGATACGTGTCCATGAGCCTAACTATTGTTAATTTTTTATTTTGTATATATGGAACTATGGTTATGCTCATAGACATCAAGTGTTAAAAATGGTGGTGATGGTACCCCTTGGGTTAAAATGGTGAGCAAAAATGTAAATGACTTTTTTTTATTTTTTTATTTTTTTTATTTTTATAATTATAATGCAATTGATTAATTTTGGTTGAGTTTTTTTGTCTTTGAGTTGCTCTTTCAAAAACAATGGTTCTCATCTCATGTCATTGAGTATTTGGAATGTTAATGAAGACATTTTGTTATGGTATGCTAAAAGCATCTCCAACAGCCTCTTCAACAGTTTTGGAATGCTAAAATATGTGAGCCACATTATCAAAACCCTCTCTAACAGTCTTGTCAAACTCAGTCATAAAAGCTACAACCTCTTTCTCTCTCTTTAGGACAGGTAAGTTGACCTTAACTCTTTAAAACATTTAATTTTGCTTTGGAAAAAAGAAAAGAAAAAAGACATACCTTGAAAATGGTAAATCATGTATTTTTTTTCTTTTCAAATAATAAATACATAGATATTTTTCATATGTTTTCATTCTTTTCCATAACATTGCATTAATTGAATTAAAAAGTTTGTTGGGGCATAAATTACTAAAGTAGCAAATAAGCCTTTTCAAATTGCCACATAAGTCTACAAACTTTAATTTTAATAGTTCAGTTTGCTACTACTCTTGGAGATGCTCTAACTACGTACTCTATTTCATACTTTGTACCTTTATTATGGCTCAGGCCATAATATAAGAGGAAATGACTAGCCAAGATAGTCATTCGTCAATGGGAGTAGATCTGATGTTCCCAATTTGGTATCCCTTTCGTGTCCCTTCTCTAATTATTCAACGCATGTCATATAACTTGACATATAGTTAACTTTGTCCCCAAAATCGACTTAGATACATTTAAATTGCCATTACCTTGCCTATATTCAAAATTTGAATTAGCAATTCCTTCCAAGATCAATAAACAATAGCTAGCCATCACTGCATAATATTCTGAGGAACAAAACCATGAATTCTCCATGGACTAGTAATTTATTTTCAACCATGAAATTAAACACACAAAATATCATCTAATGACAAGTTGGTTTTGGTTCCCACTCCAAATGGCCTTCTCTCACTCTAATAATATTGAAGTGATGCGTGAGAATTGGTTCATTGATGGGGGAAGCATATTGATCCTGGGCCTGTTATTGAAGAAGTGGAGGAAACCCAACTATGATGGAGGTGGACCAAGCACACTAGCTGTAAGTAAGGGCGACAAAAAAATAGGATTGGATGAGTCTGAATTGGCTCCAACAAAGAAGGCTAAAATCTCTCTTAGTCCTACTCACGATGGCTCACTCAGACTTTCCACCAGAGGAGGTTTCGGGCGTAGACGAAAGGTGAAGGCTAATAGCGGTGCCTATCATCACGAAGATGGAGGGAGGACGAGAAAAACAACAAAGAAGGATCGGCTCTATGAGGTGGTGGTTAGCCCTTCGAAAGAACTTGAAGCAGTGAAGAAATATAGGAGCAAAATGGGCTTGGAGGATTCTTCCCCCCTCAGGGTTGTGGTGGCTGGACCAAATCAGCTACAATGGAGTTATGATACAACTGTCGTGAAACTGTCAAGGGTTGGGGAACCCCTTGACAGTTTTGTATCTCAAGGAACTTTTACGTTCCAAAAATCCCACGGTGGTGTTTCTAATAGAAACGAAGAAAAATCACCATCGTAAAAGAAAGCTTCGTCGATAGCATATGATCCCTCTATTCACACTAGACTAAGGTCCAGTTCTCTTAGGGCATGTTTGTTAAAGGGGAGGGGATTAGGCAAGAATTATGTAGTGAGAGCCTTATATATAGCCGTTAATGGTTAAGATATAGAACCTCACTTAAGAACCATATATAAGCCCCGACCAGGATGAATTGGGGACTATGAGAAGCTGTCATGAACCAAACATGGACTTATTTAAGAATCTCACTAACAGGGCTTATCTTAGCCCATTTAAAAAGCAGTACTTAAATTATGCGGCCCAAAATAATGAGCCCATCTCTCGCGAAAAAAAACACACGCTCGTCTTCGTTTTCACGCTCTGGAAGCTCTCGTCTTCTTCTCCAGCTTCATGAGCGAGGGTCTTCATCTACCTCTCTAGTTTGCCTCAATCTCTCCTCTTCTATCCTTTCTCCTCTCTCCTCTACTTTGTCCACTGATATTAATTTTGATTTTGTGAAGATTTAACGATTGGGGTTACTTCTTACTCTGTGCAAATCTTAAGGCTTTCATTGATTCACTGTTGAGGTAAGCTCTGCTAGCTTTATAATTTATCCTTTATTGCTTCTTTGATCTTGGTTTTTTTTTTACGTTGGATTTATCTTTTAATTTTTTCTGTGATTTCTAAATGAATCATAATTGGGGAAGTAGAAGAAAAATATTTATGTGTTATATTCGTATTTGTATTGGTCGTATTGTTGATTGGTTGGGATTGAAATTGTGGTCTAATTGCATTTTGCAGCTTACAATATGTGATTTTTCCTTTTCCTTTTTGTTTTTTGGTTGTTATTGACGCTATTGAATCTGGAGGACCCATTTATTGCTTTTCTAAAGTTAGCACCTTTTTTTTTCCTGGGTTTACAAGTGCATCTGTGATTGTTTTATTTCAGTTTGTAGGTGGTGAAAAATAGGCTGGATTTGTATGTTCTGTGAGAGTTGGTTTTCTGTTTCAATATCACAAAGAAGGTGGGGAAGTTTTAAAATTAGGATAAATGTTGTTTTCAATCACTTTGGAGCTGAAGCTTGTTTCTTGAGAAATTAAGCTTTTCTAAGACCTAGTTTTGTGTTTTGAAGTATGCTCATTTCACTATTCAATTCTGTGCTGATATGATATTCTTCTTCTTGGCATTATGCTCATGGCTCTGGAATTTCAGTTTGCAATGAATCGCTATCTCCATCTCCATTAATAAACTATCTGATTACCATACTCAACTGATTATAAACTCTTGAAAAACTGTATATTTTTGTAAGTGAGAAAGCTTTGAAGTTTGTTGGTTGTATTAAAGGATAAATATGTATTTTTTGGTCAATTGGGTCTAGTGTTTGATGTATTTTTGGTGTGCAATTACCGCATGGACCAAGGAAGACTCGTGTTCTATTGTTCATCAGCTGATTGATAATTGTGATATGATGTTGGGTTTTGTATTGAGAAAGTTAAGTCGGACAGGTTCTAACAATTCATTTGAATAATTAGGTGATCAAGTTGGGTAATTTAGTTTGGTGTGCTTCACTTGATTGATTTGGTGATCAAGTTGAGTTGGATTGAATTTGCAATGCATTTGGTTTTATTTGCTTGTCAGGGTTGATATCATAGAATTGTGTGGATTATGTAATCCCTGGGCTTAATTTGGTCATTCATTTGCATTTATTTAATTACTCTTCAGTCTAATTTAGTCTTAACTCTTTCTGCACGGGGATATGAGGATGCTGACAGGTTTGGCTTGGTGAACCTTCTCTTTGAGGACTGAGAGGTTGTAGATGAGAGAGGTTGAGTGGTTCTATGGGCCTGTTGATGACTTTTGGATATGAATTTGTTTGTAATAGTTAAATTAGTTTTGGATTTATTTATTAGTTTATAATTTTTGTAATTATAAGTTTGTAATTTTTTTTTTATAACGCATATTTAAGAACAGAAAAAAAAAGATTTAATGTTTAAAATAGTTATTTTTACAGTTTAGAAATATAGTCCTGTCTTGGATTGCACCAAACATAGGATAGTGCTAAATAACACTATTTTGCCCCTTTATCCAGGACTCCATCAAATATAAGACAGGACTAAGTCCAAGCCAAGCCAATTCAAGCCAGTCCTTGAATTTAGTCATGTCCAGTCCAGTCCTGTGTACCAAACGCCCCCTTAGTAGATAGGCCTACCAATGGGTTATTTTAAGATTAGGTTATTTGTCTTTTAAGCTAACTCTACCTTGTTTCAATCTTGTATTTGATTTCATAGAGACACCATGTTTTTTAATTTTACACTAGTTCATGTCATGTAATGCTGATTATACTTCTATTTTCCTATCTCTCATCTGGATCCAGTTTTGACCCATTATTCTCCTTGAATGAGAATTTACCAAGAACTGTACAATCTTTCATTTGTTGGAAAATGGCAAAGAAAGGAAGCTCAAAGTTGAATATTGCTATTATTCATCCTGATCTGGGTATAGGTAATTTCTATTTCTTCTTGTCATCATTGAAGATTGTAAAGAAGTTGTTTTGGCCTTATGTTGTTGTGATGTGATGTGCAGGTGGAGCTGAAAGACTAATTGTTGATGCGGCTGTGGAACTTGCATCCCATGGGCATAAAGTTCATGTTTTCACAGCGCACCATGACAAAAATCGCTGTTTTGAGGAGACTATTTCTGGTGTGCCTTTTTTGTACTTCAAATTTATCTTTGAAATCATTGTATTTGTGAAAATGTGGTGGGGTTTACTTAGGGTTGGAATGTCTACGGTACAATAAATCAAATAGGTGTGTTCGGCAACCACAAAAACTCATGCCCATATCCTACATCAAATTGTAATGCCATTTGAAAGTTGAAATGAGAGACTTATACAAACACAAGAAGATAAAATTTTGTATGCATCCTTTGGAGGAAGAAAAGAAGTCACAGTAGAATACTGAAAGATTTCAGGTTCAAGTAGTCTTGGTGTGTGTGTGTGTGTGTGTGTATTTCTAGGAGTACCATGGTTAGAAATACAACCTGCCTTGAGAACTATATCGCATAATACTACTAAATAGGCAGATGGGTGTTAGACCTTAGAGTTGGAAGATGGCTTATGCTTTCTGCTTCCTTTTTGGGGAACCTGTTTTTAGTTTGGTGTTGATTAGCTGTCATTCTAAAGCAGTGCATAGTTTGATGTTTTAATGTCATCGGTTTGCCAGGTACCTTTCCTGTGACTGTATATGGCACTTTCCTACCCCGACATATATTCTATCGTCTTCATGCTTTGTGTGCATATCTGCGGTGCCTTTTTGTTGCTGTGTGTGTGCTGGTCATGTGGCCATCATTTGATGTGATACTAGCAGATCAGGTTTCTGTTGTCATCCCATTGCTGAAGCTAAAGAAGTCAACAAAGGTGCTTGCACATATCTTGTACGAATTGTTATGTAGCATTGTTTGCTATTATAGTTGTTTTATGTGTTACATTTTTGTGTACAGGTTCTTTTTTATTGCCATTTTCCAGATTTATTACTGGCTCAACATACAACTATTCTAAGGAGGATATATAGAAAACCGATAGACTTCATAGAAGAAATGACAACTGGTCTGATTCCATTTCTTGGTTTTATCGTTTTTATGTGATGTGTAGACTGCATCTCTCTAGTGTTCTTTTGTTGTGTGTATACAGCTATTCCTTACCACATTATTTTTTCAAATGATACTGCTGCAGGAATTGCTGATAAGATTCTTGTTAATAGCAAGTTTACGGCATCTATGTTTGCAAAGACCTTCAAGCATCTTGATGCGCGAGGAGTTCAGCCAGCTGTTCTTTACCCAGCTGTCAATGTGAATCAGTTTGATGAACCCACCAATTCTTATAAGTAATGAACATGTTTGTGTATCTGTTGGTACCTTACGGTTTTAGGCATGCTTTTATGATTCCATATCTAACCATTTGTTAGATGACTTTTCTTTGAATTTTATCTGGTAATTTACAGTTTCGGTTATTTGTTTATTTCCTTGTTGTAGGCTGAATTTTTTGTCCATCAACCGTTTTGAGAAGAAAAAGAATATAGACTTGGCAATTTTGGCCTTTTCTATGCTTCGCACCCTGGGAGGAGATGTGCTTCAAGGCCTCAATCTGGCTGAAGCTTCCTTAACAATTGCAGGCAAGTTCCTACTTTTTTATCTGCTTGGGTAGTCTTATTGATGGATGTTTTATGCTAATTAGTAAGTACACCCTTTTTTTTTAAAAAAGGACTTTAAATTACTATACAAGCTACCAGGTTAGATATGCTTGGTCCTTGTTTTCGGTAATTCTTGATGATATTTGTTTGGGCCATATACCAAAGGATCCAATGCCTACTCGAATGCCTACCGGTTGACATTGATACATTAATCCAGCATCATTTCATACTTTGATTGATAGAATTGCATGACTTGTGCACATATGGGTGAAAAAATTGATACATGTCTTCTGTTTTAGGTGGTTTTGATAAGCGCTTGAAGGAAAATGTTGAGTACTTGGAGGAGCTCAGAAGTTTGGCGGAAAGGGAAGGAGTGTCTAGTCAGGTTAACTTCATCACATCTTGCTCAACAGCTGAAAGAAATGCACTTCTCTCCCAATGCCTATGTGTTCTTTATACGCCAAAGGTGCTAATTTCTTTATTTGGTTCCATTGATTGGATATAGTGAAGAAATGAATTTGACGTGCAGTATTCAATAATGCAGGATGAACACTTTGGCATTGTTCCTCTGGAAGCGATGGCGGCTCACAAACCTGTTATTGCATGCAATAGTGGGGGCCCTGTAGAAACAGTTAAGGATGGTGTAACAGGATTTCTTTGTGAGGGTAACCCAAGAGAATTCTCCTTGGCTATGGCTAAACTCATTCAAGACCCACAGATGGCACAGAGAATGGGTGTAGAAGCTCAAAAGCATGTCACGGAGTCATTCTCTACAAAAATATTTGGTCAGAATTTGAATCAATACCTTGTTGATATTGCTCGGACAAAGAGAGACTGAGAATAAATTAACATAGCGCATGATACACAGACAGTCGCATTAATATGAATCTCTGCTTTAAAGCGACTGCTGCAAGCTTCAGATATTACATAATGATGATGGCAATTAACTAAATATACATGTCCTGCATTGGAGTTTATCTATGGTTGCGGCTGGCCCCATTGACTTACAATCTTTTTGTTTGGTGGAATTTGACGTACTTTAGGTCTTGGAGAATTAACATAGGTGCAATTGTCTGTTAATGTCGTTATGAGGTTGATAGTCTAACAACATAACATCCACAAATCTCTGGTTTTCTATGCCTTTGTTGTTAATCAAAAATGGAAGATGAACACTCATTTCAGTTCATTTTGATAAATTAATCTGTTTATTATAAAAATTGGCGAGGGCCTCTGATTTTTCTTGGCAAATCGCAGGGCCGTGGCTGTGAGCTCCATCGTGAGTGCTTTCCCTCCATAATTCTTGCGTTAATGGAGATTTTTTTCAAAAATAATTTCTGGGTATTTATAAGATTGCTTCTGGGTATTTGTGTTTGTCAAACTTGAGTCTTACAATGACTTAAGGCACAGACCAGAGAAAAAAAATTAGTAAGGCACTATATATATGATCATAGAAAATACAAAAAATTTGTGTTAAGTTTCATTGCAGAGCATCATGATCTTCCAATGTACTTCATCAATTAAACTATTTGTAACATAGAGGGAAGTAACATGAGTTATTCCCTGCAAATGTCTCCTTTATAAGCTGAAATACATTGTACATCAGCAGTCTGTCTGACCAACTAGTATTACAAAAGGAAATCACAGAAATCAGCCATCATTCAGTATGCACACATAACCCTTTTGAACTCCGGTATTATTGAGAAGCCTCATGTTTGTTAAGTGTCAGCTCCTCCTGGAGTCGATATGGAAGATACACAAGGGAACCAACATCGGCGAATACCATCTTTGTGGCGATCATCAATCATTGCAAGACCCTCCTGAGAAAAGCAAGGGTTTCTTGAGCCCCAGCAATCGTAGTATGTATATATAATAGACTGAAGGGAAGAGTGGATAGTATGAGTAGTTCAGTAAATGTCATCAACTTACATCTAGTGAAAGTGTCGAATGCATCAATTGCACAGCCAGTGGTCCAAGATAACCGTCTCTCTACCTCATCAACAATCACAAATCCTTGAGCCTAAGAGAAGAGAACCGGAACATAAGCGCAAGGAACCCATCTAGATGGTAAAAATCAAATAAGTTCGCTGAAATTTATACTCCTGGCAAAGTTAGCAGGAAGATAAAACAAAAACTTGCAACCTGGGCTAGCTCTAAAATTTCATTATGGTCTTTGTTCAACTCAGTTGGAACAGAACGAACAAGCTTTCGCTTTCCAACAGAAATCACATCAAAACCATTACCCAATACCTGGAATCAAGCAACAGTTGTTAGTATAATGCATCACTTAGTCAACAATCATAATAGTAGGTACTAACTACTGCAGAGATATAATATGAACTGCTTAAGACAAACTTTATGAAATGTTTAAGAGTCGAAAGCATCATAATAAATCATAAAATACAGAGTTTCAATCATGAGATCAAAAGGGACTACCACTACAACTACTCATATACAATGGTAACAAAACCTAATCGGCCTTCCAGCAATCACCAGGCTAACAACCTAAAGGAACTAGCCACGGTGTTCTGTCAGATGGCAAAAATGAGGCAAGAATTCAAGCCCCTTGGGCCTAGTCACCTAAAATTCAGGATGTGAACCTCTTCTACTGAGACCATAGGATCACAAGATTTATTTGTATTCTTTTGGGGCTGGGGGCCAATCACTCGTCTAAGGCCTTCCTAATTGAAGTACATCAATTTCTGACTGACACTTGTACAAGTAATGCATTGACAAGCTAATCATATTTACCTTCAACTTACTTATAGCACGCAGGCAATCATCCTCAGAAACAGCTTCACGATCACTGTTTCGCCTCTGATGAAGCATATTTCTGACTGATACCTGACTAGACACTCCTTCCCTTTCCGCTAAACTTCTGAGCTCCTCCAAGTACTCAACATTTTCCTTCAAGCGCTTATCAAAACCACCTAAAACAAAAGACATGTATCAATTTTTTCACCCATATGTGCACAAGTCATGCAATTCTATCAATCAAAGTATGAAATGATGCTGGATTAATGTATCAATGTCAACCGGTAGGTATTCGAGTAGGCATTGGATCCTTTGGTATATGGCCCAAACAAATATCATCCAGAATTACAGAAAACAAGGACCAAGCATATCTAACCCGGTAGCTTGTATAGTAATTTAAAGTCCTTTTTTTTTCTTTTCAAAGGGTGTACTTACTAATTAGCATAAAACATCCATCAATAAGACTACTTGAACCTGAAATCTTTCAGTATTCTACTGTGACTTCTTTTCTTCCTCCAAAGGATGCATACAAAATTTTATCTTCTTGTGTTTGTATAAGTCTCTCATTTCAACTTTCAAATGGCATTACAATTTGATGTAGGATATGAGCATGAGTTTTTGTGGTTGCCGAACACACCTATTTGATTTATTGTACCGTAGACATTCCAACCCTAAGTAAACCCCACCACATTTTCACAAATACAATCATTTCAAAGATAAATTTGAAGTACAAAAAAGGCACACCAGAAATAGTCTCCTCAAAACAGCGATTTTTGTCATGGTGCGCTGTGAAAACATGAACTTTATGCCCATGGGATGCAAGTTCCACAGCCGCATCAACAATTAGTCTTTCAGCTCCACCTGCACATCACATCACAACAACATAAGGCCAAAACAACTTCTTTACAATCTTCAATGATGACAAGAAGAAATAGAAATTACCTATACCCAGATCAGGATGAATAATAGCAATATTCAACTTTGAGCTTCCTTTCTTTGCCATTTTCCAACAAATGAAAGATTGTCCAGTTCTTGGTAAATTCTCATTCAAGGAGAATAATGGGTCAAAACTAGATCCAGATGAGAGATAGGAAAATAGAATTATAATCAGCATTACATGACATGAACTAGTGTAAAATTCAAAAACATGGTGTCTCTATGAAATCAAATACAAGATTGAAACAAGATATAATTAGCTTAAAAGACAAATAACCTAATCTTAAAACAACCCATTGGTAGGCCTATCTACTAAGGGGGCATTTGGTACACAGGACTACTGAACTACTCATACTATACACACTTCCCTTCAGTCTATTATATATACATACTACGATTGCTGGGGCTCAAGAAACCCTTGCTTTTCTCAGGAGGGTCTTACAATGATTGATGATGGCCACAAAGATGGTATTCGCCGATATTGGTTCGCTTGTGTATCTTCCATATCGACTCCAGGAGGAGCTGACACTTAACAAACATGAGGCTTCTCAATAATACCGGAGTTCAAAAGGGTTATGTGTGCATACAAAACCGTAGTCATTCCTTCCATGGGAGATAACAAGGAGTCTACAAAACCTTCTCATTCAACCATGGCAGAAGGAACCAAGTGATCCTTGTATCGCAGCCCTTGAGTGAAGACAACTACAGCACAAGGAATTACTCACAGTTTTATACAAGGAAGTAGAAAACCAAATCCTATATTGTGCTAATTGTCTTTACAATACAGGAAAGAGAATCATTAATTAGATGACTATCTACAACAACACACTAATTATCCGAGATAATCAGAATCAACTCAATTGATCTTGTCTTCTTTAAATCTTAACCAAAAGTTGACTGGCCTAGCTGCTCAAAGTATATGTCTTCATGCAGTAAAGCTATGCTTTTAAATATGTGCTTCAGTTTCTCGTGCTGAGCCATCTCTTCCAAGATTTTATCCTCTGAAACTGTGGCTCGGATTTCCTTCTCGAGAGCCTTCTTGTCTGAATCAGAAAACACCAACTCAGATAAACGACTCTTGTCAACTTGGCGACTGTATTTATCCTCTTCGTTAGTTCCGTCCATGAGGAGATGGTAGACAAACACAACCTTCTTCTGTCCCAGCCTGTAGGCACGGGATATTGCTTGCCTCTCCACAGATGGATTCCATGCGACATCAAGCAATACAACCCTGGAAGCTCCAACAAGGCTTATGCCTTCGGAACATGCTTTAGTTGAAGCTAGTAATACCTTGGCATTGCTAGATGGATCATTGAAAACCTTCATCGAGGATTGACGCTGCTTCATATCACATTTCCCATCCATATACAGCACCTCTTCCCCTTCAGTCCACTGAAATAGAGATTTCAGAAGATCCCTTATAAAGATTAACGGATCAAGGTATTGACTGAAAACCAGAACTCTTTCCTTCATAGCATCGCTGAGCCGAATGAGTTCCATCACAAATTTTGCCTTGACTCCAGCATCGGGATTTAATTTAAGCTCCTCTAACCTACCCCGGTCAGCAGAAAATGCATCTTCCTTATCCTTAAGCAAGAGGGAAGGATGAATACATATTAAAGCCTCTAGGTTTTCATATCGAAACAGTTCCTTCACCCCTTGAATTCTCTTATGAAACCTCACCTGTAGCGGGGTTGGGTGTAAAACAACAACTGAGTTCCTTAACCCAGGAAGACTATCTTGCAGCACAGAACCTTTATAGACGTGGACAAATGGCGCAATTTGAGCTTTGACCTCTGTAGCATGTTTTTCTTTGTCATCAGCATTTTTTCCACTACTACTAGCCACAAAAGTCCTTTTCCATTTTTCCCCATTGCTTTTCCGGCCTCGTTTTCTGGGAAGATCCCTATTGAATTTAGTAGAATCAATCGAGGCTGCAAAAGTGGGCCTCACAAGGTAGATTGTATTGAATAGCTCCTGAAAGTTATTTTGAAACGGAGTTCCAGAGAGCAGAATTCGGCTTTTTGTTTTGATTTCTGACAAAGCCTTCCACATATGACTTTGATCATTCCGAGGAGTGTGTCCTTCATCAAACACTACAAGACCAGGAAACTCAAGAAGGATTTTCCCCATTTCGTCAGCTGAGCCAGTTTTTTGTGCTCCAGAAAGCTGCTCAAACAGCCGGTAAGTAATCCCCAGGATGCTTCTGTTCTTTTTCCAGGAATACAACTTCAGCATTCGGCTGTTCTCTTTGTTAACACTTTTCCTGCCTTGAGCTTGCATCACCAAATTTACAGCTGTTTGATTTTCTTCGCCAGATAACTCCAAGTTGTTAAGATTGTGAAATGGAATGTCAAACTTCCATTTTTTAAACTCCTCTTCCCACGTAAGGAGCATGCTACGAGGAGCAATCAGAAGCGGCCTGCAATCTGGGAATAACTCCATGTATGTCTGGAGAAAGACAATGGTCAGGCGAGTTTTTCCTGTTCCAGGAGCATGTGATATGATGCATCCATTCCCACCAACACTCCTTGGCTTTTTCAACTTGTCAAGATGAATACCACCCGCTATATGGTTCCAGATAAACTCAAAACCTTCATGCTGATGGGGATACATACTACTTTTAACACCAGGAATTAAGTCCCACACTGTGCCTTCAACGTGAGGATGAGAATTACAGCCAGAATGGCGATCAGAATCAGAAACATGGGATTGAAGCTCATCAAAGATAGACCGGTTGTCTGTTTCGGAGCCTCTTGTGCCAAATCTTCCATAAGGGCAGTCAATCTGGAATGAACATACACAAGGGAAAAATCACATATCTGAAATGCTAAAGCATGACAATTAAGTTGATAAGCACGGAGTATCAGAAAGCAGACAAGGAAAGTAAAAGAAGATCGGAAAATCAGACCCTATATACTAAATCTTTCTTTTTTTCTTTTTTTCGCCAAGATATACTAAATCATTCAAAGCAACATATTTTACGAGACTCAAGAAATCCTTAAAAAAAAATTTGAGATTGGCCAGAAACATTGCAAGGACGTTCACCATAACTAACTTGATAATTCTGATTTGAATGACTAAAATCAACGAGTTGCAGCTTTTAGAAGTAAAAATGGCCCACCAATGAGATCATTAAATTACCCCATCCGAGGATGAAGGATCCTCTCAATATCAAAGAAAGAAAGCATTGTCAAGTTAAGTACACCAAAAAATAATTACTGTCAAGTTAAAGACCAGAAGCTTTGAGTAACCAAATGAACTAAACCAATGATCAAGTCCGAGCATATACAAGAGCTATTTACAAATACAATAAAAATCTAATAATAACAAATAACAGTTGAAATATGCCAATTGGGTCAATAACTTGAACAGTGAGTTTGCTCTCAGATCCAATCAAACTTGGCCAACTCATGTTACAGCGAATGGAACGTCAACACGTCATAGTTTCATTCCAAATAATGGACCCAGCTAGGTAAGCAAGCCCTTTCTCTAAGTCTCTAAATCTAGAACTTATATGGATAAAATTGCCAACAAAGGATGCATCCTAAAGCATGTTCCAAATAACACAGAATGCTCTACATGCAGTGTTGTCATAATAATAACTAGATTCTACGTTTTAGTGCAAATGAAAAATGCTAACATAATCAATCTTAATTGAAAGTAACATGCATATGACAGTTGCACGACTTACGAAGTCTGGTAAAATATACTTGATCTCCTGATCTACATAAGAGCAAAACTTGCATAGGAGTCCAATCTCTTCATCAAGTATAAGCTGATGAACCCCTCTCCTACAGAGGCTTGCTACTGTTTCAACTTCGTTAGCAATAGGGAGTGAATCTTGACTTTCAACCTGACAATCAAACATTCACTTGCAATAAAACATCTTGGGCAAGAAACAAAAATGTACTTTCCAGGAGTAGAGTGCAAACAATGTTGTTTATGTCAACCTACCACATTAGAATCATGGGACCTAATCTCAGAAGCTCTGAGAGCAAATTCAAGATCGTCCCATAGTTCTTTTTCTTCTGGATCACACTCTGACTTTTTTGGTACATTTGACTGCTCACATGGAAAAGTAAACTTAAGTGGAAGCGTTGTCATCTCAGATTCTGGTGGATTTCTTTCATCTTTAGGGCCTTCATCTCCAAAGGAAACTGACCCTTCCAGTGTCCCTTCTCCCTTCTCATAAATGGAATCTACAAGAATCTTAAAAGCATTACAGTCCTTCTTTGCCCGCATGGACCTTCTGTTAGTCAGATTCTCGATATCCCTTTTATTCTTCTTGTACAGTCCGTGGACACCGTTCCATTTACTAGGCTCAGTTTCTGGACTACCACCATAGGTCTTGTCACCTTCATCATTTCTTCTATCACCATCAGACCCTGTTTTCTTTTCGTGGCACCTAGTTCTCAGACCACTGCAATTGGCGTAATCAACATCCTCATTGTCATTATCATGCCCGGAAGAAGAATCCTCATTATCCTCATCAACACAAAGTCTTTGATTTACAGTTCCGGATTCTATTCTCTTCTTTTCACTTCTTCGACTAACTCGTGAACGATTTCGTTTTGCCACACTATTAAGCTCTTGAGCAGAATGAATAGGATCATCTTTGTTGCTATCAATGTCATCATCTGCATCAACTGACATATCCAACCCAACCCTTCTCTTTCTCCTCACACCAACCTCAACACTTCTCCCCTTTCCCGCTTTCCCACTTCCTTTTGTAATCTCACTAGCATCAATGTCCTTCCCCTTATTCACCTCAACATCACCCTCAACACTTTTCCCCTTTCTTGGTTTCCCACTTGTCTTGGTAACCTCTCTTTCATCATCATGCCCCTCTCCAAAACATGAATTCGACTCCTCAGAAAATACAGAACTTTCTGACTTCTCTTGTTCAAAAGACTCATCATCTGATTCATCTGAGGCATCAGAAATAGCATCCTCACTAGAACTACTCTTCCAAGATTCATCTGAGCCATCAGAAGCAGTATCCTCACTGGCATCACTCCTCTCTGTACTCGAACAACCAGAACCTCCTACTTTCTCTTCACCCAAATACACCACCTCACCATCACTATCCTCCACGTCAACTGGACACAAATTCTCAATGTCCACAGCACCAGATTTAGAATTCTTTCCATTTGATCCGGCACTCTCAACATGATCAAAACCCACAGAATCATTGTCTTGCTTTCCAAATGAACTTTCACTGAGGATCTCCACACTGGCCGCTCCACTGTCATCAGAATCATCACAACCGGGCCTCTGTTTCTTAGACCCCTCAGCAGATTTTCTTTTCCCACCCTTCTTCTTGTTCTTGCCTTTCTTGGATGGACTCACACTGACTTCCTCATTCTCCTCAGAGTCATCAACATAAATACAGTCCCATTCCTTGGACCCCTTGCGTGATTTCCCTTTCATATCGGACCCATCATGGAGTTTTCTCTTCCCACTCTTCTTCTTGTCCTTGCTGGCTTCCACATTCTCCTCAGAGTCATCCAGAGAGACACAATCCCATTCCTTGGACTCCTTACGTGATTTCTCTTTTTTATCAGACCCCTCACGGAGTTTTCGTTTCCCAGCCTGTTTCTCGCATATCTTCCTCCAGTATTTCTCCTCACTTAGCCGTGTCCTCCTTGCTACAGGCGCGTTATAGTCCATGAGCACCAAAGATTGAACCTTTTCCACCAAAAACACACAAAATTATAAAAAAAGTCGGCTCTTTTACATCAAATCACACTAAAACATGCATATGTATATATATACACCTACACACGTAACCGCAAAGAGAAGAAGCTACGTCCTATCACAATAACCCCAAAGATTCAATTTTTTTACCAAAGAAAAATCATCACAAAGCCAGCTCTTTTCACTCAAATCGCACACCCACATACACAAAAATCATACAACACATGCATATACACACCAGAAACAGCAAAACAGAGTCATAGGGAGACAGAGAGACTTACAAGCAGCAAAAATGGCGAACTTGAAGAGAGAGAAAACAGATAAGAGCACAACAAGAGCTTCGTGATGTTGAGCAGGACCAGAGGAAGGCAAAAGGGCGCGAAGAGAGAGTGCTTGTGCTTCAGAGCATGCACGCCACGCCACGCCAGAGAGCAAAGGAGCCGGACGCTTTTTTTTCTTTCTTCATTAGTGTAAATTTTGGTCTTTGAGAGTTGAAAAAGGAGAGGTCAAAGTGCGGTCTGTAAGCGTGAATTTATTTTCGGACAAAGCTGGCCCTTTCTTGGACCCAGAAATAGGAGGACACAAGGGGGTATTACAGTAAAATCGGACAACAGGGGAGGTCTGTTGCTTGCATGAAACTGGGAACTAGAGCAGTGATTGGTGGAGAAATCAACGGTTTAGATGGTGTACACGTCAGGAGAAGAGGAGCAGATGAACGGTCAAGATTTCGTACTATACTCTCTTAGTCTTTCTTTTGTATTTGGCTTCTTCTGTGCAGGGTTTCAATGAAAGCAATCCACTCGACCCAAAAAGAATCAAGAGGTTTCCTTAATAAGATAAAAACTTTAGGCTTTGTTTTAAAAAATAATAATAATCAATGCCTCTTTTTGGATTTGGATTTGAACTTATTAGTAGGCAAAGAAATAAATGAGTTTCACTAGAATAAGCCGTGTTTGATATTGATGTAGGATGGGAATTATTTATTTTTTTACTATATTAAGGGCTTGATTTGAACTTGGTTTGTCAATCAATACATTAAGAGCTGCCTTTATTGAAATTTGAATCGAAGGTAGGTTTTCCTCAATTAATATTTCATAGGTTGTTAAACGATGATAAAGAAAGGAACTCTAAATTATAGGGTCGTCTTTTGATGATTAATTTAAATTTAGAGAAATTTACGTAAATATCATCTGAACTTTTAGGCACACGTGTTATTACCACATGAATTTTGTAAAATGTTGCAATCCACCACCTACGTCTAACTCTATTAAAATTTATGTTAAGTTTAAGGCTATTTTCGTCAATTTACTATAACTAAAAATAATTATGAAAAAAAACGGAATTTTTTTTTTGGAAAAAAAACTGCCATTACTGGTAATCCATGAAAATTTTCAATTGCACTTGACAACGAAATATATTACATGATGTAACGTCCTAAATGTTTTTCCCAGTTGCAGAATCCAGGAGTAAGACATCATAGAACCCTTTGGTCCTTGCTCGGTTCTGTGCTAGGTAAACCTACAAGCAAAACCAAAAAGTGAACAACTATATACAATCAACTGCTATAGTGACCAATTCAAACTGATGAATATTTTGATATAATTGCAACTGCAGCCTCATTTTGTGTTAAACATCATCAACAATTCTAAGGAACACACAGAACTAAGATAAGCAACAAATTTGTCGTCTTCTTTTTTTGGGTCAAAATTTATCTGATTTGTTATCAGAAAGACTGAAAGGTCTGCAAAGGACCTGCTAATGTAGTGATTTAGAGTATTTACTCTCTCAAACAAGGTATTGGATTCGAGTCCTAACATTCGTATAGTGTATGTGAATTTAGTATATTATCGCCTCTCTCAATAAGAAAAAAATTAAAAATGAAAGTTCATGAGGTAACGTCACACGTGCCTCAAATGAGCCAACAGTTAACTATTTAGGGACTCTGATGATAATTTATGATGATCAAGTAACTTGTGAATGAGAACAAAATAAAGAAGAACTTCATGTCAACTATTAAAAAAGAATAATGCTACTCTTATCACATTTGTATACCACATTCTCATACCACCTTATGTGGCAGATGAAGTGGACAACACATCAATTAAAATTAATTTAAAGTTTTCTTATATTTTATGATTTATTGACACTTTTTAATTGATGTGATTGTCCACTTCATCTGCCACATAAGGTGGTATGAAAATGTGGGATATAAATGTGGTAAGTGTAGCATTACTCATTAAAAAAAGGAAAAAGACTAAATATTTCTCAACCAATGAGGATAAGACACGAACTTTGACAGTCCATATAGTAATTTTTTTCAATCTCCAAGGTAGAGAAGTAGAGACCTACATACGGCTATAAACGACAAGTAGTCCTACAATCAGAATTTTTCATTTTTCTAGGATTCTCACCTTTTCTTCAACTTTTCCCACTGTGGTGTACAGATTGCAGAGTACCCCCAAAAAAATTAAACTCCACAACTTTGACAATTTTTCTGCAGGAAAAGAAAAACAAAACATTGACAATTTGTTAATTCAAAATTACAAAGAAGATGAAAGTTTGAGTTTGGCAACCCGCAACTTTGCGCATTTAGACTCACAAGGGTTGGTGCTTCTTGACCAAAAAAAAAGGGGTTGGTGCTAGCTGTCACCCTGCCGAGCATAATTTGGCGAGGCTTGAACTTTTCTCCCTTGCTATCATTGTCCTTTTGTTTTTATTTTCTTTCTTTTGGAGCATGGGTTTTTTTGTTGTTGTTTTGGAACACGGGTTTTTGATTTTGTAGTGAATAAAAGTACAAGAGATTTGGGGAGTTGAAGCTGAGGAAGGTAGGGTCTTTACTCTTTTACTTGTTTGGGTATTGAGTAAGAGTGAATGATATGTGAAGATCTTATATCAAATTGCACTTTCAAAGTTAAATTCATACAAGTGATAACTGGTAGTTAGGTGCCATGCATAAGCCTTTTTGGCTCTAGATTGTGAGTCTATCTTGGAGTTAGAGGTGTCAAGCATAATATACCGGACCGGCCCGTTGTGTTTAGAGTCGGCCCATTTAATAAACGAGTCGTATTGAGCTTGCACATTTATGAAAATCATCAATGAGGGTAACAACAGAGACATGAGGGTAACCAAAAAAAAAAGAAGATTTATTCATGGAGAAAGTCAGAAGCAGGTGGATGGGTGTTGTGGCCGAAGTTGGAGGTCCTATAGCAGCGAGATTTGGGAGAAAGAATAACACGTTCTTGATTTTGGGTTGAGAGCGTGTTACCCACAAATTGACTTTTTTGTTTTTTTTAAAAGTAAAATTAATGTCATGAAGTAAAAAGTAAAACAAAATAGATTTTTTAAACTAGTTTTTTCAGCCTTTAAATTAGATTTAAGGGTACGTGACCATAAGACTCTTCGACCATAGGGGTCCAAGAGAACGGATTCAAATCCGAAAAATTAATAATAAGAAGAATAAAAACCCAATTTATAAAGAGAGAGAGAGAGAGAGAGAGAGAGAGAGAGAGAGAGAGAGAGATTTAAGTCCACAAGAGAGAGATAATAGGAAACTAAACCCCAAAAAAAGAGATAAATCACAAAAAAATAGGCAGAGAATGCTATTTAATGGTTTGTCCAGAGTGGTTGTTTAGTTGTTTAGCAGAGGATGTTTATTTTTCAGTTCGCTTATAATAAGATTTCACTTTTCGTTGGGAAAAAAAACTTCCCACCACTGGCTACTACACCCTCCACAACGCAATACTACAACAAAGTACCCAAAACGGCATAAAAACGCGTTTTCTTGGCGGGCCACGGGGTCCCTCCCTAAGTTTCCTAACGACGAAATGAGCGTTTTAAACGGCCAACAATGTTGTCGTAGATTTTAAACGCCCCTCTCCCCCCATCAAAACCCACAATAAGAAAATAAGAAAAAAGACAAAAAAACAAAGAAAGAAAAAATCCAAAATATAAAAACTTTGTCTCTGTAAATCACGAGGAGGGAAGCCCCTGTATTATTATTTTTATAAATTTATAAAGAAGAGTTTTTCAGATCGGGGACCCTTCGATTTTGGTCTCCTCGATCGCCATCGCAACCTACATTGCCTCGGATCTGATCGCGGATTTCGATTTTTTTATTGTCCGATTTTATTGGTTTGATTAATTTGGAAGGCGATTTGAGATTTGATTCTTTGCATTTTGCTTCGGTTGAGCTTCGAAGCCGATTGGATTTGATTGGGGAACTTCCCAGAATCTGAGTTTTGTGATGATCTGAAGGATTTGATTTGATTGTTGTTTATTGGAGAGATGGATCCGTTATCTGCAATCAGCGAAGAGCTGGCGGAGATCGACGGCCAAATCACTGACATTTTCCGTGCATTATCGTGAGCATTTTCATTTTATGCCTCTGTTTGGATTTTGGTTGATTAAAAGATTGAATTTCAGAATGTTTTATGGTTCCTTCTTGGAAATTCAAGTCTAATGCTAGTGTTTGGATTCGTGATTTGTTTTATTCTTATTATTATTTTTTTGCAGAAATGGGTTTCAGAAGCTGGAGAAGATTAAGGACTCGAATAGGCAAAGTAGGCAGCTTGAAGAGCTCACTGACAAGATGCGAGACTGTAAGAGGTATTTTTCGTAGTTTGATCCTCGTTATTTATTTTGAAAGTTAATGTGGGCTTAATGTCAATCAATGTTCTTGATAAGTTGGTGAATATGTGTGCTCAGAGTTATTGAATGGTAAATTGGTTCGTGATGGTGACTGGGGGTGATGCAATTAGCTTAAGTATTAACACATCGTCAGTTTGCATAAAATAAATGAATTTCAGTACAGTAAGCTCCATTTGATCTTGATGTAGAATGCTAAATTTTTTCTTTTCACTATTAATGGTTTGATTGGCTTTGGTTTGTGAATAAATTAAGAGCTGACTTTATTGAAATTAGAATCAAAGGTAGCTCTTCCTCAACTAATATTTCGTAAGTTAAATGATGATAAATAAAGGAATTCTTTATTGGATAGTTTCTTGTTGATTAAAATTATATATTTACAAGTTGCTTCAAACAATGAAAAGAAGTTCATTACTCAGAAAACTTTACCATGAAGGCTTGCTGAATTATGTATGCTAGGATAGGTCCTAGCCAGTTGACAATTTTATTTCTTAATCCCCTTAACTTTTGATGAACAACTCTAAGAATGTGATAGACCTGCCAGACAATAAACAATGCTTTCATTGCTATGCTCTAGTCTCTTTTTTGTCACCTTTGAGCTGGAACTTCGGTTTCAGAAGGAATATAAATGAGCTGAAATCAGGGGATATGGTGGCATTGTTGGCAGTTTTGGAAGCTGTAAGTTAACATGTTGCTAGAGCTGTGCAAGGTGGAATTGGGGTCCTCATGAAAGTTTCATCCTTATTAGAACATTTGGAAAGTTAAGGTACCTCTGGAAGGTCCACATTTTCGTGTGGCTGGTGTCGCTGAGATGGGTTAACACGTGCGGCACAGTGCAGAGGAGAAGACCACAAGTTTGTTTGTCTCCTCAATGGTGTGTAACGTGCAAAGCTAGCAGTGATTGTCAATCATTTGTTTCTTCACTGTCCTGTGACTTAAAATTTGTGGTTTGATTTTGGAGGGGGTGGAAGGTAGAAGACAAAAAGTTTTGAGTGGTGTAGTATAGCTGTGTTTTGGGTGTTATGGCGGGAAAAAAAATAAACGGATCTTTGGGGATAATTTGGGTGTTTATGAGGAGGTTCTTTGGGTTAAGATCAGGTTTTGATCATTTCTTTGGGCTTCATTTTTGTCGGAATTCAGAGATATTTTTGCTTTCAGCTTTACTTCTTTATTGGAGAGCAGCTGTATCCTAACTCGTTTAGTTGTTTTTCCTGATGTATTAAGAGGCTTGTGTTGAGTTTTGTACGAAGCCTTTTCTTTAGGTTGTTGTCTGTGGATGGCTTGTTCATGTTCTCTTTGCACTGACTTTTGGCATTAGTGAAGTCTCAATATTTGAAAAAGAAATAAAAAGATTAGAATGGACTTGCTACTGTGCCATGGGTTCAATTCAATCTTCTTGCTCAGAACTCATATCCATTCTCATCTCACTTGGACGTCATGCCTGTCCATTATGGAGATGGTAAAAGTGCTGACAAGTTGTTTCTTCATTGCCCAATTGCCTCACATTTAGGGTGGAGACTGTTTGGGAGGCTAGGAAGCTGGGTAGTTCCAGCATCTTTCATAGCACTGTTTTGTGAGCACAAACATTTGGGGGAAGGAAGAATAGTGTAGTCCTAGGGAGGTGTGGTATGATGGATGTGCTTTGGGTGTTGTAGCTAGAAAGAATTTAGATGATATTGATAGCATTAGGGAGGAGGGGAAGGAAGTTTTGTGGGATAAATATTGATTTTGGTCACATTGTGGGCTTCCCTTTCTTCAGAATTTTGCAAAATTCCTTATTTTGCTTCATTTGCAGATGGCTGCCATTATTTAGGATGGTAGGAGGGCGGTTTTGTTTGTTTCCATTTTAATTGACCTTTGGATAATTATTTAGCTTCGGTTGTCAGTGGACTCCTTTTCAATCACAAACTTTTTATATTTCAGTTTGCACTCATCTATTTTTGTTAATAAAATTTTGTCTCTTATAACAAATATTATACTTGGAACTGGAATATTTCTACAATTTGTGACTAATGCTGGAAGTTTTGATGAAGTTTAACTAAGTTGACATTTGGTCATTAATCCTGCCCCATTATTTGTAAGGGATTGAAATATCTTGTCTGTTGTCGTGTTAAGGATAGTTGAGCAGTAATGAACATCATCTGCTTTTTATGCTGAGATATGCATACTAATTCAGTACTCTTATCCTTTTACATTGAGCTCTGGATTTGCCTGGTTTATTTTTTGAATTTTCCACCCAAAATTATCCTTTACCTAAAAAATTGATGTATCTTAGATTCAATATTATGATGGTTTGCCATGTCATTTGAGAAACAAATGCCATAATCTGATGGATCTGTGCTTAATTACTAAATTTGGCCAGCATCTGTGGTTTTTATATATATATATATATATATATATATATATATAAATTTTCTGCAATTCATTTGTAGGAGTTGTGATTATTTAATTCAATTTATACAGACGTTTAAATTCCAACTTATGAAGTCCTCAATTAGATTTTCAAGCTAAGAAGGTTATATACGTTGTGTTGTTTTCAGGCTTATCAAGGAATTTGACAGAGAAGTCAAGAATATTGAGAGAGTAAATGACCCAGACACCAGTAGAATGCTGAATGAGAAAAAGCAGACAATGGTGGGTTGTCAATTCTTAATTCATATACAGAGTCTGCATGTCTACTTTTTTCTTTCTTCTAATTGTTCCTTCTTTTAATTGTCTTCTTGTGTCTATTTGTTGTTTTTGCATGTTAAAGTGTATTAACCATTGTTGGAACTTTTGTGCAGATCAAAGAGTTGAATTCATATGTGGCTCTGAAAAAGCAGTAAGTTAGCATCAGCAAGAAATTACATTAATTGTTGTGTGAGTGTGCCTGTACATTGTACCGGTCTGACTTGAACATCTATTATCGCAGGCTTGCATAACATATGTACATAAATAATATTTCATTGATGTATGAGATTTCATATGTTGATTACATATCAATATGGAGACCAAAATACCTGTGATGTAAAATGCCGTGTTTTCTGAGTCTTAATTATTAATTCATAATTATTCCAATGATAAAGTTTTTAATTCACAATTATACAATTGATATGATTCTCCAATCTACTGTTCCCATATATACCGAATATTTAGCGCGGATGTCTTCATGAACGTGTTTCCAAATTAGTAGAGTCCTATCATTTCCTATACTTTTAATTAGAGATGCACTTGGGTAACTTAATTTGGATGGTAGTGGTCATGCGATGTTTTCCCTAATATTTGACATATTTCTCATCTCATCATCATTCTTCTAATAGCAGAAGAAGCCTGACTTTTACAATACAGAAAGATAATACATAGCACTATTTATTGAAAAAGAACTATTCAATTGTTCTCTTGGATGAGTCAAGTACTGGTTTGTTTTCAGGTCAAAATTGATTTATAAATTGATAATGTTTTAGTACTACAAGTAAATGTATTTATTTATTCTTTATAAGAAATTTTGAAAACGTTTGTTGTGTCTTTGGTGCAGATATGCGTCGAACCTTGAAAACAAGAAAATTGATCTCTTTGATGGGCCGGCCGAGGAATATGGGGAACAGAATGTCTTGCTAGCCTCGTGTAAGCAAATATCTATTTATTTGTTAACTTGCAATTCGGCCTTGTATCCTTTAATAATTGACCCATCAGCTGATAATTCCTGCTCTTATAAATAGCTCTCACACAAATGCTCATGCAAATGCACACGTACACTCAAACACACTCACAGATTCATGCTTATACAAATACATATGAGGAATGTCATAACATCACCAGGTAAATTGAGCATGGTTGATGTGGGGAGGAGAAAATAGACACTTGAGGGAAAGCATTAGAAAGGTGACTCCAAAAGAAAAAAAAAGGAAAAAGAAAATTTAGTTATCTATAATGGAGAGAGGGACAGGGATAGTTACAAGCTTGGGTCATGTTCTGGCACATGGCACATGTTACATATATGGTTGAAAATATAGGAGGGACACCAACTGAAATACAACTTTTCTTCATAAATACATCTCTCTCTCTCTCTCTCTCTCTCTCTCTCCTCTCACTTTTGGAAGATCATGGGACACCAATTGATATACAACTATTTCGACTTTTTATCTATTTGCTTGGCATGGTGGTGTTAATGTATGTTTTGTCATAAGTTAGGTTCTTAAAACCAATTATAGGTGAATTTGACTTTATCATAGTACTTGTAAGTGGTTAATGCACATTTTGAGCCGTACAAGACCTTATGTTCACTGGACATTGGGACACCAATTGATATACAATTATTTCGACTTTTCCTCTATTTGCTTGGTTTCATTATGTAATTGGCATGGTGGTGTTGATGTACGTTTTGTCATAAGTTAGGTTCATAAAATCAATTATAGGTGAATTTGACTATATCATAGCACTTGTAAGTCTAAGTGGTTAATGCACATCTTGAGCCATACAAGACCTTATGTTCACTGGAAGTTGCAGTAACTCACCTTTCTGTTAACACCGAGTACCCAGGTCTTTACTCTAATGATATTATATAGAAACTGCATCTGTAGCTACCTGAAATTTGTATAGATGCCTAATTCTGATACAGTAGTGCTTCAGAAACCAATTATTACTTTCCATCACTGGGCTTTGTGACTATATTGACTATATGAAGCTTTGGAAGAATTGGATTTCGGAGTCGATATGAGATTATTCACCGGTGACAACAGTGACTGCATAATCAATATAAGCCTTTGGTTGGATCAAGAACTAAAAGGCCTGGATGGATTGGTGTAGGATTAGAGGTTAAACTTGATTTAACAAAGAAAAGTAATGTATGTTAAACATTTAGGGAAGTTCCTAAGAAGTATGCATTTACTCAATAACTTTGACATTAGTATTTTGTTCAGATGCCATGCTGAAGATGACCAATGCATTTTCTTAGGCGTCATACCTTTTGTTTCCTTCATTCTAGATGAATTATTTTTTAACTAGAGTCCACATATTTTGCAGCTATGACAAATCAACAACTAATTGATAATGGAAACCAAATGATGGATGAGACAGATCAAGCGATTGAGAGATCAAAAAAGGTTGGTACATTTTAAAAAGGTCCAATTTTATTATTGGAAGAAAAAGATTGTTCCTGCTCCCAGGCGTTGTTAGAAGCGATTCAAGTAGAACTTATCTTTGTGTTCCTGTTTGTAATAGGTCGTTCATGAGACCATCAATGTTGGAACAGAGACAGCAGCAGCACTCAAAGCTCAAGTATGTGATCGTTTTCAATTATTTTACTTCATATTCCTTATAGAAAATGGGCATCGAACTAAAGTTTTATTTTTATTTTAAATTATTTTAAAATTTAAAATTTTAATGTTTCATGTTTAGACTGAACAAATGAGTAGGATTGTCAATGAGCTGGACTCAATCCATTTCTCAATCAAGAAAGCTACTAAGCTGGTCAAGGAAATTGGTAGGCAGGTCAATTTCTGAATTATCCACTTGCTTTGTCATATGTTGACGATATTTCCCATTCCTATTACTCATTATGATTCTTTTTTTTTCTTTCCCATTTTCTTTCCTGTTAGGTTGCAACTGATAGGTGTATTATGGGATTACTTGTCCTGGTTGTCATTGGAGTCATAGCCATCATTATTGTGAAGGTATGGAGTTCGCTTGCATCTAGTTTTGTTTTTATAAATTGTTTTAAATTCCACAGATTGAAGATTTTGCTTTGTCATCTACAGCAACATAATTGAGTTCTTAATATTTGTTGCATAACTTATAGCCTGATAGATGCTAGAAAAGTAATGTTGTTTTATTCTCATAATTTTCATTTTTCTTCATTTATTGCTGTGGAAGCCACTGATGTTATTTGCCTTCTGATGGTCCCTTTGTGCTTCAAGGGAGTTTATTGTTCTAAAATTAAAAAAATTAAGGGCCCGTTTGATAACCATTTCAATTTTAGTTTTTAGTTTTCATTTTTTGTGCTAGAGTATAGAGGAAAATGAGAGGGAGAATGGAAGTGAGGATGAGATTGAGAGAGAGGATAAGAGGGGAGGATGGGAGGGAGAAATAACAAAAGTGTAAACAATTTCAAATAGATTTCATTTTGTTTTCACTTTTGTTACTCCTCCCTCCCATCTTCCCCTCTCATCTTCCCTCTCAATCCCATCTCCACTCTCATACTCACTTCCATCCTCCCTCTTTTTCCTCTATACTCTAGCACAAAAATGAAAACTAAAAACTAAAATCGAAATGGTTATCAAACAGACCCTAAATTATGCTTTGTTTGTTTGAAATTTGGAAGTACATTTGGTGCTTCTATAAGTAGCATATCCTTGAACTGACAGCTAGTACTTTGAAGAGATAAGGTGTACTTGACTGTATCTACTTGGCTGCTAAAGTATATTTCTGAAATAATTTCCAACTAATATTACTATAAATTTAAGTAGATTTTGAATTTCCTAGTTAGGAAAATGAAATATTTTGCATTCAATTGTGGAATTTTATTTCCTCTTATCTGGTGAAGAGCTTGCTAACTTGTATCGTTGTTGGTGGATATATGGTTAAACTGTTCTTATATCTTTAACTTTTCAGCTCGTCCATCCAAACAACAAGGACATTCGAGATATTCCTGGATTAGCCCCGCCCGCAATGACCCGAAAATTACTGTGGAATCCTAATTAAAGAGAGCTCAAAATGAACCATATCATGAGATTGCCAAGATGGTTTGCAGCATGCCCAAATGGACGTTAGCTTTTTATCTCGTGATGCTGTTCTCGTCTCTGTTTTACAAAACAGATATGGAACTGTTTCCCAGTAAGGTTTGCTTTGGAGACCGGCTGTCGTTTAGGAAAGCTAGGCTCACTACTGTTGTTGTGCCTTGGTAATTGGCTTCAGTTGCATGAGATATGCGTGATCAATTTTTCTTCCCCGACCGTAAAAGTTATCCCTATTTAAGTGAGGGAAATCTACTTTGAATATGTATTTTAGGCTGTATTGGTTCGTATACCCTGTATAATCACAGCTTGATTTTGTAGTCACTTTTACTAAAAGTTCTGTTTGGAAGTTACTCGTTGATGTACCAAAATTAATATTTGAAATGAATTTGGGTCTTCTGTGGATTGAATCAGTGTAGCTCAGAAGTTGATCTCATGTTTTATCATCTCTCAAGAAATGGATTTGAATCTGCAGGGTAGAGCTCTTTTCTGGTATGTCAATTTCTTTGTAGTTTCAAATTTTTTTTTTTTTGTTTAAATATCAAGTTTTTCATTTAAAAGTGACATGTTACTTCTCTCGCATGAGCTCCAACCAAACTTCCTACGAGTTTTTGTTAAAAGTGAACAAAAACTTCTTTGACAGTCCAATTGACAGGGGCACCTATGCTCAAATTCAAATGTTCTTAGACACCCAACAAAATTTAAGATATCCCATCCACCAAAAACTCAACTAAATTACTCTGAAACCCAAACTATTAACCTTTGTCTTTTGTGGTAACATTAACTCATTACAAGCAAAACTTATACCCCACACTTTGGCTCAACACTCTGTTATTGAAGGTATGAGTGTGATGTTTTGGATGGTTTTGGTATACTTGTAATTGAGTTGATAGTTTATGGGTCTTGATGATGTAGTGTGATTTAGGATTTAGAGAGCAAGAAAATGATAGGTGCTAATGGGTAAAGATTTTAATTTTCAGAGAATTTGGAAAAGATTTTAGAAGTTCATTATGCCATTTATAATAGTTTTACAAAGAGATGATTACAACTTAAAATTATAAAAACATGGGTGTCCAGAGAACTTTGAGTGTTTGTAAACATTGCACAGTCATTGTTATCTGTTGATTTTTCCATTTTATTAAAAGACATCCAAACTTCGAATCATCTATTCTCACATCATAAAAACAGACAAACAAATCAAATCGTGATTATCGGGTGGTTTGACCCGACTCGATCTTATTGATAAGATTTGAGTCTTGAGAAACTTATAGCTACCTAAATATGATTTATTGCATACTTTTACACATGTCATGAATTTTCATGCAGCTGTGTATATTTGGATGCTAGTACCACTTTCTTCATTAGATGGTTCGACCAGCTGGTTTACATCCATTGAAATTTCTTTTTCTGTCTCTGTTTTGGTCAATATATTGTTTTCTGAGTTTGAAGCCTTCCTAAATATGTACATGGTTTGGTCAAACAAAGGACTTTCTTTTCAAGTGTAAATAAATCTTATTGAATTTTAGTATGAACTCAAGATTTGCGCGTCTACGTGGGGGAACAAATGTTAAAGCTCACACCACTTGCCAATGATGTGTGCAATTTCTAATCAAGGAAGTTGTTGTGGCCACTGACTATATTTGAAAACAAGTTGCCATGGTCAAATAGCTTCTCCTCGTGATGCTTTATAATCAAACCTTGCATTTACATGTATCTACCGTGTGTTACTAGAAAAATATGGCATGCATCATGAAGTTGACCTCTTCTTTTCACAATCCGTGTAAAGTACATCACCAGGGCGGACCTTGAGATTTCAAATTTGATGGTTTTGTAAATTGACGATAAGTTTTAGTTTTGAAAAGGGAGATTCACTATTAAACCAGAAAAATCTTCAATTTTTATATATTTAAATTTATTAAATTTAGACCCGAAAATTTGACAAAACCTATAAAATCAAAGGCCATGTGCAATTGCTCTACTTGCTACCCCTCATTACCATAAGTTTAAGTTTAACCCACCAAAAGGTTTTCTCTTTGACCAAACAATTAGGTCTTAAGCTGCTGTTAAGAATTGTTGATTAAAATGTATTTGTTTATAGAAATTTATTGAAGTTTATCATCAGAAAAGACTGCTGTAAAAAAGCTACACTTGGAACGCAACCCAATGGACTTGAGGACCAAATACAATAGAAAAGTGGACGCTTTGTAGTTTGTCAAATGGTTGACAAATGCAGTGACTCCTTTTTGAAAGGAAGGCTACCCTCTGGGTCATGCAATGTCAATCCAACACCTAGCTTATTTGATATATTATACTATGGATTATTTTTTCCTTTTTGATGAGTGATATTATAAATTATCAGTTGTCAATCCACGAGTTAGACCGAAATATAATTATTCTTTTTAGTTCTTAATCAATGGAGTAACTAATTGTAGTCTGCATTCAAGTTTCTGGTTCAAGAAAATTCATACGTCGAGCACCGATGCTCCCGAGGTATTGTGTTCGATTTTTCCATCTCCAAATATTACTTGTATAAATAAAATAAAATAAAAATCTAAAGTTATAACATGCTACTGGATATATCCTCCAAAATGTTTAACCAATGGAAAATTCTATATGTACCCTGTAATTTGCTTACAGCACCCTACATGCTCACCAAAACTTCACCTAATTTCAAATTGTGTATGGTAAGCAAATTGTGGGTTGAATTCATACACTCTTTATATTACTTTATTAATAGTCATGTTCCTCTTTTCATCCCACTATTTTTGTTTTGAGCCAATCTCTTGTCTCACTTTAATAGGTCGAGTACGAAGATTGAAATATAAAGCGGATGGGTGAGCAATGCATATTTATACTGCTTATCTTTTGACAATTTAAAAAGTTTTACTTGACTTCACCATTACAAAAAAGAAGAAGTCATTTTCTAACTTTCTCGTATCTAACCCATAACGATTGGAATCAATGTTGTAATGCGAAGGAATTCAAAAGTGTGATTATCATTGTACTAATTCAGGTGTTATATATAATGTGAATGAATGACGTAATTAACATGTCATGGACTTAAAGTATAATGAGTGGTGGATCCATGAATTTTTAAAGGAAAATGCAATATTTAAAATGCTAAAAGCTCAAAAAATATACCCAAATTATTTGAAGGAGGATTTGAAGTACCCGAATTATTTGAATGAGGATTTAGACACTTTGCCGTTCCACAACTATATAATTTAAACAATAAGAGTCTTTGGTCTATCACTAATTGACTATGGTTTATATAGTATATCATTAATGAACAAATTTCATGTCAATTGCACAATTAGTCTACAAAAATTCATATCAAATCATCAATTAATCTCACGAAAATCAATATCAATTAATCTAATCAAAATGCAAATCAAGTTACCAATTAAACAAACAAATTATAATTCATCATACCTTGAGTCATGACCCACACAACCTTTTTCTCCTCAATTAAACAAACAAATCATATACAAAGATAACCAAATCAAAAAACAAAATTAATATTTCTAAAAAACAAAAACAATAAAATACATATTATAAAATATTTAAAAAAATAAGATAAAAAAAACCATAAGAAAAAAAAACATTCAAACTTGGAGGAGAGGGATGGATCTGCCACAAGACTCAATAGCATGCAAAGCTTCGTCAAGAATTAAGACTTCAACGCAATGCAAGGGATCCCTTGGTCCATTTAATTCCAACTTGGACTCCAAGCCCACGCTCATCCGTTGTGTGGAAATAAGGCTTTAGGTTTTCTCTTTGGTAATGCTCTTTGAACACACTTAATTGACTACATTAACTGACCACCTTATGCGGTAGCTACAGAAATTTTAGAAATTTAGGTGGTATAAGCTATAGAAAGGTCAAATGGCTTTCTTGGGTTTTTTTGGGGATTGAGCACCAAATTGCTTCTTTTACGTCAATCCACAAGTAAATCAAAGCCATTGATCTCAAAGATTTCTCACCCTTTGAAGCAATCTGGTGCAAAAATATTGGATTAACTTCTACCCATTTTGATGTTCTTCCAGTTTAAAACAGTAAGTTAACATTTTTAATGTAGTTACAACTGACACCATACCAAGGTGATAAAAATGATGTTTCCGTAAAGGAGCCATTTTTCAGGTGCCAATTCATCTTTATAATTAATTTAATTACACTAAAAGCTTGTGGATAGGGAACTGTGCACGATAAGGTTCTTCATTGTTCTTTGACTGCAAAAGGTTACCCATCACAGCAGGCTGCAAAACTTCCTCTGCATGATTGTGTTTTCTTGATCTAGAAAACCACTTGGCCAGTGCCAATTGGATAAGTGAGATATAATTATCTAAATGCCATGAGCATAGAATTAAAGCATAATTAGACTAATGGGGATGACCCTAACCTCATGTAAGGGGCAACTTATTTTTCGAGTGCTGATGATTTGTTTTTCTTTGGAATGTTTCGCTGATATTTTTGTAGCTCTGATTTGATGAACAGAACGACGATTACAAAATCATGCTGTGGATAGCATAACTCAGTGTTTCACCATCAAGTCTTTTATTTTATTTTATTTGGTGAAGATTGACTAGAAGTCTACACACGTATAGCTAGAAATAATGTACACAATAATTTCCAGACGGCGACAATGGCAACTGCTATGAAGGTATTGGCTGTTGCCAAGATACTCTTGTAACAGATGAACTCATCACCAGCGGTTTTACTATTGAGATACCATCAAATTCATCAACATCATATCCAATGGACGACTGCAAGTATGCATTTTTGATTGAGACATATTGGTTTTAGCTTAACTTATGGAATTTTCGAGAAGTGAAGGATATGGACAGCGTTCCTGTGTTGCTATACTGGATCTTAAACGTACAAGACTATGGTGAAGTTGTATTTTTTTAGTAGTATACCAAATGGGCTCCTAATGATCGGAGCAGTCAATTTTATTTTTATTTTTTATAAAGCCCTCTGTATAATATTCTAAAAGAAAAAAAGGTAGCGAAACAGAAAATTGTATTGGATATCATAGCCATCATTTGAGTTTCATACAAACTACATGGACTAAAGGAAGATGTCCTAAGTCCCTCCTCTAATATCGCTTGTATCAAAAGGAGGATGTATGCATTCTTCAAGTGCTAATTCGAAAGACATTTGATCTCTTATTTTAACTAATAATTTTTTGGGAGTTTCACTAAAACATCCAAAATGAGGGCTGAAATTATAAAAAAACCCAACACTCAAAACACTTTATAAACACACCCACAACCCATCATTACACACACTCAAAATCCATTGATAAACACACCCAAAAAATATACAATTGTTGATTTTGGGGTTGATTTTGGGTGTGTTTCTATGTTTAAATAGTGTTTGAGTTTTTTTATAAATACATGTCTAGGATTGGATTTATTTATAAATTTGTATAATTTTTTTTGTTCTTTTAAAAAAAGGGGTTTTCAAGACAGAAGAGGACTTGCACACTTGACCAAACTTAGTCACATGATCCTGTAATGATCCAAAGTAAAGACCTGGTCAAAGAAAGAGTTTTATGCCCTTCTAGTGATTGCTATAGTCAAGTTACTTGTAATTACGGTCAAGAGAACATCATTTTCACCCATCGCTGATGTAAAGACAAATTCATTAAATTTTTCTTGAAACAGAATTTTATGAGCTTCCAAAAACTTGTTATAATTTCAGTTTTCTTGGTCGATTGATGAAGTAATTGCGTTTCAAATTTTTTTAGGGTTACTGGTCAATTCTTGACCATGAACCAAAACCACGCATTCAACTTGTATTCCAAAGCTTGGATTAAATTACCATTATTAAAAAAATTACCAAGTAGTTTTCACATTACTACCCGAAAATTTACTGAAGTTCATCATTTACTGTCTAATAAAGTTCATTAGTTGGCATTATAATACGTAAATATTCGTTTCTTTACATCTTTCATGCATTCATAATTGTATTCGTTTACCTTAATAATGGGTCAATAGTTAAGCTAAGCTTACTATTTTTTCATGATATTAATAGTAGATATGTATTAACGGAGATACGAAAGTGGTAGCAAAATCAATACTTATGTAAAGTTTAAGTAATAAATTTTCGAGTAGTCAAATGAAATTTCCCGTTACTAAAAGTAGCCTCCATTTCATATGACTTCTCCTCATGCACACGACTACAATGACCTGATGCATGCGTCAGTCAACATCAGTACACTCTTATCTTAAATGTGAACGGCTCTGCCGGTCGTACCGACGTAACGTTGGCAGGCCTCATCTCTTCCACCATTACTCTGTTTCATTTCATATTTGCATTGCTCAGAAAGCAAAGCACATGGAAACTAAAGAAGAAATATATATATTTTTTGATACGAACTCAACAAGAAATTATTAATACAAGACAACCCAATTCGTACTTCACAATAAATAAATATTTAAGCTCAACAGTATCCTGCCCTGTCTCCATTTCCATTGTCTTTGGCATTTATATTTTGTAGAATGTCTCTTTACTGTCGCTTCTGATATGCTCTATTGGGTTTTGGTCTGATTGAATAAAACCAACAAAATTAAGGAAAAATCTGAAGTCAAGGGTCTCTCAGTCGTGGAGAGACCAAAACGAAACCAAACCCAACGCGCTATGAGTCTCTGACTTTTAGACACGAAATGGGAACGAAGAGATAGGAAAACGCTCAAAAGGTTTGAAACGTTTTCTTGGGTCTTTCATTTTTGCGTAGGTAGAAAAATCCGCCTCTGTTTTAGTCCTGTCCTTTTCTGCCTGTTAATCTTTTTCTTTTCATACACGACACTCTCTCTCTCTCTGTCTCTGTGCATCTCCAAAAACGAGGTTTTGCTTCTTGTTTTAAGATTTTCCCATTTCTTTTATCTTTAAGGCCATTCTCAGAACTTTCTCTTTGAATTTATGTCTCTTCCTTTCACTTCAAAATCGATCTGGCTTTGTCTTTTTTCAGCCTCTCTGTCTCCAATTACCAGCTGGGTTTTTCTTTCTTTGCTTCCTCTCCTATATAATTTGCTTCACTTCCTTCAATTTCCAATTGCGTCTTCTTTTGCCCTCTGTTTGGTTGACCTTTCTTAGCTTTCTGGGGTCTGTTAGTTGACCACAATTTCCACTAGCCTCCCTTATTTTCTTTCTGGGTTTTCTTTTCCAATTATATTCATCCCTTCCCATCTAATTTCAGCCATTTCTTCTGGTTTTCTCATCTCTGTTTTTCCCCCAATGAATTGAATTTAGCATTTTTACAACTACATATATATACCATCTGAGGTCTTGAGACTTTTATCTATTTATTGTTTTAGAGCTTAATTAAGAAATGAAGTGCCTTTTTCCATTCAAGGACAAATCCAAGAGCAAGAAGCAAGGAGCACAATCCGCTCCAGAATTGAGAAACCAAAGCAAATCAAGCGATCTGGTTTTAGATCGTGCAACAAAATCTTCAAGTTCCTTACCATCACCAAGGAGCATACCAGAATTGTACAAAGAAAGGGAGCAAAATTTGAGAGTTTTCTCTTATCAAGAGCTGAGGGAAGCAACAAATGGTTTCAACAGATTGCTAAAGCTTGGGGAAGGAGGTTTTGGGAGTGTGTACAAAGGAACAATTAGCCCTGAAAATGGTCAAGGAAGTCCGATTGTAGTTGCCATTAAAAGGTTAAACCCGCGTAGCTTACAGGTTCGATATATCTCCATTAATTTTCTCTGTTTCTGTTTTTCCGTTCCAATTTTTCTGTCTGTTTCTCTGTTTTTCTTTTCCTGTTCTTTTCCACATCTACTTGGTTGGGAGATTTGTTATTTGTTTGGTGCTATTTTTGGATGTTAGATTGATTGTGGTGGTGGCATTGAATGACGTATTGTATTTGGATGGTGAATTCCAATGGTGTGTGTTTTTGAATGTTGAATTTACTTCCAGTGGAGGACTGTGTACTTTTCTATTTATTAAAATCAAATATCATTTAATTATAATTGATTAGTGCGTATGTGATTGTTTAATAGAATTTTTTTTATTCGCTCAGGGATTTAATATGTTTGTTAACTAGGTTGCTAGTTGAACTTAGATTTGAACTTATTATAAATAAATCATATCTTATGTCACTACATATTTGTTTAAATAAGATTATACATGGTAGGCGTGGCTGGGATAAATTATGCTTTTGAAATCTATCTGAATCTAGGAAAGTCACAAAGAAGCAGAATAAATTATAAGCAAGTGGGGGCATGACATAGACTAAATGCGAGACAGTGATTAAGCTATTGAGGGTGAAAGAAAACTGAGTGCCTTCTTTTGATCAAGTCAAGGAAGTTGTGTGATCTAGACATCGCTGAAACCCCAACATGGGGATATGACAAATTTGGACTTTGGAATCCATCTGGTGCTGGAAGTGTAGGAATATTGGGAGGATATTGTCATGTACCAATGAGCATAGTGACAAAAGTTAGGAAGAAGAGAAAGAAAAGTGCTTGCTTAAAATCAGGCAAATGGAATTGATTGATATTCATCTCCATGTGGTGCTTGAATGGCATTTGTTAAATGAATGACAAATAAATGCTTGAAATGCTAAAGGAATTGATGTTTAATTCCTTGATTTGCTAACTCAAGAACAAGAATTGGAACAGTTTTTCATTGAAGGTAATGGTTTAGCAACTAAAAGATATCGGTCTGTCTAAAAGTTACATCTTATTACTCTTTTAACCAGTTATATATATGGTGGACGTACAGATTTTGCAGAATCTAGTGGTATATTTGTCATTACCTTCTGAGATTGGCAAATATTTTATGAAATTTAAGATTAATCAGAGACCCTTTTATACACACATTTTACAACATTATATGCCTCTTACATGTTGTTCTGATTCTTTTGGTTGTGAAGCTTATGGTTTTTAGCTTTTCTCAAACAGGGTCATAAAGAATGGCTTGCGGAAGTTCAATTCCTTGGTGTCGTAAATCATCCAAATCTAGTAAAACTTTTAGGATATTGTTCTGTAGATGGAGAAAGAGGTATACAACGGCTACTGGTATATGAATATATGCCTAATAGAAGCTTAGAAGATCATCTTTTCAACAGGGCTTTGCCCACAATGCCTTGGATGACAAGACTACAAGTTATGCTTGGTTCTGCTGAAGGATTGGCTTATCTACACCAGGGACTGGAAGTCCAGGTGCATATAGTTTCTATCCATTTTATCTGATTTGACCATACTATTGTTAGTCAGTTAGTTTTTAACTTAAAACTTCCACATCATTTGAAGATATGGCTCCTCTATGCCAGCTTGCTTGTTTTGGCTATGTTAATTTAACCAATGGAAACCAATAACATAATCGATTAAGGTATTTCTGTGGTTTCAGAAGATATTGGTATTTATTTACGAATGTGTGAGAATTTTAGTTAGGTCGTCTTTTTAAATTGACTGAGGATTTGAACTGTGACTGCTGATATTTCATGTTGTGTTATATATCTTTTTCTTGTTTCCTACTTTCAAACTGGAATCTCTGCTTTTGGAACTTAAAGGGTATGTTCTACTCATGTAATGTAACTGCCATAAGTTAGGTACAGACAAAGTTTTTTTGTCTGACGGCTATAAAAATTAGATTACAGAGCAAAGACCATTTCTGTTAGATTAAAGCAAACAACCTTTGCTGCTACATTTGAGTCATTTCAGGAGAAACAAAAAATTCCCACAACTAGAAAATGTGCAGAATACTAGAGTGTGTTGCTTTAGTGGTGGGGTTACAGTTAAAGAAGTCACAGGCTTGGTTCAGCTCTACTTGTGGGCTTGAAAAAACTAATATCCTCATATCCTTATTTTACTTCTGATATCCAAATATTGCAGAAATTATGTGCATATGGATATGATACACTTGCTGACCTCACATGATCATTTTTTGTTTGTAAGAAGACAGATTCTTGATTATATGTTTGTTGAACCTTGTTTTCTTGCGTTACATGGACAGGTGATATATCGAGATTTCAAATCCTCCAATGTGCTATTGGATGGGCAATTCAGGGCAAAGCTCTCAGACTTCGGGCTTGCTAGAGAAGGACCAACGGGTGACCGCACTCATGTATCAACGTCGGTGAGTAGAGGGGTAATAGACAGTTTATATTCCCAAAACTGACCGTCATAATTCTGAGACATGCTACACCTGCAACATATTGAGTGGCAACTTTACATGTTGCATAAGTACTTATTATGTAACTTTTATATGACATTTCATGTACAGAAGCATCCGTAGTTCCATCCAAGTTAGCTGGCTTAGCCCACTTATGGCTCTTATTACTGGATCCCCAAGCACCATTTGAGCCGCATTCTTGAGAGTGCTTGCTTAGTTAGCACATTTATGTCAAAGGTCCTCTTTTTCCACGGGAACAAGTGCTGGTCAATGTCACATTTTTCCACAAGTTCCTATTTTTTTCTTCCCCTTACACATGCCACAGGTTCTTTATGTTGACTTCAAAGACTTCATTGAATTGGCCCTGAACTACTGATGTACTTGTGCCTCATTTGGAGCACTGTACTAGACAGGACTGGGACTAAGTCCACGCCAGTCTCATGGGGACCCACCCCTGTAGGACTTTGTCCAATCTAATAGCCCAGTCCCATCATTGTTCACTAAACATTAGGGAAGACTAGTTGTCCATTTTAATTGAATTTGTCATGTCCAGCCCCACCTTCGAAACATGGCCTTGATGTCCCCGTTTAATGGTTGGCCACCTTCTTTGAAGTGCATCATTCTTGGAAAGGAACGTAGGATTAATTTTGAAAATTATAATTGTCTGTTGGTGTCCTACAATATCACTTATGCATATTGTCTTTGGTTTTGTTATCAGGTGGTAGGGACTTATGGATATGCTGCCCCAGAATATGTTGAAACAGGCCATCTTTCAACGCATAGTGATTTATGGAGTTTCGGTGTGGTGCTTTATGAGATCCTCACAGGCAGGCGTGTCTTGGACAAGAACCGCCCGCCAGCGGAACAGAAACTTCTTTATTGGGTTAAACAGTTCCCTGCTGACAGTAGAAGGTTCAGCATGATAATAGATCCATTGCTGAGAGATCAGTATTCTCTTACAGCTGCACGAAAACTTGCCAAGTTGGCAGATAGCTGTCTGAACAAGAATGCAAAAGACCGACCAACAATGAGTCAGGTGGTAGAGGTCTTGAAGCAAGCTCTACAAGATTCAGAAGCGGGAACCAGTTCTGTAAATAGAAGTTTTGAGGCATCTGGGTCTAAATTGGCTAAGCGGAAACCCAAGTAGACTTGATACAAGAGAACATTATTATAGATACCACTTTCTGTTGTGACCAAATTCTCTTTAAATTTTTTGAGCAGGTTTAAATGGTTGGATATTATTAAGCAAGTATAGCAGGGTTGCAGTTAACCCTTTAAATCTTTTTTCGGGGACTCTCAGGCGCGAGTCTCGATTCATCGGTAGCTGTCAAATCCGGGAAGTATGTAAATTTATGAGGGTCCTGAAGCACAAGAAATCAAGGAAATCTTTTATTTTCTTATTGTAAAATTCTAGAATGGAAGAAGGCAGTGAAATAGGGGAGACCCAGTAGACTGATCTGTGGAACCGCTGTAAATCTCCATACTGAGCCTTTTACCTTTTATCTTTTTGTTAGTTTGAAGACATAGCTGCGCACTGTGGTAGTATTCATGTGAAAATTGCTTGTTATTTTTTCACCTTTCTTTCCCTTTCTTCTGGGAATCATTCTTGTGGAGTGCAATTTAATTACATTGATTAGCCAAAAGTTCATGGAACCTCCCTCAATTAAGTAACTACACTTCGATTTGAAAAATGCTTTCATGATTTCATCAGTGCAGCATTATACTCCAATTTCTCGCCTGTTTAATTTTTCTATCCGAATTCCCATCCAAACAAAATTAGTCTAAGTTCTTGAAACTAGTAGCTAAATTTTCAGATTTCACAGTTTTCATTGGAGAACAATGTGTCAGGACAAATTTTGAAAAACAAGGACTATGGCATATATCTTCTCATCAGAGGAGTTGCATGAAATATTTTGGGGATATGAAGATGATATTTTGAGAATAATACATGGAAATGGCATTCCTTTTTTACGCCCCCACGTCGGTACACATAATTTATTACCCTAAACTCTAAACTCGAAACCCTAAACAAGCGTCATTTTTGTTTGGAAAACTTGGTCTCTTATCTCTCCCTCTCTCTCCGTTTCTCTCTTTTGTTCCTTTTCACTTGCCTATGCATATCCATCACTGTTTATGCGTCTTTATGCAGTTAGTTATGTATTTGTAGTTTAGAAAATTCTATTCGCTGGTCTTATAGATTTGGCAGATAAGCAAGTCTAATATTTTTTTTTTTTTTTTTTTTTTTTTTGTTTTTCGTCGTAATAAAGTTTTGTTTGACTGAAATTAAATATACATTCTGCAGAATTTGATTACATTCAACAAGCAGTTAGAAGTTGATGGTAGATTCCCATGTTATTTCATAATTTCGGGGTTCCAGTATTTTTGGTTTATTTTCAGTAGTACTGATTGTAAATTAATATAAATTGAACTACAGTTTATGTAACAATAAGATGCAAAACATGAATGTTTGATGAATATCTATTCTATAATTTTTTTATATAAAAAATAATATTACTATTACACATTTTAAAAAAAAAATTCTCATATGAGAACATTACACACACACACGCATATGTATATATCCAAAGGTGGATTCACGCTTGAGTTAGAGTGGGTTCTAGTCCGGTGCTTATTTTGGAGAGAGATAAATTAGGCTTAGTTGTGTAAGCTCAATTCAGAAAAATTACATAATAGCCCACCCCTTTTTCTAGAAAGCAACCCACCTCATATACCATATCTACGCCGAATACTTTAATACTTTCATTACTAAAGTATTTTTTTTTCTCTCTTTTCTTTGGTTTATTTAGCCTCTAATTTGGCTCAAATAATGTTTATATCTCTTTGAAAATAATATATATTTTTGAATGAATTTTGAAAATAGTTTTTAATATGAAGGAAATATACTAAATTAGTAAAAAAGTATACCACTTTCATTAATCTGAAGGAAATACACTGAAGGAAATATTGCTTCTTATAAAAAAAAATTTGTTAAAAAATATGGCTTATAATTGATCTCAAAAAAAAAAACAACCCACCTCTATAAATATTCATGAGTCCGCCATTATATATATATATATTATAGATTTTCTAGTAAGATAATATTTTCCTATATATATGTATATGAAATTTCTTAAAACATATAATTATTATATATGCATTGATTTTTCATTTGGATTGGCTTGACAAAAAAAGAAACCTGGCACGAAAAGAAAAAAAAGTTGACAAGAGGAAAATAATTGTATTCTAACTTTTTATTTTGGGCCAAAAATGGGTAGAAAGTTTATTAGAAGCTAGCAGAAACAACTTTTCTGGGGTATATATACAAAAGAAAGCAACTGGGCTTGCGCAGTTATAAAGCAAATTGAAGCCCAGAACACAAACACACGAGTGGGCCATTTGCAAGTTAGGGTTTAGAAAGTACAATGGAATTAATTTGAATAAAATATTATTTTTCCCAATGAGATTAGGAAACAGAAAGCTATATATACAGATGTAGCCCTGAGCCTTTGTAAACACTAGCTACTGTGATTTAGGGTTTCCAAAATTCGCTGTAATCTTTTCTCTTTCAAACGATCGAGTCGAGGACTTTTCTGTTTCAGACAAGATGAAGGCTTTGAAGGAAGAGCGATGCGAGCGGGAGCCTCCTGTTGACGATGACGACTTTGGTGGACTCGCTTGCCCTCCGCTGGACGACCTTGAAGCTGTCTTCATCCTTGAAACCCTGACTTGCGATCCCTCCGACTTATTCGACGACATCAAACTTGACGATGACGACTTTGGTGGACTCCCTTGCCCTCCGCTGGACGACCTTGAAGCTGTCTTCATCCTTGAAACCATGACTTGCAATCCCTCCAAGTTGTTCGACGACATCAAACTTGACGAGCGCGACTTGGCAATTCTGGAGAAGCCCAAGAAACCATCTCACGGAAAAGGCAAGGATTTGGAGACCCTCCACTTCATGCTAAGCGCACCGCCTCCATCTTGTTGTCAACAAAACCCTAAGGGGCCCGAGCAATCTGACCCTCATCATCATCCGCAAGATTGGGATGATGAAGAGAAGTTGGAGACTAACCAAGGCTATCAAGAGTTTCAAAACAAGGGAAAGAAAATTGGAGTTATTGATAAGCGGGGCAAGTTTCTGACCAGCTCGAGGAAGTGCCGAGCGTTCTGATTTCTGGGAGAGCACGTTTGTTACTGTCTAGTTTATTCAATTCATTCTTTAATTGATATCAGATGTAAGTACATGGTTTTTGAACCACAAAACGATTACAAGTACATGGTTTTTCAGGAGAGCTAGCACGTATTTTATTGTCTTGTTTATTCTGTAATTGTGACCATTTTAAGTAATTGTAATTCGAGTTATAGATGTTCCTAGTGCCGAAGGTACCTATTTTCCATGTTGGGTTGTGTTTAATTTTTGGTTTATGTGGAATTTGTTTTGGTGAAATGGGTTCTTTTTGTTTCTGGGTAGGGGGAACTTGTGTACGAGAGGAACACCCACTTCTCTTTTGGGTGTTCCTCTTGGACATAACTCTTTGGTTCTCAACAAACATTCAATTTTTTTAATTTGTAAATACAGTTTCCACTTAGTTAGGAAATGAATATTAGTCCAAATTCATGAAAGGAAATGATATATATTTTAGTTTCACATAACCTGGCTATCTATATGTATCATTGATGATTTTCTCTAAAGTATCTCACAGGATTTTGGCATCACTTTGTGGGAAAATTTGTAAATATTCTTAGCTGATAATATCTGCATGTGTGTGGTCAGGTTGTTTAATGTCCACCTTGTACATTCATGATAGATCTGGAATCTAGGGAATTGGAGAAATATCATGCTTCTTGTTGTTGATGATGAGTTTTTCAGAATTTCATGTGAAGCATGAATTGAAGTCATTGAAATATGGTTCTGGCAATGCAGGGAAAAAAATTCCCATGTTTTCTTTTCCACTCAGGAACAAGAATTGGAACAGTATTTCATTGAAGGTAATGGTTTAGCACCTAAAAGATATCGGTCTGTCTAAAAGTTACATCTTATTACTATTTTAACCAGTTATATGTTAGACACACAGATTTTGCTGAATCTAGTAGTATATTTGTCATTACCTTCTGAGATTGGCAAATATTTTAATGATGTTTAAGGTTAATCAGGGACCCTTTTATACACACATTTTACAACATTATATGCCTCTTACATGTGGTTCTGATTCTTTTGGTTGCCGAGCTTTTGGTTATTAGCTTTTCTCAAACGGGGTCATAAAGAATGGCTTGCGGAAGCTCAATTTCTTTTCATTGTAAATCATCCAAATCTAGTACAACTTTTAGGATATTGTTCTGTAGATGGAGAAAGAGGGATACAGCGGCTACTGGTATATGAATATTTGCCTAATAGAAGCTTAGAAGATCATCTTTTCAACCAGGCCTTGCCCACAATGCCTTGGATGACAAGACTACAGGTTATGCTTGGTTCTGCTGAAGGATTGGCTTATGACTATGCCTGGAGGGTAGACTGTGCATGCTGAAGTGTGGAAATTTTAAACTGTGTTTTTGACAGGTTGAAAAATTTGGTTAAGTCCATTTTTCAAGGGAGACTCTGCCGAACTTTCGGTAGAAGTCTCAGCTCTCTTTTCCTTTGTTTTAGGGGAAGAGGACATTTGAAATTAGTAAGTGGGCCAAGTATCGGTTGGATGTCGAAAATACCACAGGATCCGTCACGGATTCCGAGGAATTCGGGGCGAGTCCTGTCATTTTATTTGTATTGTTATAGCTTGGTTTTTTCAATCTTTATCTTTTAATTATTATTTTAAGTTTGAAATCCTAGTTGGAATGCATACGCCAGAGTTTCTTCGATACTGTGTGCTCGTTAGTGGAGGCGCACCAGATTGTCTTAATTTTGATGTTTGGTAAAGTATTGGCTTTTCACTCGATAACTTACCGGTAAGTTGTAGTCTTTTCACTGCATCATTTACATGTCGATTAAATATCGGCTTTTCACGCAATAACTTACCGGTAAGTTATAGGCTTTTCGCTCAATCATTTACCTGACGATTAAATATTGGCTTTTCACGCAATAACTTACCGGTAAGTTATAGGCTTTTCACTCCATCACTTACATGATGGTTAAATATTGGCTTTTCACGCTATAACTTACCGGTAAGTTATTGGCTTTTTGCTCTATCACTTACATATTGAGCGTAAAATTATCACACATGCATGCGCACTGATTTGATTGAAGTTGCCATTGTTTTTCGATCAATTTTAACATGCAAATACTAGTCATAACTCTAGGGGTTATTTTTTGTTATTTCAATCCCTAGTATGGACATGAATATATTAAATTAACAAAGACATAACTATTTTCGGTAGAAAGGTTAAAGAGCGTGCTGTTGAAATTGCCAAGGCCATAGATGACGAAGATGGGTTGATAGGAGCATTGAATGCCTTTCATAGGCACTTTCCTCACAGTAAATCTGAGGATAAACCCGAGTCATTGCCTGCTAGAAGTGGCTTATTTTCCATCAGTAGGTGTTTTGGCTATTCCCATTTCAGTACACATCCCACGGCCTCTCCTCCACATTTGTAAGTTGGAGCAGTTTCTCTCTGTAATGAGGCTGACTTGAGTACCCTATAATAGTAAGAAAAGAAAAGAATACCCACAGATTATCTTGTAATGACTGCAAAAAGATTCAGTCTCCAAGCCCCAAGTTGTTAGTGTGTCAACTAGCTGAAAATGCAGTTTTGTTTTAGTACACAAAATTGTATTTACAAGCTCCTTTTGCTCTACCATCCCCAACCAACAAACCACCAGTAATAGTGACATGTACATTTATCTTCAAGTTCTCAATCTTGTTGTTGCTATAACAATAATTGTAGTAGACGAAGAATTTGCTAAACAGTTCTGTCTTACTTTGCTAGACCATAGTTTGTCATAAAATTGTGCAAACAAAACAAAAAAAAAAGACAAAAATAAAAAGAACAACTAAGGCAGCTTTGAAAAACAAAGACTAAGGGCGTTTGACTAAAACAACCAAAGTCATTCAAAGGTTGGAAAAAACTAAAAAGAGACAAGTCATTTTTTTCCTTGCGTAGAGCTCATCGATACGAGTTCATAGACACGTAGTGGGCCCAAATCGCAGTTTTAACGAAGAAGTTACGGTCAGCGGAAGCACAGTGGCACAATTGTAAATATTTCAAGGTCAGAATTTTAAAACCCAGGTCAGCTTCTTTTTCTCTCTCTTTCTCCTACCACGACTCTCTCTCTCTCTCCCCGTCGCACAACAACATTTTCCGACGCTGAATCCGGTTTCGTCCGGCCACCGTTTTCGACGAAACGACTTGCAAACTTTTCCTCTCCTCCTCTACTTGACCCACCCAATTTAAAAAACCCGAGTCTCACCCAGGTGCAACCGCGAGATAAAATATATTTTTGGACTCTAATTTGGTCATTGGGATCGAATCCTATTTATTAGATTTGTTAAGTTCGGTTTTGAATTTGTCGGTAGCTTGAAGGGATGTGGTTATAATGTGTTTGTGATTGTGTCGGGGCTGAAACCTATTTTAGATTGATGAATGATTGCGGATTGAGTCCTTACAACTACTTATGACTATGCCTGGAGGGTAGACTGTGCATGCTGAAGTGTGGAAATTTTAAACTGTGTTTTTGACGGGTTGAAAAATTTGGTTAAGTCCGTTTTTCAAGGGAGACTCTGCCGAAATTTCGGTAGAAGTCTCGGCCCTCTTTTCCTTTGTTTTAGGGGAAGAGAACATTTGAAATCAGTAAGTGGGCCCGGTATCGGTTGGATGTCGAAAATATCACAGGATCCGTCACTGATTCCGAGGAATTCGGGGCGAGTCCTGTCATTTTATTTGTATTGTTATAGCTTGGTTTTTTCAATCTTTATATTTTAATTATTATTTTAAGTTTGAAATCCTAGTTGGGATGCATACGCCAGAGTTTCTTCGATACTGCGTGCTCGTTAGTGGAGGCGCACCAGATTGTCTTAATTTTGATGTTTGGTAAAGTATTGGCTTTTCACTCGATAACTTACCGGTAAGTTGTAGTCTTTTCACTGCATCATTTACATGTCGATTAAATATCGGCTTTTCACGCAATAACTTACCGGTAAGTTATAGGCTTTTCGCTCAATCATTTACCTGACGATTAAATATTGGCTTTTCACGCAATAACTTACCGGTAAGTTATAGGCTTTTCACTCCATCACTTACATGATGGTTAAATATTGGCTTTTCACGCTATAACTTACCGGTAAGTTATTGGCTTTTTGCTCTATCACTTACATATTGAGCGTAAAATTATCACACATGCATGCGCACTGATTTGATTGAAGTTGCCATTGTTTTTCGATCAATTTTAACATGCAAATACTAGTCATAACTCTAGGGGTTATTTTTTGTTATTTCAATCCCTAGTATGAACATGAATATGTTAAATTAACAAAGACATAACTATTTTCGGTAGAAAGGTTAAAGAGCGTGCTGTTGAAATTGCCAAGGCCATAGATGACGAATATGGGTTGATAGGAGCATTGAATGCCTTTCATAGGCACTTTCCTCACAGTAAATCTGGAAGTCCAGGTGCATATAGTTTCTATCCATTTTATCTGATTTGACCATACTATTGTTAGTCAGTTATTTTTAACTTAAAACTTCCACATCATTTGAACATATGGCTCCTCTGTGCCGGCTTGCTAGTTTTGGCAATGTTAATTTAACCAATGGAAACTAATAACATAATCGATAAAGGTATTTCTGTGATTTCAGAAGATATTGGTATTTATTTACGAATGTGTGAGAATTTTAGTTAGGTCGTCTTTTTAAATTGACTGAGGATTTGAATTGGGACTGCTGATATTTCATGTTGTGTTATATATCTTTTTCTTGTTTCTTACTTTCAAACTGCAATCTCTGTTTTTGGAACTTCAAGGGTATGTTCTACTCATGTAATGTAACTGCCATAAGTTAGGTACAGATGAAGATTTTTCGTCTGACGGCTAGAAAAAATAGATTACAGAGGAAAGACCATTTCTGTTAGATTAAAGCAAAGAACCTTTGCTGCTACATTTGAGTCATTTCAGGAGAAACAAAAATTCCCACAACTAGAAAATGAATACTAGTGTGTGTTGCTTCAGTGGTGGGGTTACAATTAAAGAAGTCACAGGCTTGGTTCAGCTCTACTTGTGGGCTTGAAAAAACTAATATCCTCATATCCTTATTTTACTTCTGATATCCAAATATTGCAGAAATTATATGCATATGGATATGACATTCTTGAGAGTATTTTCACTTGCTTAGTTAGCACATTTATGTCAAAGGTCCTCTTTTTCCACGGTAACAAGTGCTGGTTAATGTCACATTTTTTTCACTTGCTATAAAAGAATTCAAGGAATCTTTTCTTTCTTCTTGTAATAGTCTAGAATGGAAGAAGGCGGTGAAATAGGGGAAGACTCAGTAGACTGATCTGTGGAATTGCTGTAATCCATGCTGAGCCTTTTACCTTTTTCTTTTTATTAGTTTGAAGACGTAGCTGCGCACTGTGGTAGCATTCATGCGAAAATTGCTTGTTTTTTTTTCTTCTCTTTCTTTCCCTTTTCTTCAGGGAATCATTCTTGTGGAGTGAAATTTAATTACATTGATTACCCAAAAGTTCATGGAACCACCCTCAATTAAGTAATAACACTTTGATTCAAAAATGCTTTCATGGTTTCATCAGTGCAGCATTAATATTTTACTTCAATTTTCTTTCCTGTTATTAATTCTTCTATCCGAATTCCCATCGAACAAAATTAGTCTAAGTTCTTGAGATTAATGGCTAAATTTTCAGATTTCACAGTTTTCATTGCACAACAATTTTTCAGGACAAATTTTGAAAAACAATGACTACAGCATATAGCTTCTCATCAGAGGAGTTGCATGACATATTATGCAAGTGCAAAGGAGGTGCATTATGTTGCAACATTCTTAAGCAAAAATAGATAAGCTGCTCATATATATAGATAGTAGATACATTATAAATTTGACGGAAAAGAAACAGAGCAATACATAGCTCTTACCATTTATCTTTGAAGTATCCTATGCATTTTTTCCTTGTGCAGTGCTGTTGTAACATAAATCCAGTCTTTTGTATCATTCAGGACTTGGAAATAGGCATATCTCCATGAACTCTTCAGCAGTAAAGTCCCGTAGACATCCCAAAATCCCATGAGGAAACCCAGCACTATACTTGCATAAAATCCCAAGTATATGAGGCCATCTTTGTCTCCTTCGGTGTTACAATCACTTTTGTTGCCACTGGTGATTCCAGGATCTTGAGTTGTTTCATCTCCAGGGCATTTCTGTGTCACTGGTGGTCCACAAAGTCCAAGATTTCCCATATATTGAGAGGAGTTAAAACTCTGAAGTTGGGCGCTTAGGGGAGTACTTCCTGACAAGTTATTGTATGATAAGTCCAAGACACTCAGAAAATTCAAGCTCGAAAAGCTTGATGGAATTCTACCAGATAGCTGGTTTCTTGACAAGTCAAGAGATTCAAACATCTTCAACTGACCAAAATTTTCAGGAAGTTTTCCCCACAGATTGTTTCTTGATAGGTTGAGAGAGTTCAACTTTGTCATACTTGCAATATTTTCCGGAATCTCACTGACCAAGTGATTGCTTGAAATGTCAATGCTTAAGACTTCTCCCAAACTCAATATCAACTCCTTTCCACACCAGTTGTACAAATATATCAACGATTGTGAAATCGTACAACTCATAAGACAAAGTTGTTATATTGTTGAGGCAATGTGGCAGGGCTCCAGATATATTGTTCTGGGAGAGGTCCAAAACATGAATGATGGATAGACTGCATAGAATTAAGGGCATGCTTCCATTGAACTTAGGCTTTGGCTATCCATGCTAGTATTTTTCCAGATAACTTGTTGGCTCCAAGGTCAACCACCACTAATTCTGTACAGTTCTCTAGATAAGGAAACTCTCCTGAAAAGCTGTTATCATGTAAACGTAAGGATATAATATTCATCAAATAGCCTAATGACCTTGGTAACTTCCCAGATAAATTGTTCCCTGCCAAATTCAGTGGCAACAATCCTTGAAAGTGCTTCCAACAATTAGGAAGTTTTCCTGATAGAAGGTTCTCATAAAGGTCGAGAACATGCAAATCCGGAGCCTGTGTTGCACATACGGAAGATAGGGTCTCGGAAAACATGTTTTTGGAGAGAAATGCAACGTTAATGCTACGAGGGAATGATGGGAGTGGACCAGACAAATGATTAGAACTCAAGTCAATAATAACATAGGAGCTGTTTTCTGATGACAGATTTGGGAGCTTCCCATGGATTTGGTTCATAGAGAGATTTAACTCAACTAAGCTGGAAGATAGGTCCCAAAATATATTTGGTATTGAGTCAGATATCCCAGCATTGGACATCTCAAGATTGGTAAGTTTTTTTCTGCCTATGAATCCATTTGGGAAAAGTTGGGCCAACCTGGCAAGAGGTCATGATTAATGTATCAAGTTGAAACAGTGGGTTCCAATCTGAGCTGAAGTTGAAGGACAAAGAGGATTATGAGAAATATCGAAAGATTGTAAACGAGAGAGGTTCAAGAAATGTGCTTCTGTTATGACACCATTCAAAGAATTCCAATAAAGTTCCAAAACTTCAAGGCTAGAAAGTTGCCCTACACTCTGTGGCAGAGATCCCTTTAGTTGATGATTTGAAATAAATAAAGTTTGAAGCTAAGCTCAACAATGTTAGCTGGGAAATTTATCCTAGTGTTCTTGGGAGAGACCCACTCATATAACCCTCCATGTTTATACTTGTCAGGGATAGAAATGTGGTAAGATCATCAGGAAATGACCCCCAAAATGGGTTACTGCTTAAGTCCAAGTACTTAAGGCTATCCTTTGCACACGAAATTTTTTCTACGGCATCTTGAAGCTTTTCAGAAAATTTGTTTGACGCTAAATCTAATGTTCCTAAGCTGCATAGATTTCGGAAGGATTTTGGTATCCCACCTTCAAGGTTGTTATAAAAGAGTTGAAGAGATGTCAGAGAGACCATGTTTGTGAAAACATCTGGGATGGGACCTTGTAGCTGATTTCCTCATAATCCAATATGGACAAGGTTGCTGCTGAGATTAGATATCCTATAAAATATTGAGGTATTCAAAAGAAGATTCTCATAAAGTTCAAGGACCTGAAGAGAGGTGGAAGAAGAATTAATAAAGGGCATTGATGATCGGAGGTCAACATCAGGAAGATCACATTTTGATAACTGAAGCTCTATCAGTGAAGAGAGCTTGCTTATAGTTTGTGGCCAACTTACAACCTTGGGAAAAATTTAGAGATATCATGTTCAAGTACCTCAAGGAAGAAAGATAAGACAACCAATCTGAATTTTTTGATGTAACATGGTTGAAGGAAAGGCTGCAAATACTCAAATGGAATTTAGGGTTATGAATAATTTAGTATATTTCTATTCTTCTCGTAAGGAGGTATTTATAGTGATACAAATACAAGCCTATCTAGGAAGTAATTACAATAAGGAAAAAAGAAATAGATACAACCCAGTCAAACCGATATTCCTATAATTACAAACCAATTATAATAAAGGTAATTGTCTATAATTCCTATTGTGATTCTGTGATTCATGCCAACACTCCTCCTCAAGATGGTGCATAGATGTCGAATATGCTCAGCTTGACAAGTGAATCTGTAAAGGCTTGATTTGATACGGCCTTGGTCAACATATTCACCAATTGTTCAGTAGTCTTAACATATGGAACTTCAATAATCTTCTCTTCCAATTTCTCATAAATAAAGTTTCGATGAATCTCTACACATTTCGTTCTATCATGTTGAATTGGATTTTCAGCAATCTTAATTATTGACTGATTATCACAATACAACTTCATAGTATCCTCAATAGGAAAACCCAGCTCCCCCATAAGCCTTTTCAACCATAGTAGTTCACAAACACCTTTCACCATAGTTCGATACTCGGCCTCTGCACTCAACAAAGAGACAACCTTCTGCTTTTTGCTCCTCCAAGTAACCAAGTAACCTCATACAAATGTGAAATAAATAGATGTCGATCTCCTCTTATCCCTATTTCCTGCCTAATGTGAGTTTGTATACCCCACAATCTTTACAGGCCCATGCTTTAAGAACATTAGAACTTTTCCTGGTGTGGACTTCAAATACCTCAAAATTCGGACTACTGCATCCATATGTCGTACACTTGGATTATGCATGAAACTACTTACACACTTACTGCATATGCAATATCAGGTCTAGTGTGAGACAAATAAATCAAACAATCAACCTACCTTTGATATCGTTCCTTATCAGTTGGAACTTGATGTGGACATTCTTCCAAACCATGATTTTGTTCTATAAGAGTACCAATTAGTTCACACCCAAGCATACCTGTTTCCTTTTTGCAAATCAAGAACATATTTTCTTTGTGACAAAAAAATTCCCTGTTCAAAATGAGTTACCTCAATACCCAAAAAATATTTTAATCCCCCGAGATCCTTCATATTGAACTTAGAAGCTAAATAGCCTTTTAGTTTGCCAATTTCATTAAGATCATCACCAGTCACAATCATATCATCAACATAAATAATAAGAGCTATTAAACTTATCATTCTTCCTTTTAAGAAATAAAGTATGAACATCATTGCTCTGCTCATAACCGTATTTTTCAAAGGTAGGAAGGAATCTCCCAAACTAAGCTCTCGGAGACTGCTTCAATCCATACAGTGTCTTCTTCAATTTACTCACAACACTTGCATCATTATGAGTATTATAACCTAGCGGCAATGACATGTAGACTTCCTCATGTAAGTCTCCAAGTAAGAAGACATTTTTTACATCATATTGATGCAATGGCGAGTTAAAGTTTTTAGCTAAAGATAATAGAATTCGAATGGTATTGATCTTAGCCACTTGTGCAAATGTCTCTTGATAATCAATACCATTTGTCTGTGTAAAACCTTGGGCCACAAGTCTGGCTTTGTACCTGTCAATAAAACCATTTGGTTTGTGCTTTATGCAACCAACTGGTTTATTCCCTTCTGGTAGTTGCACCAATTCCCAAGTTTGATTTTTCTCAAGAGCTTGCATCTCTTCAGTCTTAGCACTCGCCCACTTTGAATCAGATAATGTATCTTGTACTTTACTAGGAGTAGCCACCGTAGACATTTGATTTACAAATGCCTGACAAGCTTCAGCTAATCTCTGAGTAGACATATAATGAGCAATATGATACTTTACCTTTGTCGAAGGCTTTGGTGAATATCTATCTGGTGGCTTCCCACGATTACTCATTGGTGGTAACTGATACACACTACACTCAACAATTTCACAATAATTATTAGTATTAGTCAAAGATTCTATACTTACCTCAGGAATGTCAGCATGAGGAGACTCAGAGCCGGGTACTAGAGAGGTAGTGGAGAGAGGCGGTGCCGACTTTATTAGCTATGGGTGCGGCGGTGGTGGTAGGTTTAATCACAGGTGTAGTATCTGTGCAGGTCGATTCGTTACTAGCTGTCAAATCACGCGTGGCTAGCTAATTGACCTAAATGTTATCTTGAAAGAACTCCATCCATTTCAACTCTTCAATGCTACTCTCTCATATAAGAGGAGAATGGGATACGAGTTGAGCAAAATACATCTCATGCTTAGAAAACGTAACATCCATAGTAACATAAAAAGTCGAGTCAGCAGATGAAAGCACCAATAACCCTTTTGATAAGGGTGATAATAAATAAATACACACTTCACAACACACGGATCGAATTTCTTACGTTGGTGTTTGTGCAAGCACACAAAAGTCAACGCACACAAAAACACGAGGTAGAAGAGTGAGGTGAGATGGAAGGGAAAACATAAGCCTCCAATTTGTCCAATGGGATCTTAAACTGCAGGACATTAGTAGGAACACAGTTAAGAAGATAGACTGCAGAGGTGATCGCCTCATCCCAAAATTGTGGGCTCAAGCTGGCACCAAAAGACTAACACAAGTAATTTCAAGAATTTGGCGATTCTTCCTTTCAGCTACACCATTCTACTGAGGTGTGTAAGGACAAGTAGTCTCATGTAGAATTCCATGTTCTTGAAAATAACTGTGTAAGACCTGATCAACATATTTACCACCATTATTCGAACGAAGAACCTTTAAAGTAGTAGAAAACTGAGTTTTAATCACTTGGTGAAAAGTTTGAAAGCAAGTGAAAACATCACTCTTATTTTTCATCAGATATAACCACATCATGGGGGGGGGGGGGGGGGGGGGGGTGCAATCCACAAAAATAACAAACCAACGGAAGCCAGAAGTAGTAATAACTGGAGCATGGCCCCAAACATCAGAATGTGACAAAACAAAAGGCACAAATCTTTTACAAGAGCTAATAGGAGAAGTTGCACGGTGACTTTTTGCCAAAATGCAAGTGGCACACTTAAAATTTGAAGGTTTACAAGCTGAAAATATAGATGGAAACAAATGCTGTAAATAGCCGAATGAAACATGACCCAAACGAAGATGCCATAACCACAATTGATTCTCAAATGCATAGTTCGAACCCTTGACAGACAGAGATTTGCTCGCACACACATCGTCCACCTAGTACAAGCCCTCTCTCTTAGTATCACGCCTAATAATCTCCCTACAGCTGAGATCTTGAAGAATACAGAAAGTAGGATAGATTAATACTAAACAATTTAATTGTTTTGTTATTTGCGGAATAGATTACAAATTATTGGAGAGCGTAGGAAGCAATAAAGTATGGTCCAATGTGAGAGAGGGACTTAAATCAACACTTCCAACACTAGTAACTGGAGAGGGCACACCATTGACATTACCAACAGGAGAACAAGCAGGAGAATGATTATAGTGAAGGAGAGACGCATCAAATGTCATATGATTAGTAGCTCCAGAATCAAGAATCCAACCATGGTCCTTTTTAGAATAAGTAGCAAGGAAAGCTAGAACAATATTACCTTATTGTTGGAGAAGGGCAGTATCTACTCCATAAGGAGTAGAGGTAACGGACACCATAGGAGATATGGTAGTAGCGAGAGGTGTCGGTTCAACAATATAAACGACGGCTATTCCCTTCTTCAGGCTAGGGCAGTTGTCTCGGCCTTCACGGGCCCTTTGTTCTTTATAACTATCCTACCATTCGGGGTATCTGTTCTTCTGAAAACACTACCCTCATAGTACTGTGACAATGAGTACACTCCCCAGCAGTAGAACCATGAGATGAGTGTTGAGTCAATGACTGATTCCTATGTTTCTTGATAGCCATAGGCACATTGGAAGCACTACTTGCCAGATAGCCTTCAAATCAGAAAAATAAGACCCAATGGGTCTTCCTACCTGCTTAGTCTCCATAGCTTTGCGAGATAAATTATAGATAATTGATCTATCAGCACATTCATAATATGTGTGAGACGCTGCCTCCCAAATATTTTTGGCTATGGGAAGACGAATGAACAAATTCATCACACTCGGTTCCATGGCACCGATAAGCCAACATTTCACAATAGCATTCTCCATCACCCACTTGTCATAGGTGAATGCATCAGGAGCAGGTTCTGGAATAGTACTAGTAAGATAGTAACAACTTGGGACTAGAGAGTGTAGTTGGTGCCATTTAACTTGACACCATAAGGAATAGATGTCGGGTCGGAAACAATAGTCACAACCGGCGTAGAAGTAGAAGTACTCGAAGCATCAGCAGCAGCCTCTTGATAAAAAAGGTTGCCAATCTCAATATCGTCAAGAGCCATAAAGGTAGATTAGGGTAAGGTGTAGAATAAAGTGCAGAAAATTTCGGCAAGGGCGGGAAATATACGCAAATGTAGGGAGAAATAGTAACAATTTGCTGGAAGGCAAGGGTAGGAAAAATTATGGCAAGGTACGATATCAATAATAGTAGCGGCGGCGGCGGCGACGACAAAGAATAGCAGTGGCAACATGATCTTAGGATCACTGCTATGATACCAACTCAAATAGAATTTAGGGTTATGAATAATTCAATATATTTCTATTCTTCTCGCAAGGAGGTATTTATAGTGATACAAATACAAGCCGATGTAGGAAGTAATTACAATAAGGAAAAAAGAAATAATTATACTAACGTCTCAGCATTTGTTGGCAACCAAACAACCCAATCAATTTCCAGCGTGGAATTAAATACGAATTCGCAAGAACTAAACTCAGAGATGCCCCACCTTCAAGAAAAAATAAACACCCCATTTCAGAAATTTTCTAGAGAGAATGAAACCAAAAAGAGAAGAAAATGGACAAAGGAAAAAATGAATGTACAGACAAAGAAGAAGAGCCTAACGTCACGTAAGCCACATTTTCTCCATAGACTAATGGGGATGAGCCTAACCTCACGTAAGGGGCAACTTATTTTTCGAGTGCTGATGATTTGTTCTTCTTTTGAATGTTTTGTTGATATTTTTGCAGCATGATGGATTCTAGCAAAAAAGAAAAAAAAGAAAAAAGAACCATGCTGCAAACCCACCCCATAAAAGTGGAAAAGGAAGAACAACACTCACAAGGAATTCGACTATAGTGCTGTAGACGTGCCTACAAAAAAAATCACATTTTAATCTAATAGGGTTTTTCTTTTTAGATTTATATGAGTTTTAGTTTTGAGGGCATTTTAGTTTTGAGTTTTATAAAAATTGACATTGACTAAAAGTCAAATTTTTATTTTTTTATTTTTTATTTTTCCGATGAAGATTGAGTAGAAGTCTACACAACGTATAGCTAGAAATAATGTACACAATAATTTCCACGCAAATTCATGTGTACAAATCAACAAAATGTAACCTACTTAAGTCAATCCATGTTCCTTTTTTGGGAGCTATATATATAAATTTGGACTGCAAAAATCAAACTCTGCAACTCAGTTTGATAAATAATGAATATCATATCCATTATTCGGTTGTTATGGCGCATAATAATACTAAGTCGTTGCTATGGAGCTGCAGCGCCTATAGCAAAGCCTAATTGCACAACGCATTGTGGAGATGTTGCCATCCCATTCCCTTTTGGGATTGGACCTAACAAAGATTGTTACTTAGATGAATGGTTTCAAATAGACTGCAGGCACAACAACTATACAACCTCAGCTAATTACAGCAGGCAGGCGCCTTTCCTCAAGAGCCTCAACCTAGCTGCTAAGTATTTTTCCTATTAAAGATGGCAGGCAATCGGTTCAGGTTAAGAACCCTATTACCTTCTTCAGATGCAAGGGAAAGGAAACTCTCCAACCCCAGAATTTGACGGGCAGTCCTTTTATTTACTCTCGGACACACAACATATTCATTGCAGTGGGTTGTAAGCTCTTTGCCCAAATGAGCTCAGATCATGAGACTATCCCTGAAAGTGGTGAAACTTTATTTCATTTTGGTTTGAAACTCAAATTAAAACTCAAATTTGGTTTCCTAGTTTTCCAAGTCCTTTCTCCATTGACTCATGCTATATAGTGAAGTCTACATACAAAAAATAATAATTTACTTATAATTTTATATTTAGTAGATAGTCAATGACCATTTGTAAGGGGATAAGTTATAGTCATCAACCTCTTATAGATAGTCCTCATTCATCCTCCAAGTTAGGCAACATATCCATATTATGACTAAACAAGCCCATAACATGTTTAATACAAAAAAATGATCCTTTACTCATAATAATTTTATATTTTGTAGACCAATTCTCTATATAGCATGAGTCAAACATGGCTAGCTATAAACAACATACACTATAATTTCCACGCAAATTCATGTGTGCACAAATCAACGAAATGTAACCTACTTAAGTCAATCCATGTTCCTTTTTTGGGAGCTATATAAAGTTTGATATACATCAATTTGGACTGCAAAAATCAAACACTCTACAAATCAGTTTGATAAATAATGAATATCATATCCATTATTCTGTTGTTATGGCGCATAGTAATACTAAGTTGTTGCCATGGAGCTGCAACAACTAGTGCAGCATCAGCGCCTATAGCAAAGCCTAATTGCACAACGCATTGTGGAGATGTTGCCATCCCATTCCCTTTCGGGATTGGACCTAACAAAGATTGTTACTTAGATGAATGGTTTCAAATAGACTGCAGGCACAACAACTATACAACCTCAGCTAATTACAGCAGGCAGGCGCCTTTCCTCAAGAGCCTCAACCTGGAGCTGCTAAGTATTTTTCCTATTAAAGATGGCAGGCAATCGGTTCAGGTTAAGAACCCTATATTCTTCAGCTGCGAGGGAAAGTAAACTCGTCAACCCCAGAATTTGACGGGCAGTCCTTTCCTTTACTCTCACACAGAGAACATATTCACTGCAGTGAGTTGTGGCCTCTCTGCCACTATGACCTCAGATCGTGGGACTGTCACTGGTTGCCGGTCTATTTGTCAAAACACTACAGGGGACGACTTTCGCAAGCGCTATGAACGTGGCGGCTGTTGCCAAGATACTCTTGTAACATATGAACTCACCAGAGGTTTTACTATTGAGATACCATCAAATTCATCAACATCATATCCAACGGACGATTGCAAGTATGCATTTTTGGTTGAGACAAATTGGTTTGATAGCTTATTGTATGGACAGCGTTCCTGTGGTGCTAGACTGGATCTTAGAAGTACATGACTATGGTGAAAGATTCAGAGGAAAAACAGACCAGAGTGGTAACCACTCAACACCCTTTTGCCACAGCTATGATGATTGGAACACGATAACTTGTGTCTGTCAGCCAGGCATGGAATCTTCTCCAACCTTGTCAAGGTACGCAAACTGAATCTCTTCTTTCTGGATTTAGATTGATCCTTGATTTCTAATCTCGGTGGTCTACTATAAAAAAGTAAAGGTATTTACCCTTGGAAAGAAACTAAGAGACTGCCTTGTATATATGGAAATTATCTTTTCACCTTCTGATGCAATTTGAACATATGCGATTCTTATATGTGTGAGTTTGGACTGAAGCATATCTCGGGTCATCATCATTTCAGATATTGATGAATGCAAAGGCAGTAATGAGTGTCGAGGCGTTGTATGTGAGAATTTGGTTGGGGGTTATAGCTGCTACTCAAATATAAATGGCCGTAGATGTACGTATTTTGCTGTCGGTAATACTACTGCTACTACATGCCACTTCAGAACCACATCGGGTCGGGCCTCTGAAACTGAAATCAATACTATTATTTTAGGTATATAGTACTCCTATCTTCTTACATCTCTCAAAATAATAATATATGTATCTTCCACCATGGTAATATTATTCAAAAGTTTTTTGGGTTACAATGTTGTTCTAAATGTTTTTGGTTGGACAAGGGTTTAGAAATGATAATGGATATAATTCAATACCTATTGATGCAGGTCTTGGCTCCGGTGTTGGGCTATTGTTTCTACTCATTGGGGCATGGTGGGTACACAAAATCGTGAAGAAAAGGAAACCATTGCACGCAAGAAAATGTTTTTCAGGTGGTTTATTGTTAGAGCAACAATTATTGTCAGGCAAAGTTCATGTTGACAAAATCAAGTTATTCAATTCAAAAGAATTAGAAAAGTCCACCAACAATTTTAGTATTGATAGTGTTAGGGAGTTACCACCACCATCATGACATTCAATCATAGTTATACCTATTCAAGGAGTATTTCCGTTACATTGTTATTGTATCTTAATTATAGTTTTATTGTATTGTAATTACTACACTACCGTTGTAAACCATTTAGCTACCTCCTATGCCTGTATATAAGGCATGTACCCGTGAATTGCATATATGAAAAAGTATCTCTTTTCTACAGATAGAATTCTTGGTCAGGGAGGTCAAGATACCGTTTACAAAGGCATGTTGGCGGATGGAAGAATTATTGCGGTAAAGAAGTCCAAAATGGTGGACAAAAGCAGGCTCTCAGAATTCATCAATGAGGTTGTAATTCTTTCACAAATCAACCACAGAAATGTGGTTTCAAATTGTGGGATATTGTTTAGAAACCGAAGTTCCACTTTTGGTCTACGAATTCATACCGAATGGAACTCTTTCTCAATATATCCAAGGGCATATTGAGGAATTCCCACTCACATGGGATAGGCGGTTGCAAATTGCCACAGAAATTGCGGGTGCTCTTTCGTACCTACACTGTGCAGCTTCCTTTCCCATTTATCACAGAGACGTCAAGTCTGCCAACATACTTTTGGATGAAAAATACAGAGCAAAAATTGCTGATTTTGGAACTTCAAGATCAATTTCCATTGACCAAACTCATCTAACCACACGTGTACAGGGAACATTTGGTTACTTGGACCCAGAATACTTTCGATCAAGCCAATTTACGGAGAAAAGTGACGTCTATAGCTTTGGAGTTGTCCTTGTTGAGCTCTTGACGGGGCAAAAACCAGTTTCTGCAGTAACAGGGTCACAAGAAGAAGAATACAGAAGTCTTGCCACATATTTCATTACCTCAATGCAAGAAGATCGTCTGTTTAACCTTGTTGATGCTCAAGTTCTGGAGGAGGGCTCTGAAACAGAAATCCAAGTAGTCGCTAACCTTGCAAGGAGATGCTTGAATTTGAACGGAAGAGACCGTCCTACAATGAGAGAGGTTACATCAGAACTAGAGGCTGTTCAAATGTCAAGAAAACCTTCCATTAGTGCTCAGAAAAATTCTGACGGGGTTGATTTTGTGGAAGATGAATCAGTTGGGCATTGGGATGTTGAATCACTTTCAGAAGTGTCGGCTAGCTACTAAAAACATGGGTTTATGCCATTGTTGCGATCTGCAAGTCATGGTGAATTCCTTTTAATGATATAAACTTTGTTTCATTAGATGTTGTTGTACTATAATTTTGGTGTATTGAGTTTCAGTCTTATATTCCTAGGTTTTATGTAACTTTTTTTTATTTATCATTTTACAGCATGCCAGTGAAGGAAGAAATATGAGTAGTGAAACTTCACCAAATCTGAGACAAGCACAATCTGCATCAACTGCAACTTCTTTCATTTTATTTTATCTAGACACTTGTTTCACATCTATTTCACTTTATCCCCAGTCATTCCTTGCATATTGCAATAATTCCATTTGAAACTGTAGTGGAAGATTCTGAATTATTTTCCATTTGAATCCAGATAATAGTGTATTTGCTTAATCCAGAAGATTATTTCATTAACTATTAGCCAATCATTGGCTTTGTCACTACAAAAAAAGTGGGCAATAGTCACGTTTTTCATAGTAACAAAATCAGTTTTCGTTACATTTGGTAGATGGTCAATGATTTGCACCTATATTTGAACTGATTTACATATCATGAGTGAGTTACTACCCAAGCATATTCTTCTTACATGAAGATGAAGGTTCTTTCATTTGAATTAATCTGTTTTGTATAGAAAGCGACTTAGTTTAAGCAAGCATGGAGAGAAAACTTAAGAAAGCACATGCAAACTTAAGCTTTTATCATAAATACAATGCTTTGTTCAAGTTGACAATGCTGGTGATTTTGAGATGGATTGATTGAAAGATGACTTTAAAGCTTCCCTGGTTTTATTGGTTGTTTTTTTGCAACAAATGCTGACTTTGGGCCTCTAAGAGTAACTCCAGCGGAGCCCCCTTGCCTCGGGCTGGTGGAAAAAAAGCAAAAATTGGTTTCAGTATTTCAAGAATTAATATGAACACTACAAAAAAAAGTGGGCAATAGTCACGTTTTTCATAGTAACAAAATCAGTTTTCGTTACATTTGGTAGATGGTCAATGATTTGGGCTAGTCGTCACCATTCTTGCTCTGCTTTGGTGACTGTTGAATTAAATATAATAAAAACAAAAGGCAGGCCAAACTAGCGAAAAGAAAACACAAGTTGGTTTTTATCTTCTTCTTGGTAGCTCTTCTTCTGTGTTTTAATGGCTCTCTTACACTGCCCATTCTTGCAATAAGGCTTCAGGTCTGTCTGGGTTTCTTCTTCGACTTATTTTTAAACCTTAAATAAAAATTTCAGTTTTTGATGTAAGTTGTAGTGTTTGTTTAACTTTTTAAAGGTTCTATTCTATCGTCAGGCTTCAGATCTACCACCATCCCTCTATCATAATCAGATTTGCCATTTGGAGTTTGATTTTTAGGTTTCAATCAATTCTATTTCATTTTTTTCTTCTTAAGAAGGTTGATAAACTTTAATAATTTGTACTTTTGAGTGGACTTGACTTGTAAAAGCCATGGATCGAGGAATATGGCATCATTTCCTGCATCCAAGCTGCTGTACCTCTGCACCTTCGTAATTTATATATATATTTTTTTAGTTTTACCCTGCATTGAGAAGGTTAAGACTTTAGAATGATCATTTGCTTTGCTAACAAAAATTCCAAGCTTGATACGAAACTTAAGAATGAAGGAAGAAGCAAAATAATGGACTTGGTTTCAATTTTGTTTCAATTTTGTTTGAAACTCAAATTAAAACTCAAATTTGGTTTCCTAGTTTTCCAAGTCCTTTTCTCCATTGACTCATGCTATATTATGACTAAAAAAATGATCCTTTACTTATAATAATTTTATAGCATGAGTCAAACATGGCTAGCTATAATTTCCACCGCAAATTCATGTGAGCACAAATAAAAAAAACAACAACAACTAAGCAATATTAATCATGCTTGCCTTAGTAACCCCCTAGCGTGTCAGCCATCAAAAGAGGGCCAAGCCAAACCGGATTTTCCTCAAGAAACCAGCAACCCAGGTCAATGTCGCGTGGCTCCACTAGCAGCCAATCTGTCAGCAACCGAGTTCTTCTCTCTATAATAAATGTGTTGAAGCTTACTTGTTGGAATCTGGCGCATGAGTCTTCCTTGAATATCATAAAAAACTTCGAACCCTTCTCTTCTTTTCTTTTATTATTTTTAAGGTTTTTTAGGTTTTAGACATAAAAAAATTTCACTTTTGGAAAAAGCCAAAGCTTTTTCAAAAAAGACAAAAAAATCGCTCAACTTTCACATCAAAGACATGCAAATGTATTGGATTTCTTAGGAAATCTAAAAATAAATAAGGGCATTTTTGTCCATTTTTGCTTCTTTTAAAATTTTTCTCTCTCCTTTTGCTTTTTCCAAAATGTCCCTTTTTTTTATTTGGTAAAGATATGTAGACTTCACTTTACCATGTACACACGTACTTTAATACAAAAAATTATCATTTACTTGATAATTTTATATTTTATAGCATGAGATAAAACATGGCCTGCTAGAAATAATATGCATGCACACAACACTTTCCACGCAAATGCATGTTCCTTTTTTCGGAGCTATATAAAGTTTGATCATATACATCAATTTGGACTGCGAAAATCAAACTCTGCAAATCAGTTTGATAAATAATGAATATTATATCCATTATTCTGTGGTTATGGCGCATAATAATACTAAATTGTTGCTATGGAGCTGCAACAACTAGTGCAGCTTCACCGCCTATAGCAAAGCCTAATTGCACAACGCATTGTGGAGATGTTGCCATCCCATTCCCTTTCGGGATTGGACCTCACAAAGATTGTTACTTAGATGAATGGTTTCAAATAGACTGCAGGCACAACAACTACACAACCTCAGGTAATTACAGCAGGCAAGTGCCTTTCCTCAAGAGCGTCAACCTGGAGCTGCTAAGTATTTTTCCGTTTAAAGATGGCAGGCAATCGGTTCGGGTTAAGAACCCTATTACTTTCTTCAGCTGCCAGGGAAAGGAAACTCGCCAACCCCAGAATTTGACGGGCAGTCCTTTCATTTACTCTCATACAGACAACATATTCACTGTAGTGAGTTGTGACCACTTTGTTCGTTTGAGCTCAGATCATGGGACTGTCGCTGGTTGCGAGTCGACTTGTCGAAACAATACGGACTTCTTTAATGGCTGCAATAATGGCTGTTGCCAAGATACACTTGTAATATATGGACTCACCAGCGGCGGTTTTACTATTGAGATACAATCAAATTCATCAACATCATATCCAATGGACGATTGCAAGTATGCATTTTTGGTTGAGAGAAATTGGTTTGAGTCTAACTTATCGAATTTAAACTTACCGAATTTTCGATTAGTGAAGGATATGGACAGGGTTCCTGTGGTGCTAGACTGGATCTTAAACGTACATGACTATGGTGAAAGATTCAGAGTAAAAACAGACCGGAGTGGTAACCACTCAACACCCTTTTGCAACGGCTATGATGATCGGAACACGATGATTTGTACCTGTCAGTCGGGCATGGAAGGAAATCCTTATCTTCTCCAACCTTGTCAAGGTACGCAAACTGAATCTCTTCTTTCTGGATTTAGATTGATCCTTGATTTCTAATCTAAGTGGGCTACTATAAAAATGTAAAGGTAAAGAAACTAAAGAGAGGGCCCGAATGGAAATGATAACGTAGAAAGCTTTTAGTGAAATCGCTTTTGTTAGATGCACATAAAAAATTTTGACAAAAATTACAGGGCTTCTTAGAAACTTCGTTTACCAAATGTTTTCAAATGAGATTTTGGTTATCTGAAAGTGCGTTAATCACGTGCAAACTTAATCTATTCTTTTATATTTCCACCCTTCGGTTTTTTTTTTTTTTTTTTTTTTTTTTTTTTTTTAAGTTTAAGAATTTCTAATGTAATTGTTGTTCTAATCTAACTGCTGCAAGAATTACTTGAAGAAAGGGAGAGTTTGGATGAGGTTGGATGAGTTCAGTTTGGGGGCTTACTTTAATGAATATGATTTGGATGTTGCCCAAAGCCATTAGGTATTTTACACGAGCTGAAATGGCATCTAAAACATGTCATTAGACAAATCCTGCCCTCTTATTAGCCATGTACCATCACTATTGATTTTCTCCTCACCATCCCCAGGTTTCTGCCAAGACTGAACAAGTCCATGTTCCAATCGGGTGGCCTTGGCTGGTCATATATACACAATGTTTCACAGACAAAAATGTTACTTGAAGTCTATCTTTTTAAGTTCAACCATTAATTGTGAAATTACCTTTTTTTGGTCGAAATTGTGAAATTACTTGTTAGTTTCAAACTTCTGTTCCGAAACGCATTACTTTTATCTAGATTACTGATCTATTATACCTCTATCGAAAAAACGTAAAGCATACACAAAAAAACTAACTTAAAAAAAAAAAAAAAAAAAAAAAAAAAAAAAAAAAGTACATATATATACTAGTATTGGAATTGAGTATATTCTAGTACCGGAAATTTTAATTAGTATTAATTATCTTTTTCACCTTCTGATGAAATTTGAACATATGTCTCGGGTCATCATCATTTCAGATATGGATGAATGCAAAGGCAGTAATGAGTGTGGAGGCGACGTATGTGAGAATTTTGCTGGGGGTTATAGCTGCTACTCAAACATAAATGGCCATAGATGTACACATTTTGCTTCAGACCTTGATCTCGGTTATACCACTACATGCCACTTCAGAACCACATCGGGTCGGGCCTCTGAAACTGAAATCAAGACTATTATTTTAGGTATATGGTACTCCTATCTTCTTACATCTCTCAAAATAATAATATATGTATCTTCCCCCATGTTAATATTATTCAAAAGTTTTTTTTGGTTACAATGTTGTTCTAAATGTTATTGGCTTGGACAATGGTTTTGTTAGAATTGTGGGGAAAACAAAGTGATTTTATTAGATTGGAGGAGAATAGTACATGGCTTTGTGTAGGCTAATTGGCCTTCTACATTTAGCATATTGGCTTATTGGCCACTACACTTGATTTAGAATAGTTTGGGCTATTTGGCCCTTCACTTAGAATAGTTTGGACTATTTGGCCCTTCACTTAGATTGGTGAGCTTATTGGCTCCGGAAAGGCTATAATGAGGGCTTAAAGTGAGGAGGTTACTTGAGGAGGTCAAATCTCACCATCAACAAATGTAAAGAAATCATAAGACTTAAATATTTTAAATGTTTTGACGGTCGGATCAGTCTCCTCAAATAACCTCCTCACTTTAACTCCTCATTGTAGAAGCTCCCGGTTGGCTCTCAACATAGATTTCTTTGGTTAGCTCTTGGCTCCCTAATGATTTGGTAGTTCTTTGTTAGACTCCCCATATGACTTGGGTTGGGTAGCTTTTATATGCTCCCACAAAGACTGGGAGTTGATTGGTTCACTCCACGTTTCTTTGTTGTTTGCATGCCTATTTATAGGCACCTTTGCCGACATCACCAAGTCCGCCGACTTGGTTTCTTTTTCTCCAGCCACAAGTGTGTGGCTTATACTAGAAACTTCTATATTTTACAATATTATTTTTGTGGCTATTGTTCAGCCATCATGCTCCACACCCATAGTCTAGCAACATGAGTGTTCTTGCTCTAGAGAGTTCTTCCAACTTCAATCTCTTTGTCTAGCCGACATAGTATGTTCTCCACAACTCTAGAATCATCATTGTATTCATGATTCTTCTAGAATTGTGTAGAACACAAATGAACATTATTTTTCAACAGGTTTATTCAATTATTTTCGTGTTTAGAAATGATAATGGATATAATTCAATACCTATTGATGCAGGTCTTGGCTCCGGTTTTGGGCTATTGTTACTAATGATTGGTGCATGGTGGGTACACAAAATTGTGAAGAAAAGGAAAACCATTGCACGCAAGAAAAAAAAATTCAAACGAAATGGTGGTTTATTGTTGGAGCAACAGTTATCGTCAGGCGAAGTTAATGTTGACAAAATCAAGTTATTCAATTCAAAAGAATTAGAAAAGTCCACCAACAATTTTAGTATTGATAGAATTCTTGGTCAGGGAGGTCAAGGAACCGTTTACAAAGGCATGTTGGCAGATGGAAGAATTGTTGCGGTAAAGAAGTCCAAAATGGTGGACAAAAGCAAGCTCTCGGAATTCATCAATGAGGTTGTAATTCTTTCACAAATCAACCACCGAAATGTAGTTCAAATTTTGGGTTGTTGTTTAGAGACCGAAGTTCCACTTTTGGTCTACGAATTCATACCGAATGGAACTCTTTCTCAATATATCCAAGAGCAAATTGAGGAATTCCCACTCACATGGGTCATGCGGTTGCAAATTGCCACAGAAGTTGCAGGAGCTCTTTCATACTTACACGGTGCAGCTTCCTTTCCCATATATCACAGAGACATCAAGTCTGCCAACATACTTTTGGATGAAAAATACAGAGCAAAAATTGCTGATTTTGGAACTTCAAGATCAATTTCCATTGACCAAACTCATCTAACTACATCTGTACATGGAACATTTGGTTACATGGACCCAGAGTACTTTCAATCAAGCCAATTTACAGAGAAAAGTGACGTCTATAGCTTTGGAGTGGTCCTTGTTGAGCTCTTGACGGGGCAAAAACCAATTTCTGCGGTAACAGGGTCACAAGAAGAAGAATACAGAAGCCTTGCCACATATTTCATTACCTCGATGCAAGAAGATCGTCTGTTTGACCTTGTTGATGCTAGATTTCTGGAGGAGGGCTCTGAAACAGAAATCCAAGTAGTCGCTAACCTTGCAAGGAGATGCTTGAATTTGAACAGAAGAAACCGTCCTACAATGAGAGAGGTTACATCAGAGCTAGAGGCTGTACAAATGTCAAGAAAATCTTCGATTAGTGCTCAGCAAAATTCTGACGAGATTGATTTTGTGGAAGATGATTCAGTTGGGAATTGGGATGTTGAATCACTTTCAGAAGTGTCGGCTAGCTACTAAAAACATGGGTTTATGCCATTGTTGCCATCTACAAGTTATGGCGAATTCCTTTTAATTGAATAAACTTTGTTTCATTTAATGTTGTTGAACACATATGTTATGTTTTTCTTATGATCTTGTTACTTCAACACTGGTACTTGGGAAAAAAAAACGAAGAAGCATAATTTCGTGTATAAACCAAATTTCCAGCTATTTCCTAATTTAAAGTTGAAGCCCAAAAATAGAACTCAACTCCCTCTGATACAGGAGCATAGGGGTGGATCAAGATAGATATTTATCATTTAATTAGTTATTTCATGATATATTGTTATTTTCTTATTTAGGTAATTTTAGGATATCTTTTATTATTTATGTGTGATTTTATAATTAATTAGTTTACTTTTGGACCAAGCAGTCTTGGTGCCCAAGTCTTGTAAAGCCTATAAATAAGGCTATTGTAATAGTTGTAGAGGATGAAATATTGATGATTAATGAAATAGTTTATTTGTGGCATAGATTTGCTACGATATATGTGAGTTTGCACTAGCCCTAGATTTCGGTGCTCGTGTATGTGGTTGGTGACCTGTGTCCTGACCTCGATCCCCATCAATTGGTATCAGAGCTATGGCTCAAGATCTGCTTTATCGGGGTGGTTTTTGGATGGAGGGTCGTGTTGACAACTACAACGACATGGAGGAAATTAGGAGGATGCTACGGCAACTTACGGAACGCGTCGCTCGCATCGAAGCTCGAACCCAGATCGGTAAGAGTTTTGACGGGGAGAGAAGCGTGAACCCTTATCTGAACCGAGTAGCTCGCATCGACACTCTAAGCCGTGAGAGTCTCGAAGGGGAGTACGAGGGGGATAACCCTTTTCATTATTGCGCTTCGCTGTGTGAGTCAAGTGAAGAGGGGCACGGTTATTCTCATTGTGTCTTTGAAGGTATAAATGGATTTGGTAATTTTGGTGCATCTTGTTCTTCATCAAAGTTATTAAATTTGGATTTACCTCCAATATTTGATCCTTGCAACTGTGAAAATTGCAATGAAAATTGTTTGGGTGTTCAAAGCAATTTTGATAAGCTATTTATTGATCAGAACAGTGAAGAGAGGAGAATTGAGAAAACTTTCGAAGATATTATTGATTTTTTGGGCATTAATGTTTTCACTTGGAAGGTTGCCAAAACTTTGGTTGATTTTGTCAATCGGTTGAAGATTCTAGAGAGAAACATTTGCATTGTTAGAGGTTGTAAGAAGAAGCCAAGAATAACGAAATATTCCAAATATCTTTTTATTTGGAAAGGAAGGTTTCAATTGGATGCTAAAAGATCCAGAATTAATATGAAGCAATTGAAGATTCTACTCGGATTTTCCTCAATCAAAGGCTTGAATTCGAGGACGAATTCTTTCCAACTAGGGGAGTCTGATGCAGGAGCATAGGGGTGGATCAAGATAGATATTTATTATTTAATTAGTTATTTCATGATAAATTGTTATTTTCTTATTTACGTAGTTTTAGGATATCTTTTATTATTTATGTGTGATTTTATAATTAATTAGTTTACTTTTGGACCAAGCAGTCTTAGTGCCCAAGTCTTGTAAAGCCTATAAATAAGGCTATTATAATAGTTGTAGAAAGATGGAAATATTGATGATTAATGAAATAGTTTATTTGTGGCATGGATTTGCTACGATATATGTGAGTTTGCACTAGCCCTAGATTTCGGTGCTCGTGTATGTGGTTAGTGACCTGTATCTTGATCCCGATCCCCATCACCCTCCCATCCACTAATCCAACATTTCCAAATTTCCAAATTTCCAACATTTTCTTGTTTGGCTTTGTCTTATCATCACTAGAAGCCCAATAATAAAACTCAACTCCCTCCCATCCATTAATCCGTCAACGAATTCAAGGAGATTCAACTAAAAAGATAATGGTTGATGGTGTTGGAGAAGTGGATGGAGGGTGTGGGACTGAGGAAAATGAGGGGGCTTGAGACTGTAATGAAGATGAGGGAGAAGCCCTTAACAACTTTTCTAGCAAACGTTGCTAGTGTTGCCGTGAGTGGTAATTAAAAAGGGCATGTAAATATATTGTAAATATTAAAAAAAATCCTTTATTAGGAAGGATGTGTGTGTGTCCTTTATTGTTTCCGTGTAGAACAAGGATTGTATCTTGTATATAATGTCTATTATGCAATACAACGATTTTTAAGCCGTAAATTCAATTTGGCGTCAGAGCCAAGCGCAACCCTAAAAATTCCCACCGTGCCGCTGCAAAAGTAAAAGTAAGAAAACTCCTCACACGTCTGTGATCTCTGCTGCGTTTCTACAGCAAGCCCAGACTGCCGTATTTCTTTCGTAAGAGACAAGAACTACATCAGATTTCAGTGTTTGTTGTTGCATCCCTGTAGCAAAATCGTGTGCTTTCTGCTCCATTCCGTGTGTGTGGTGTGAATTGTGATTAATGTTGAGTGACAAAGAAGAGGCTGTGCTAAAATTGGAGGGTATGGAATCTGGCTCTACCCGCGGGTCAGTTGTCAATCATGTGGTTATTCAAAGTGATGCTTCAAACGTACCAAATACCGTAAAACTCAATGGATCAAATTACCCTCTTTGGTCCAAAGTATTAGAGATGCATATTGCTGGGCGTGGAAAAAAAGGGTTCGTGACAGGGAGTATTAAGGAGCCGAATGAAGACAGTGCTGACTATGATGCTTGGGAGACTGAGAATGCAATTGTGAAACGATGGTTGATTAACTCCATGGATCCTAATATCATGGGTTTTTTCATTCATCTTCGTACTGCTCAAGAAGTATGGGAAGAAGTTGCCAGGAAGTATTATGATGGATCTGATATCTCTCAGATTTATGAATTGAAGGTGAAGTAATTCCGACTTCGCCAAGAAGGGCGGCCTATTAGTGTATACTATGCCGATATTAAAGCTGTCTGGCAAGAACTCGATTAGAGAAGACCAATCAAGATGGAGTGTGCTCGTGACTTGAAGACACTTCGAGGAGAAGTTCAACTAGACTGTGTGTATGCCTTTTTAGCGGGCCTCAATGATATTTTTGATAAGGTTCGTAGTGATATTCTGAGAACTCGGCCTTTACCATCCGTGGAGGAAGTGTTTTCAATAGTTAGGTGGGAAGCTCAACGCCATGCTACTTTGATGGGAAGTAGTGTCGCTAGGAACCAATGAGGAATCCTTCCCGTGGCTATGGTGTCACGACCTCCTTCTTCTGGCAAGCCCTATGGTCCACCTTCATCAATTGATTCTCGCACTTTCACTCGAGAGAATAAGGATGATTTGAAGTGTATTTTTTATGGGCAAACTCGTCATACGGAAGATACATGTTTTCAAAAACATGGAGTCCCTGAATGGTTTTAGGAATTGAAGAAGAAGTTGCGTGCTAAAGAGCGTGCTTCTAGCAGAGCTAGTTTAAGGCATCCACCTATGGGTGCCGCAACAACTAGAAACAAAGATGTCGTGCCTACTCAGGGGGATCCAAGTCAAGCCTTGTTAACCTGACTCAATCCCAGTGAGTCTTCGTCCAATACAAGTACTGATGGGCATGTTCTTTTAGCCTCTGTTAAGGAACACCATACAGGTTGGATTCTGGACTCTGGAGCAACTGACCATATGACATTTGATAAACGGTCATTTAAGTATATGACAACAGCACATCAAAAGTGTGTTGCCACGGCAAATGGCACCACTGCCGTGGTGACTGGGGCTGGCACAGTGGACCTCACGCCATCTCTTTCTCTCCACCACTGTTTGCTTGTTCCATTGTTGCTTCACCATTTATTATCTATTCCCCAAGTTACTGAGCAGTTGGATTGTGTTGTACTTATGTATCCATTTTTTTGTTTGCTTCAAGATATTCAGACCAAGGAGATAATTAGGCGTGGCACTAAGAGAGAGGGGTTGTACTATGTGGATGACGTCGTTCCTGGCAGAGCTAATGCAGTTCAAGCATCCCGTACTAGTCATCTGCAAGAAGTTTGGTTGTTACATTGTCGGTTAGGACATGTTTCTTTTAGTTATCTAAGGCATATGTTGCCTAGTAAGTTTCATGAAATAAATGAATCAGACTTACATTGTGAAGTATGTATTCTTGCTAAGAGCCATCGTGCTTCGTTTCCTTCTAGTAAGAATAAAAGCTTGCTTCCGTTTGAGCTTGTGCATTTAGATGTTTGGGGGCCTTCACCCGTTAATATAGTTTTAGGAGTTAAGTGGTTTGTTACGTTTATTGATGATTGCACTCGTATGAAATGGGTGTATTTGTTGAAAAATAAGAGTAATGTAAGTGCAATTATTCGGTCTTTCTCTCAGATGGTGGCTGTTCAATATTCCTCTGTTATTAAAGTTCTTCGTACTGATAATAGGGGAGAATATGTTAACTCTGAGCTTTCCAATTTTTTCCGTGATCAAGGAATTTTCTGTGAGACAACTTGCTCATGCACCCCACAACAAAACGAGGTCGTTGATATGAAAAACCGTCATATTTTGGAAACTGCTCGTGCCATGCTTATTGATGGGTCTGTTCCAAAGAGTTTTTGGCTAGATGTCATCTCCTATGTTGTGTATGTTATCAATCGCATGCCCTCTCGGGTCGTAGAATTTCGTACTCCACTCCAAGTGTTGACGGAGCATGTTCCGATTGTTTCTACCAATACACTCACTCCTCGAGTGTTTGGATGTGTGGCTTATGTTCATATTCACAAGATTCATCGCAGTAAATTGGATCCTTGTGCTCTTCATTGTGTCTTTGTGGGTTTTGCATCCCACTAAAAAGGTTACAAGTGTTACCACCCTGCCACTCATCGCATATATATCACCATGGATGTGACCTTTTCTGAGTATGAATATTTTTATACTCCCATTTCACCACCTTTCGATCACAAGGGGGAGAGTTCTAATTGTGATCTGGATGGTGTTCTCGAATGGTTGGTTGTACAAGAGGAAACGTCTTCAGGGGGAGTGAACAGTGTGCCGAGTGATGCAGGTGATGATGCTTAATCTCCTCCTACCGAGCCTGCTGTTGTGAGTAGATAGCAGGGTCTCACCGAACCTACTCCAAGTATCCCACAGCTTCTCATCGAAGAAGAGACTGCTAGTCCATGTATTGGTGCTGCCAAAGGGAAGTGCAGTGGTCATCAACCAACTATTACTGAAGCTTCCTCCCCTCTCTCTAGCTCAACAATGTCGTCGTCCAACGCATCTTCTCTGGATATCCCTGAGGTAAGCACTAGTGATACTCATGAAACTAATGATATTATAAGTACATATAAATCGTCACCAAGGCAAAATCATGGTGTACCTCCTGACAGGTTCTCTCCAAAAGGAAAAGTAAGGTATTCCATAGCCAATTATGCATCCTATGAAAGTCTTTCATCCGAACGTCAAGCGTGGGTGAATAAAGTGGATTCAATTCAGTACCAACTCGGGTAGAAGACGCTTTGAAGAGTCGAGAATGGACCAAAGCAATGGATGAAGAGATGAGGGCATTACAGAAAAATAATACTTGGGAAGTAGTTGAGCTGCAAAAGGGAAAGAAACCAGTTGGGTGCCGATGGGTTTTTACGGTGAAATACAAGGCTGATGGATCACTTGATAGGTATAAAGCAAGGTTGGTGGTGAAAGGGTATACTCAAACGTATAGAGCTGATTACCAGGAAACTTTCTCTCCCGTGGCTAAGATGAATGCGGTACGAGTCCTTATCTCACTAGCTGTAAATTTGAACTGGCCACTGAAACAGTTTGATGTAAAAAATGCATTTCTTCATGGATATCTGGAGGAAGAAGTGTATATGGACTTCCCTATAGGGTATAGCAACGGAGGGAAAATGGGAGTGTGTCGATTGCGGAAGTCCCTTTATGGGCTTAAGCAGTCACCACGTGCATGGTTTGGGAGGCTCACTCAGGCTATGAGAAAAAATGGGTATTATCAAAGTCATTCTGATCATACTTTATTTGTGAAGCGGAGAAACGGTAAAGTAACAGCCTTGATTATTTACGTAGATGATGTGATAATAACAGGCGATGATTCTGATGAAATTGTCAAACTGGAGAAGAACCTTTCCATTGAGTTTGAGATGAAGAGTTTAGGTGACTTTAAGTATTTCCTTGGTGTGGAAGTTGCTCGTTAGTCCAGAGGTATTTTCTTGTCTCAACGAAAACATGTTTTGGATTTATTAAAGGAAACAGGGATGCTTGGGTGTAAGCTCGTGGATACTTCCATTGTGAAGAAACATTACCTGGGAATTTATCCGGATCAAGAACCAGTGGATAAAGGCAGATATCAGAGACCGGTAGGAAGACTAATTTACTTAGCTCATACTCGTCCGAATATAGCCTATGCAGTAAGTGTGGTGAGTCAGTTTATGCACTCGCCTAGTGTGGATCATATGGCAGTTATGCGGATTTTAGCATATTTGAAGTCGGCTCCAATAAAAGGAATTTTGTATAAAAATTCCAGTCATTTGAGGATCAAAGGATTTACTGATGCCGATTGGGCAGGCAATGTAACTGATAGACGCTCTACTTCTGGGTACTTTACATTTGTTAGTGGAAATCTAGTGACTTGGAGGAGCAAGAAGCAAAACGTGGTGTTGAGATCATCAGCTGAGGCCGAATTCAGAGGTATGGCACATGGAGTATGTGAAGTCCTTTGGTTACGTAAGTTACTTGGTGGTCTAGGTTTCATAGCAAAGGAGGCAACAAGGTTGTATTGTGATAATAAATCTGCACGGGAGATTGCAGAGAACCCGGTACAACATGACAGAACAAAGCATGTGGAAGTTGATCGTCATTTTATTAAGGAAAAGCTGGAAAAGAAAATTATTTCAATACCGTTTATGAACTCGGAAGAGCAACTTGCGGATATCCTCACTCATGCCGTGTGTAGTAGATCTTTTGGTGACTCACTTATCAAGTTCGGTATGTGTGATATCTATGCCTCAACTTGAGGGGGAGTGTTGCCGTGAGTAGTATTTAAAAAGGGCATGTAAATATATTGTAAATATTAAAAAAAATCCTTTATTAGGAAGGATATGTGTGTGTCCTTTATTGTTTCCATGTAGAACAAGGATTGTATCTTGTATATAATGTCTATTATGCAATACAATGATTTTTAAGCCGTAAATTCAATTGCTAGAAGAGTTTTTAGAGCTGCATAAAAAACTTCAAGGAGTTCCACTATTTTTATTTTTTATTTTTGCCTTTTGCGTCAAAACCCTTTAAAACTCCAAAACCCCAAATCATGAAAATGGAGAAATCCTTCACTCTGGTTCAGACAGTTGTCGCTGCAACAGTATTGGAACCCATACCAAGGTGATAAAAATGATGTTTCCGTAAAGGAGCCATTTTTCAGGTGCCAATTTATCTTTATAACTAATTTAATTATAGACTAAACTCCACATTTCAGAAATTTTCCAGAGAGAATGAAACCAAAAGGAGAAGAAAATAAACAAAGGAAAAAAATGGATGTACGGACAAAGAAGAAGAGCCTGAGGTCACGTAAGCCACATTTTCTCCATAGACTAATGGGGATGACCCTAACCTCACGTAACTTACTTTTTAAGTTACGCTGATGATTTGTTTTTCTTCAGCTGCGAGGGAATGGAACTCTTTCTCAATATATCCGAGAGCATATTGAGGAATTCCCACTCACATGGGACAGGCGGTTGCAAATTGCCACAGAAATTGCGGGTGCTCTTTCGTACTTACACAATGCAGCTTCCTTTCCCATTTATCATAGAGACATCAAGTCTGCCAACATACTTTTGTATGAAAAATACAGAGCAAAAATTGCTGATTTTGGAACTTCAAGATCAATTTCCATTGACCAAACTCATCTAACCACATGTGTACATGGAACATTTGGTTACTTGGACCCAGAGTATTTTCAATCAAGCCAATTTACGGAGAAAAGTGACATCTATAGCTTTGGAGTGGTCCTTGTTGAACTCTTGACAGGGCAAAAACCAATTTCTGTAGTAACATGGTCACAAGAAGAAGAATACAGAAGTCTTGCCACATATTTCATTACCTCGATGCAAGAAGATCGTCTGTTTAACATTGTTGATGCTCGAGTTCTGAAGGAGGGGTCTGAAACAGAAATCTAGGTAGTCGCTAACCTTGCAAGGAGATGCTTGAATTTGAACGGAAGAAATCGTCTTACAATGAGAGAGGTTACATCAGAGCTAGATGTTGTACAAATGTCAAGAAAACCTTCCATTAGTGCCCAGCAAAATTCTGAAGGGGTTGATTTTGTGGAAGATGAATTAGTTAGGCACTGGGATGTTGAATCACTTTCAGAAGTGTCAGTTAGCGACTAAAAACATGGGTTTATGCCATTGTTGCCATCTACAAATTATGCTGAATTCCTTTTAATTGAATAGACTTTGTTTCATTTAACGTTGTTGAACACATATGTTATGTTTTTCTTATGATCCCGTTACTTCAACACTTGTACTTGGGAATAACAAATAAAAAAAAGATGAAAACTGCTCTGCTGTTTGTCAATCACATAATGTTGCAACCATTGTTTAAAGCATCTTGTCCGATGTCAACACCAACATTCAATATCCCAGCTACTTTCACAACCACATACTGAAATAATAAATACCTGATTACAAGGAATTAGTCAATAATTATATAGGCAAAGGTCATACTCTCTATTCTTTAGTTAAAATTTAATTAAAAACACAAAAAAGATATTTTATGAACTTTATTAAATTTCAACTCCATATCCTCCATTGAGAAGGTCAAGACAAATGATTATTTGCTCTGCTAATTAAATATTCCATGCTTCCGACAAGACATCAGATGGGATACTTTAAAGTTCTTGCTCTGTTTTTTTCTTCTAAAAAAGAACTTTAATAATTTGTACTTTTCATAACAAGGTGATAAAAATAATGTTTCTGTTAAGGAGCCATTTTTCAGGTGCCAATTTATGTTTATAATTAATTGAATTACACTAGAAGCTTGTGGACAGGGAACTGTGCACACCTAGGTTCTTCATTGTTGTTTGACTGCAAAAGGTTACCCATCACATCAGGCTGCAAAACTTCCTCTGTATAATTGTGTTTTCTTGATCTAGAAAACCTCTTGGCCAGTGCCAATTGGATCAGTGTGATAATAATTATCTGAAATACCATGAGCATAGAATTAAAGCATAATTATACTAACGTCTCAGCATTTGTTGGCAAGCAAACAACCCAATCAATTTCCAGCTTGAAATTAAATACGATTTGCAAGAACTAAAGTAAGAGATACCCCACCTCCAAGAAAAAATAGACACCACATTTCAGAAAATTTCCAGAGAGAATGAAACCAAAAAGAGAAGAAAATAAACAAAGGAAAAAAATGGATGTACAGACAAAGAAGATGAGCCTAACCTCACGTAACTTACTTTTCAAGTTACGCTGATGATTTGTTTTTCTTTTGAATGTTTCGCTGATTATAACTTTTGGCTATGAACAGAACAACGATTACAAAATCATGCTGTGGATAGCATAACTCAACCTTTCACCGTCGAGCCACCTTGTATTGTCCTTTTTAATCAAGTCTTCCTTGAATATCATAAAAACCTTTGAACTTTCTCTGCTTTTCTTTTATTATTTCTAGTCCAACATATATTTTGTTTTTTGTTTTTTGTTTTTACACAAGTGATATTCTACTTTAATATAATCTAAACTACACAGAGGGGCATTCGAAGTAGGTTGGGGAGCAGATCCGCTCTAGCCAACATATATTTTGTTTTCAAAAAGGAAGAGGAAGAGTTTTTATCAAAAATAGACAAAATTACCCTTACTTTCATAAATGTCAATTTTTGTAAAATCTTTCCGTTTAAGTTAAAAGGGCTTGTCCAATATAGATCCATACATTTTCTATTTCCTAGACATATACCCATCACTCTATAAATCTATGTGTAAAACCCAATTTCAAATTTAAATGACCAGTAGAATATAAGAGGTCGTAGTATTTCTATGTTTTTACATCGTTGCCACTAAACTTCATATTTTATTTATAATTTATTTCAAGCATTTCATTAACTGTCATAATTGTAATTAATATACTCCCTATTAATAGCATATCAATCATCCCATTTCTTATAGTTGTCATTCCCTCTCACATCTCGCCCCCTAAAATTGCAAACAAAAAAAAATCTGTAAATTACATATCCAATAATGTACTTATGAAAATTATAATATAAATATATACATATAAAATATAGGTATCCAATAAATTACATATCCAATAATGTACCTATGAAAAATAGGTACATTATTAGAGGAAAAAAATAGGTAAGTTATTTGGAGAGAGAAAATAGGTTCATTTAAAAAAATTACTTTTAATAAAACAAATAATAGGTACTTTATTCAGAGAAAAAAGGCTATATTATTTATAGATAAAAAATAAATTACATTATTTAGATAAAAAATAGGTACATTATTTAGATAAATAATAGGTACTTTATTCGTAGTAGGTATATTATTCAAATGGTAGGTACATTGGATGACATATAATACCTAAATCCTAATTGTAAGTACATTAAAATTAATGTAGGTATATTGGATGTCGTATAATGTAGGTATATTGGAATAGATAATTATGTACACTTTTCATACTAGGTAAATTATATTTTTCATAAAACAAACAAGTAATAGGTACATTATTTTTTCAACATAATTAGTATGTATAGTTTTATTCATAAACAATTATAAAGTGAATTATTAGTCATGTATAATTCATAAAAAGAAAATAACATAAACATTTTATTAAACAAACCGATTACCCAAATTTGAATTTATTGTTAAATTTTTTAAAAAATGTTTCAAAATTAATTCCTACATCCATTACAACCATTTGGAGATCTTTCCAAATTCAACATCTGTCATTATATACAATTCAATTAAAAACTGTTTCCATATTGATTCCTACATTAATATACAAAATGCAATAATGGCTTAGTTGGGGGTATTTTTGGAATCTAAAAAGTACAATAAATCAGATTTTATGCTTAATTAGGTAACTTGCTGAGTTGAATCCTAGTCATGGGTTTTTACTTATACAAATTGGGTATTATTTATAGGAACAAAAAGTGAAGGGTTTTAGGTACGGCAAATTGAATTTGAAGGGTGTAAGCCAAATTTACTAAAGTTAAAAATCCACTTGAATAGACTTAAATACCCTAAAATTAAATATCCAAAATTACCCCTATTTTGATTATGTTGGAGAGGATTAGGGCATATATCTTATGGTGAGAATGGCAACAACAGATAAGTGGACAAATGAGGTTGGGCTTATAGTGTGTTTAAAACTGTTGAGAAAACAAATTAGAGAGTGCATGGTTCATGTCTTGCTTTCCGTATGGAATTTTCAAAATCTACAGAAGGGAGGAAGATCCATACAAATATGTGCATCTTGTTACATAAAAGAAACATACTTGAGAGCCTACAAACCTTATATCCACTCCATGCCCTAGTGAAAATATTGCCAGCTACAAATCAGCAGCCTATTGCTCCTGGCAGGCCAAATAGGGCGACGGCAAGAGAGTAATATGAGCCACAAGAACCATCAACCTCAAAACAATTGCAGCAAGTGTGTGGCGATAAAGATCATAATGTACGTTACAACCAGATAATTTTGGTGTTTTGAGTTTCAGTCTTATGTTCCTGGGTTATATGTAACTTGTTTTGATCCTTTTACAGCATGCCAATGAAGGAGGAGATATGGGTAGTGAAACTTTACCAAATCTGAGACAAGCACAGTCTGCATCAACCGCAGCTTCTTTCATTTTCTTTTATCTAGACACTTGTTTCACATCATTATATGCACTAATAACTTTATCAAGTATCTTGACTTCATCTATTTCAATAGATAATAATGAATTTGCAATAATCCCATTTGAAATTGTAGTGGAAGATTCTGAATTATTTTCCAACCAGATAATAGTGAATTTGCTTTTTCTTGACTCTAGCTTAATCCAGAAGATTATTTCATTAACTATTAGCCAATCATTGGTTTTGTTGGTGAGGAGCCATTAAACTTTCTCAACATTTTAAGTGTGAAAGGTTTTCCCAATGTGATAGAAATGATATGTTTTCCCAAGGAGATAAAAATGATAATATAACCAAATGATAAAAATTATATTTCATTTTAAAGTTCTTGCTCTGTTTTTTTCTTCTAAAAAAAGTTGATAGACTTTAATAATTTGTACTTTGAGTGGACTCGACTTGTAAAGCTGCAGGAAGTACCTCTGCACCTTCCGTAATTTATTTTTATTTTTTTTAGTTTTATCCTACATTGAGAAGGTTAGGACTTGGGAATGATCATTTGCTTTGCAAATAAAAATTCCAAGCTTCCTACTAGACATCAGATAGGAGACTTAACAAAGAAGGAAGAAGTAAAATAATGGACTTGGGGTAATAAGGACCTGAAAGTGCTGAAACTTATTTCAGTTTGGTTTGAAACTCAAATTTTGTTTTCTAAAAAGAAGAGGAAGAGTTTTTAAAAAAAAATAAAAAATAACCAAAATTACCCCTACTTTCATAAATGTCAATTTTTATGAAATCTTTACGTGATACCAACTCAAATAGAATTTAGGGTTATGAATAATTCAGTATATTCTATTCTTCTCATAAGGAGGTATTTATAGTGATACAAATACAAGCCTCTCTAGGAAAATGAGAGAGATTTCCAATTTGGGGAGGAATGAGTCCACTAAAATTAGCATTTGCAAGTTTGAGTTGCCTTCAACTTACTCAAAGAACCAGTGAAGTTAGGGGTCACCCTTCCTCTAAAATCATTGTTACTAAGGTCCAAGTAATCAAGATATTCCAATTCAAGTAGGGAAGAACCAATCTCACCTCTCAAAAGAGCATACAAATCGAAAGGATCATCCACTTCGAAGTAGAGATTTAGCGCGACGACGTTGCCTGTTTGGTTGTTGCATGTGATTCCGGTCCACTGGCAACAATCTTTTTGTCTCCCGAAGGAGCAAGAACATTGGACTCATCCACAAGGCCTTGCTTAAACTGAAGGAGAGCATGTTTTTCTCTCTTGATGCACACTGCAATTTGAATAAACAATTATCAAAGTTTAAGAAGACCATGGATCTCATCATGCGCTTTTATCTTTGGCTTTAGATATTTTATTTTATTTTTACCATGGAAATTTACCCTAGTGTTCTTGGGAGAGACCCACTCATATTGGAACCCTACATGTTCATATTGGACAACATACCAAGGTGATAAAAATGATGTTTCCGTAAAAGAGCCATTTTTCAGGTGCCAATTTATCTTTATAATTAATTTAATTACACTAGAAGCTTGTGGATAGGGAACTGTGCACGATAAGGTTCCTAATTGTTGTTTGACTGCAAAAGGTTACCCATCACAGCAGGCTGCAAAACTTCCTCTGCATAATTGTGTTTTCTTGATCTAGAAAACCTCTTGGCCAGTGCCAATTGGTTAAGTAAGATAATAATTATCTAAAATGCCATAAGCATAGAATTAAAGCATAATTATACTAACGTCTCACAGCATTTGTTGGCAACCAAACAACCCAATCAATTTCCAGCATGAAATTAAATACGAAATTCGCAAAAACTAAAGTCAGAGATACCCCACCTTCAAGAAAAAATAAACACCACATTTCAGAAATTTTCCGGAGAGAATGAAACCAAAAAGAGAAGAAAATAAACATAGGAAAAAAATGGATGTACAGACAAAGAAGAAGAGCCTGAGGTCACGTAAGCCACACATTTTCTCCATAGACTAATGGGGATGATCCTAACCTCTCGTAACTTACTTTTTAAGTTATGCTGATGATTTGTTTTTCTTTTGAATGTTTTGCTGATATTTTTGTAGCTATGATTATAACTTTTGGGTACAACGATTACAAAATCATGCTGTGGATACCCTAACTCAGCCTTTCACCATCAAGCCACCTTGTATTGTCCTTTTTAATCAAGAATTCCTTGAATATCATAAAAAACTTCTGCTTTTCTTTTATTCTTTCTAGTCCAACATATATTTTGTTTTTTGTTTTTACACAAGTGATAATCTACTTTAATATAATCTAAACTACAAGGAGGGGGATTTGAACTAGGTTGGGGAGCAGATACGCTCTAGCCAACATATATTTTGTTTTCTAAAAGGAGGAGGAAGAGTTTTTATCAAAAATAGCCAAAATTTCCCATACTTTCATAAATGTCAATTTTTATAAAATCTTTCTGTTATAGTTAAAAATCCACTTGAATAAACTTAAATGCCTTAAAAAATACATATATAATTGCTTTCCCATCGCTTCACTCTAGTAGATGATGGGTTAGCCAAACTAAAGGAGGTTCGTGTGGTGCTTTATCAAGGTGTCATTCATGACGTATTATGAATTCAGATTTGCGTTGTTGAATCCTCAAGTTCATCTTTGTCATGCAAAGTTTCTCAAAACATGAAAGGATGCTCCAGATGTTTTTTTATGTTTTTTTTTCAAAGAAGATATATCATTATATTCGTACACCATGTGCAAGAACATTAAAGAAGCATGATGGATTCTAGCCCAAAAAAAGAAAAGAAAAAAGAACTATGCCGCAGACCCACCCCATAAACGCAGGAAGAACAACACTCACAAGGAGTTGGACTAGTGCTGTAGACGTGCCTACAAAAGATTCAAATTTTAATCTAATAGGGATTTTCTTTTTAGGTTTATATGAGTATTAGTTTTGAGGGTATTGAAGTCTATTCAAGTGGGTTTTTAGTTATAATTGAAATTTTTATAAAAATTGACATTGACTAGAAGTCTCTTTTTTCTTTTTTTTTCTTGTTTGTGTGAAGATTGACAAGAAGTCTACCCACGTGTAGCTAGGAATAATGTACACAATAATTTCCACACAAATTCATGTGCGCAAATCAACGAAATATGTAACCTACTTAAGTCAATCCATGTTCCTTTTTTGCACTGCAAAAATCAAACTCTGCAAATCAGTTGATAAATAATAATGAATATCATATCCATTATTCTATTGCTATGGCACATAGTAATAAGTTGCTGCTATGGAGCTGCAACAACCAGTGCAGCATCAGCGCCTATAGCAAAGCCTAATTGCACAACGCATTGTGGAGATGTTGCCATCCCATACCCTTTCGGGATTGGACCTAACAAGGATTGTTACTTAGATGAATCGTTTCAAATAGACTGCAGGCACAACAACTCTACAACCTCAGCTAATTACAGCAGGCAAGTGCCTTTCCTCAAGAGCGTCAACCTGGAGGTGCTAAGTATTTTTCCGGTTAAAGATGGCAGGCAATCAGTTCGGGTTAAGAACCCTATTACTTTCTTCAGCTGTGAGGGAAAGGAAACTCGCCAACCCCAGAATTTGACGGGCAGTCCTTTCATTTACTCTCGGACAGCCAACGCATTAGTTGCAATGCGTTGTGACCTCTTTGCCCGTATGATCTCAGATCATGGGCCTGTCTCTGGATGCGGGTCGTTTTGTGAAAGCATTAAAGACGGCAACCATGGCTTTTGTGGAGGTATTGGCTGTTGCGGAGGTGCTCTTCAAACATATGACGTCGCTAGCACTTCTAGTTTTGAGATACAATCAAATTCATCAACATCAGATCCAATGGGCGATTGCAAATATGCATTTTTGGTTGACAAAGATTGGTTTCTGTTTGAAGTACCGAATTTTTGGGACGTGAAGCGTATGGACAACGTTCCTGTGGTGCTAGGACTGGATCTTAAACGCAATGACTATGGTTAAAGATTCAGAGAAAACCAGACCTGACTGGTAACTACTCAACACCCATTTGCAGAAGAAATAATGTGACTTTGACTTCTTTGTACAATCGGACCAGCATGATTTGTCGCTGTAAGCTGGGCTTGGAAGGAAATCCTTATCTTCTCCAACCTTGTCAAGGTACGCAAACTGAATCTCTTCTTTCTGGATTTAGATTGATCCTTGATTTCTAATCTAAGTAAAGTTATTTACTCTTGGAAAGAAACTAAAGAGAGGGCCGAATTGAAATGATTACGTAGAAAGCTTTTATTGAAACCCCTTTTGTTAGATGCACATAAAAATTTTTGGCAAAAATTAAAGTGCTTCTGAGAAACTTCGTTTACAAAATGTTTTCAAAAGAGATTTTGGTTATCTGAAAGTGCTTTAATCATGCGCAAACTTAATCTATTCTTTTATATTTTATACCCCTTCGGTTTTTTTATGTTAATGCTTGATTTCTAATGTAAGTGTTCTACTAGAAAGGTAAGAGCAGGTTTGGATGAGCGGATCAGCTCGTCTGGGGGATTACTTTAATGAATATGATTTGGATGTTGTCCAAAGTCATTAGGATCTAAAACATGTCATTAGACAAATCCTGCCCTCTTATTAGCCAGGTACCCAGCTTTCTGCCAAGACTGAACAAGTCCATGTTCCAATCGGGTGGCCTTGGCCGGTCATATATACACAAATGAGAGAGATTTCCAATTTGGGGAGGAATGAGTCCACTAAAATTAGCATTTGCAAGTTTGAGTTGCCTTCAACTTACTCAAAGAACCAGTGAAGTTAGGGGTCACCCTTCCTCTAAAATCATTGTTACTAAGGTCCAAGTAATCAAGATATTCCAATTCAAGTAGGGAAGAACCAATCTCACCTCTCAAAAGAGCATACAAATCGAAAGGATCATCCACTTCGAAGTAGAGATTTAGCGCGACGACGTTGCCTGTTTGGTTGTTGCATGTGATTCCGGTCCACTGGCAACAATCTTTTGTCTCCCGAAGGAGCAAGAACATTGGACTCATCCACAAGGCCTTGCTTAAACTGAAGGAGAGCATGTTTTTCTCTCTTGATGCACACTGCAATTTGAATAAACAATTATCAAAGTTTAAGAAGACCATGGATCTCATCATGCGCTTTTATCTTTGGCTTTAGATATTTTATTTTATTTTTACCATGGAAATTTACCCTAGTGTTCTTGGGAGAGACCCACTCATATTGGAAACCCTACATGTTCATATTGGACAACATACCAAGGTGATAAAAATGATGTTTCCGTAAAAGAGCCATTTTTCAGGTGCCAATTTATCTTTATAATTAATTTAATTACACTAGAAGCTTGTGGATAGGGAACTGTGCACGATAAGGTTCCTAATTGTTGTTTGACTGCAAAAGGTTACCCATCACAGCAGGCTGCAAAACTTCCTCTGCATAATTGTGTTTTCTTGATCTAGAAAACCTCTTGGCCAGTGCCAATTGGTTAAGTAAGATAATAATTATCTAAAATGCCATAAGCATAGAATTAAAGCATAATTATACTAACGTCTCACAGCATTTGTTGGCAACCAAACAACCCAATCAATTTCCAGCATGAAATTAAATACGAAATTCGCAAAAACTAAAGTCAGAGATACCCCACCTTCAAGAAAAAATAAACACCACATTTCAGAAATTTTCCAGAGAGAATGAAACCAAAAAGAGAAGAAAATAAACATAGGAAAAAAATGGATGTATAGACAAAGAAGAACACTGAGGTCACGTAAGCCACATTTTCTCCATAGACTAATGGGGATGACCCTAACCTCTCGTAACTTACTTTTTAAGTTACGCTGATGATTTGTTTTTCTTTTGAATGTTTCGCTGATATTTTTGTAGCTCTGATTATAACTTTTGGGTACGACGATTACAAAATCATGCTGTGGATACCCTAACTCAGCCTTCACCATCAAGCCACCTTGTATTGTCCTTTTTAATCAAGTCTTCCTTGAATATCATCTGCTTTTTTCTATCCAACATATATTTTGTTTTTTGTTTTTACACAAGTGATAATATAATCTAAACTACAAGGAGGGGGATTCGAACTAGGTTGGGGAGCAGATACGCTCTAGCCAACATATATTTTGTTTTCTAAAAGGAGGAGGAAGAGTTTTTATCAAAAAGAGCCAAAATTTCCCATACTTTCATAAATGTCAATTTTTATAAAATCTTTATGTTATAGTTAAAAATCCACTTGAATAAACTTAAATGCCTTAAAAAATACAATACATAATTGCTTTCCCATCGCTTCACTCTAGTAGATGATGGTTAGCCAAACTAAAGGAGGTTCATGTGGTGCTTTATCAAGGTGTCATTCATGACGTATTATGAATTCAAATTTGCGGCGTTGAATCCTCAAGTTCATCTTTGTCATGCAAAGTTTCTCAAAACATGAAAGGATGCTCTAGATGTTTTTTTATGTTTTTTTTCAAAGAAGATATATCATTATATTCGTACACCATGTGCAAGAACATTAAAGAAGCATGATGGATTCTAGCCAAAAAAAGAAAAGAAAAGGGAAAAAAGAACTATGCCGCAGACCCACCCCATAAACGCAGGAAGAACAACACTCACAAGGAGTTGGACTAGTGCTGTAGACGTGCCTACAAAAGATTCAAATTTTAATCTAATAGGGATTTTCTTTTTAGGTTTATATGAGTATTAGTTTTGAGGTATTGAAGTCTATTCAAGTGGGTTTTTAGTTATAATTGAAAGTTTTTATAAAAATTGACATTGACTAGAAGTCTCTTTTTTTCTTTTTTTTTCTTGTTTGTGTGAAGATTGACAAGAAGTCTACCCACGTGTAGCTAGGAATAATGTACACAATAATTTCCACACAAATTCATGTGCGCAAATCAACGAAATATGTAACCTACTTAAGTCAATCCATGTTCCTTTTTTGCACTGCAAAAATCAAACTCTGCAAATCAGTTTGATAAATAATAATGAATATCATATCCATTATTCTATTGCTATGGCACATAGTAATAAGTTGCTGCTATGGAGCTGCAACAACCAGTGCAGCATCAGCGCCTATAGCAAAGCCTAATTGCACAACGCATTGTGGAGATGTTGCCATCCCATACCCTTTCGGGATTGGACCTAACAAGGATTGTTACTTAGATGAATCGTTTCAAATAGACTGCAGGCACAACAACTCTACAACCTCAGCTAATTACAGCAGGCAAGTGCCTTTCCTCAAGAGCGTCAACCTGGAGCTGCTAAGTATTTTCCGGTTGAAGATGGCAGGCAATCGGTTTCGGGTTAAAGAACCCTATTACTTTCTTCAGCTGTGAGGGAAAGGAAACTCGCCAACCCCAGAATTTGACGGGCAGTCCTTTCATTTACTCTCGGACAGCCAACGCATTAGTTGCAATGCGTTGTGACCTCTTTGCCCGTATGATCTCAGATCATGGACCTGTCTCTGGATGCGGGTCGTTTTGTGAAAGCATTAAAGACGGCAACCTGGCTTTTGTGGAGGTATTGGCTGTTGCGGAGGTGCTCTTCAACATATGACGTCGCTAGCACTTCTAGTTTTGAGATACAATCAAATTCATCAACATCAGATCCAATGGGCGATTGCAAATATGCATTTTGGTTGACAAAGATTGGTTTCTGTTTGAAGTACCGAATTTTTGGGACGTGAAGCCTATGGACAACGTTCCTGTGGTGCTAGACTGGATCTTAAACGCACATGACTATGGTGAAAGATTCAGAGAAAAACCAGACCTGACAGGTAACTACTCAACACCCATTTGCAGAAGAAATAATGTGACTTGACTTCTTGTACAATCGGACCAGCATGATTTGTCGCTGTAAGCTGGGCATGGAAGGAAATCCTTATCTTCTCCAACCTTGTCAAGGTACGCAAACTGAATCTCTTCTTTCTGGATTTAGATTGATCCTTGATTTCTAATCTAAGTAAAGGTATTTACTCTTGGAAAGAACTAAAGAGAGGGCCGAATTGAAATGATTACGTAGAAAGTTTTATTGAAACCCCTTTGGTTAGATGCACATAAAAAATTTTGGCAAAAAATAAAGTGCTTTTAGAAACTTCGTTTACAAATGTTTTCAAAAGAGATTTTGGTTATCTGAAAGTGCTTTAATCATGCGCAAACTTAATCTATTCTTTTATTTATACCCCTTCGTTTTTTATGTTAATGCTTGATTCTAATGTAAGTGTTCTACTAGAAAGGTAAGAGCAGGTTTGGATGAGCGATCAGCTCGTCTGGGGGATTACTTTAATGAATATGATTGGATTGCCCAAAGCCATTGGGACTAAACTGTCATAGACAATCCTGCCTCTTATTAGCCAGGTACCCGCTTTCTGCCAAGACTAACACGTCCTGTTCCATCGGGTGGCCTTGGCTGGGTCATATATACACAAGGCTTCATAGACACAAATGTTCTGAAGTCTATCTTTCCAAGTTCAACCATTAATGGAAATTACCTTTTTTTGGTCATGTGTACATTACCTTTCTTTGTCGACTTGTGAATCTTGTTCGTTTCAACTTCGTCCGCAACCATAAAAGTTATCTAGGAGTACTGATCTGTATACCCCGATGAAGAACGTAAAGGTCACACATCAAAAAGTTAAAAAAGAAGTACAAAGCTATAATAGCAATGGAATGAGTTTATTCTGGTAAGGAAATTTTACTCGGTATCATTATCTTTTTCACCTGTGAGAATTTGAACCTATCGAATTCTATATGTGTGCGTTTGGACTGAAGCATATCTCGGGTCTCAGTTTAGATATGGATGACAATGCAAAGGCAGTAATAATGAGTGTGGAGGCGACGTATGTGAGAATTTTGCTGGGGGTTATAGATGCTATCAAATATAATGGCCGGATCCGGTATGTAGCATTGGCTTAGAACCTTCATCTTCTCAATAATAACGACCCTTAGTGCCACTGCTATACCCACAGCGGAGCAGGCTCTCGAACTAGTATTTTAGGTATGTAGTACTCCTATCTCGCACACATCTCTCAATATATAATATATGTATCTTCACCCTGGTAATAGTATTCAAAGTTTTTGTTTTGTTACATATTGTTCAAAATGTTCGGCTTCGATCAAGGAGTTTATCACATTATGTTCGTGTTTAGACATGATGAGAGGATATATTCCAATTTAGCCAATAATAAGCTCATATGGAAAACCTACATTGTTTTTTTTTTTTTTTTTTTTTTTTTTTTTTTTTTTTTTTTTTTTTTTTTTTTTTTTTTTTTTTTTTTTTTTTTTTTTTTTTTTTTTTTTTTTTTTTTTTTTTTTTTTTTTTTTTTTTTTTTTTTTTTTTTTTTTTTTTTTTTTTTTTTTTTTTTTTTTTTTTTTTTTTTTTTTTTTTTTTTTTTTTTTTTTTTTTTTTTTTTTTTTTTTTTTTTTTTTTTTTTTTTTTTTTTTTTTTTTTTTTTTTTTTTTTTTTTTTTTTTTTTTTTTTTTTTTTTTTTTTTTTTTTTTTTTTTTTTTTTTTTTTTTTTTTTTTTTTTTTTTTTTTTTTTTTTTTTTTTTTTTTTTTTTTTTTTTTTTTTTTTTTTTTTTTTTTTTTTTTTTTTTTTGGAGAGGCATTTTAGAGCAGTTTTGGACTTGGAATGGGTAGCATATGCATGGGCCAAGATGGATGGACGTTTTTGAAGTTCGAAGAGGCTAGGAATGTGCTAAAAAGATGGGGAAATTAATTCAAGAATCAGCTTCTGGGAAGTAAAAAACCCTAACTGATTTTATTTTATTTTACCTTATCCTAATCCTATTCGACCTAAATTCCAGCTGTAAAAGGGGGGGATTAATTTCAGATTAGGAAACCTAAAAACCCTAATTTCGTGGGTTTCTATTGGGCCCTATTATTCCTAAAGAAATCTTCCAAACAAAACCCTAATTTCGTGGGATTTCTGCTGGGCCCTTTTACCCTAGATCTATCACATATATAAAGGAGGGGTTGCCGCAGGAGAAAGGGAGTTCTTTTGGGCCGTAGCAAGAAAGGAGAAAGGGAGAAGAAGAACTTGGAGCCGGAACCTGCTGCATCCATTGGGTTTTTTCAGAGTTCTTCCCTTGATTAGTTCAAATGTTTATTCTATATTGCTTTTCAATTATTATGAACATGTGTAACTGAATTTCTTCTTAGTTAGAGGTGAATTCGAAGCCATGGACATATGTTTTACATGAATTGATTACTTCCAGTTATGGTTTCATAAAGTATGAATGTGATTTACTTTTCTGTTTTATTGAGGACTTATTCTTGCATGTTTATTAAGGATGCATACTTAGTTTGTATGCAGGGATTTGATGCTAGAATATAAGGGAATTTCACCTAATCGTTATGAACTTATATTCACAAGTAGTAAAAGTCACTAGTCATGATTGTGTTAAGTAAATTCTTGGCAGGAGTATCATGCTTTTCATAGTTACAATTGTCTTGTCAAGGCTTATGATTTTCATAGAACTTAATGATCTTTGATATGTATCTCTATCATGCTGTTCATATAGGGAACTTGATAAGGATAATTTGATTGCGTCGCTGAGTCCAATTCAATGAACTTAGGAAAATCTGAGAGTTAATTAGTGCATTCACAATTAATTTGGGGCTTTGTCATTCATACTTTATAGAAAGAGTAACTGGAGATCGATTTGTGTGCATATGTTCCATGTGTGGAGAAGAATCCTCTAGCTATCCCTTAATCCATATTTCATTCACAACTTAGTTGTTTGCTGCTGTCAGTCTTACTTTAGTCTAAATCGTCAGAATTCCCCCAATCATTGTTCCCTTAACTTAGTTTCCAGTTTAATAAGTTTAATTTGTGTTGATTAGCATCCCTCCTAATCCCCAGAATAGAACGATCCCTACTTACTCGTACTACGATTGCATAAGTTATAGGGTTTAATTTGTGCGTTAGTTATTTCTCACGCCAATTTGCCCAGCTTATGCCTCATTTTAAGTTGAAATCACCATTTTCGCTCCTTGTGGGTTTTAGGGAAGAAAAAAAAAAAAAGCCGGGCCATGGCACAAAGTTTTATTAATAATTTATAGTTCTTTTAAAAAGTCTGGGCCCAAATTATTAACAACAACCCTGTTTATATTTTAGTACACCTAGTGTATATTTAAACTAATAGTGTTCACCCATTTTGGAAACCATTGATTGGTCAAACAAGTCAGCTTTATTCGTGTAGAGCATGCCACTGCTACAATGAAAATTCTAGCAGACTTCTTCTAGAATAGATTACTGCGCCCCAGTTACTGATTTCTAAACAACGATTGTGAATTTGGGTTGAGGAATATCTCACAAGTAAGTTCTTTCCTGCTCAGACTGGTGAGACTTCAACAGTTTCAGTAAAAAACGGTAGTTTAGCCCAGAATAGTGGATAGAAAATGGACGTTTTCAGGCGGAACTGCCCTTTACAAACTAAAAATACACAATCAACCTAGAAAGACAATAATAATAATGGACCCTTTTCTGCCTTTGATAGGAGCCTGATCTGGGTTGGGCTGGTATGTCTGGGCCTGGACGGGAGGTGTTAACACTTCAAACGCTAAGCTTCAGCTGTAAATCGTACCAAAGTTCAATTTTGGCAAGCTTTAATCTACTTCAGCTTCGGGAGGGCTTTTTGAGCGGGCGAACACGGGTCTTCAGTCTGAATGGGCGAAGTGGCTGTTTGAGAACTTAGTGAGCAGAGACCGCATTTTTGAGATTTGTTGAGGTTTTCATGTTTGGAAAAAACTCAAACTCTGCTTGCCTTGGGTTTTGCTGAACCAAATTTGTAACGAGAGAGATCTCGTACAAATTTGGTTCAGCAAAAGCCAAGGCAAGCAGAGTTTGAGTTTTTTCCAAACATGAAAACCTCAACAAATCTCAAAATGCAGTCTCTGGCTCACTAAGTTCTCAAGAACAGCACTTCTGCCCATTCAGACTGAAGAACCCGTAGTTCTGCCCGCTCAAAAGCCTCCCGAAGCTTGAAGTAGATTAAAGCTTGCCAAAATTGAACTTTGGTACGATTTACAGCTGAAGCTTAGCATTTGAAGTTGTTAACAACTCAGTCCAGCCCAGACATATCCAGCCCAACCCAGATCAGGGTCTCCTATCAAGCAGAAATGGAGTTCCAGTTATCTATTTGTCTTTCTAGTGTTGATATGTGTATTTATAATTTTGTAAAGGGCAGTTCTGCCTAAAACAGTCCAATTTCTATCAACTATTCTGGCTAGAACAACCGTTTTTATACTGAGATAAATTGTGAAAGTCCTCACCAGTCTGAGGCAAGAAAAGAACTTACTTGGGAGATATTCCTCACCCAAATTCACAATCGTTTGTTTTAGAAATCAGTAACTTGGGGCGCAAGTAATCTATTCTAGAAGAAGTCTGCTAGAATCTTCATTGGTAGCAGTGGCATGCTCATACACCGAAGAAAGCTGACTTGTGACCAATCAATGGTTTCCAAAATGGGTGAACACATATTAGTTAAATATATCACTAGGTGTAGACTAAAATATTAAAAGGGTTTTGTTAATAAATATTTGGGCCAGACTTTTTAAAAAGAACTATAAATTATTAATAAAACTTTGTGCCATGGCCCAGGCTTTTTTTTTCTTTCCCTAAACCCACAAGTAGCGAAATGGTGAGTTTCAACTAAAATGAGGCATAAGCTAGGGCAAATTGGTGTGAGAAATAACTAACGCACAAATTAAACCCTATAAATTATGCAATCGTAGTACGCGTAAGTAGGGATCGTTCTATTCCGGGGATTAGGAGGGATGCTAATCAACACAAATTAAACTTATTAAACTGGAAAACTAAGTTAAGGGAACAATGATTGGGGGGATTTGACGATTTAGACTAAAGTAAAACTGACAGCAGCAAACAACTGAGTTGTGAATGAAATATGGATTAAGGGATAGCTAGAGGATTCTTCTCCACACATGGAACATATGCACACAAATCGATCTCCAGTTACTCTTTCTATAAAGTATGAATGACAAAGCCCCAAATTAATTGTGAATGCACTAATTAACTCTCAGATTTTCCTAAGTTCATTGAATTGAAGTCAATCAAATTATCCTTATCAAGTTCCCTATATGAACAACATGATAGAGATACATATCAAAGATCATTAAGTTCTATGAAAATCATAAGCCTTGACAAGGCAATTGTAACTATGAAAAGCATGATACTCCTGCCAAGAATTTACTTAACGCAATCATGACTAGTGACTTTTACTACTTGTGAATATAAGTTCATAACGATTAGGTGAAATTCCCTTATATTCTAGCATCAAATCCCTGCATACAAACTAAGTATGCATCCTTAATAAACATGCAAGAATAAGTCCTCAATAAAACAGAAAAGTAAATCACATTCATACTTTATGAAACCATAACTGGAAGTAATCAATTCATATAAAACATATGTCCATGGCTTCGAATTCACCTCTAACTAAGAAGAAATTCAGTCACACATGTTCATAATAATTGAAAAGCAATCTAGAATAAACATTTAAACTAATCAAGGGAAAGAACTCTGAAAAACCCAATGGATGCAGCAGGTTCCGGCTCCAAGTTCTTCTTCTCTCTTTCTCCTTCTCGCTACGGCACCAAAAGAACTCCCTTCTCCTGCGGCAACCCCTCCTTTATATATGTGGTAGATCTAGGGTAAAAGGGGCCAGCAAAAACCCACGAAATTAGGGTTTTGTTTGGCAGATATCTTTAGGAACAAGGATAGGGCCCAACAGAAACCCACGAAATTAGGGTTTTTAGGTTTCCTAATATGAAATTAATCCCCCCCCTTTTCCAGCTAGAATTTAGGTAGAATAGGATTAGGATAAGGTAAAATAAAATAAAATCAATTAGGGTTTTTTTCCTTCCCAGAAGCTGATTCTTGAAATAATTTCCCCATCTTTTTAGCACATTCCTAGGCTCTTTGAACTTCAAAAACGTCCATCCCTCTTGGCCCATGCATATGCTATCCATTCCAAGTCCAAAACTGCTCTAAAATGCTCCAAAATGCCCTTTCTTGCCAATCTTGCCATTTGGACCTACAGTAGTACGAAAATAAGGTAAATCACTCTAATAAATGGGAATTAACTAAGTAAATGCAAAGAAATAAGATAGTAAAGTCGCATAAATATGCTCCTATCACAAATCACCAACATCATCTTCTTCGTTGCCTCTGCAACCCAAAAAAAAACTAGTCGTGGTGCTGCCAGAGCAGAGTAGATGCATCTGGAAGAAGTTTAGAGAGCAGCGCAAAGCAAGCCCAGAGGGGACTTTCATCGAGCACCTTATGTGCAGACAAGAGGTCACCCGAATAACGGCCAAAGATGGAGTTCACAGCGAAATTTCTCGCATCCCAAGGGGTCGTGTGACCCCTGTTGTCCCAAGTGCGTCCGCCTCTGGGAGAGAGAGCGTTACAAGTTTTCCAACCATATATAGCACGTAACTTGGAAAATTCGGGAAGGCTTCCATTTCTTCACATTCACGTAACATGTATGAAACTGTCTTGTCTGCACGTGGGCTAACTTTACTTGTAATACTGTACCAATTGGCTTGGTAGAAAATTCTAGAAAAATCATAGATTGAACTTCAAGATGTTAGCTTTCATCTCCAATTGGCCTTGCTCTAAAATTCCTCCGAAAAGTTGATTTTTCCTTAAAAACCTTCTAAGAGCGCAGAAAAGCTGAAAATCAGAAAAGTAAAGTAATAAGCCCTTTTTAAATCTAATTCTCCTACAAACCCTAAGTAAAAAGAGTACATAAATGAGTATATTTATGGACTTATCAAAATACCCACAACTTAGATTTTGCTAGTCCTCGAGCAAAACAAAACGGAAAATAAAAACAAAAAAACAACGACTCAAAACAAACAAACAACTAAATTCCCAATATTGATCTCAGAGATAATCACCAACGGTTAACTCACTTCCAAGAAATAAGCAACATTAACTCAAGACATTATCAAAGGGTTAACCAAACTTTAATTGAACAACTTGGAGTGTCGTGTGTGAAATAGCCAACATTAATATAACCACGACTTAAGCTTCACAAAAGTTAAATAACCAAATAAGAACAAGCTTTAACTTCAATTCTCACCAAGGATGTTCACTCCAATGAAAACACTCGAAATTTGACTAGGTAATGTCACTCATGTATGTGAGAAGAATCAAAGCAATAGGATGTACTCACATAATTGAAATAAAAGCACAAGACATGAATAAAAGATCTCATGGGAAGATATCGCATACTTGAAAATATTTAAACCATCCAACCATAGTCCTTCCACACATTCTCCACATGAGGAATCACACTTCTCCTTGGATCAAGTAGGACTTTCACTAAGGTTGAAATAGGGCTTAGGGTGATGGGTGAAACAAGAAAAAGATATGGATGAACAAACGAAGTCTAAGGGCTAAGTAAAGCTTTCCATGAAATTATAACATCTTGCACTTTAGCACACAATTTTATCTTGATACTGTCTTAAATATATATATATATTTTTTTTACTTTTTTTTTCTTTCTAACTCCATTAGCTTTCTAATCAACCCATGTAACAAGTGTTAGGCCAATAACTCCCAAGCTAAATAGCTTTAGGGTATTAAGTGTAAAACACTCCTCGGGCTTAAAAACTCGAGTTGAAAGGCTTCGGAATCATACTTTCTTTTTTCTTCTTTTTTTTTCTTTTTGAAACAGTATCATATACACATGATTGAACATTTTGTGCAATTCTCCCTTAACCATGAAAGTGCTCTACAAAGCTCCTTAAAAGGGTGTAGGATAAATATACAAAAGGTTAAGGTGAGGAGAATTGGGTAAAGAATGATAAAGGCTTACATAGAAGGCACAAGGGGTTGACTAGGGATAAAATTGATATGGGTTGGCTAGAAAGGCTCAAACGAATGAAACAAGGCCTATATCACTTCCTGGGATCCATGTGGTTCATGAAATATGCCTCAAATAAATAATGAAAGTAGTTCTAGCAAACAATTTAAACATCCTCAAGTATTTGACCAAAACAAAGAATAATGAGATCACAACGACTTGTAGGTGAGAAAATTATAGAATAGTATATAACACTCAAGAAAGAAAGAGATAGGCTCAAAAGCTCACATAATAAGGGTTGTATAAGTCTACACTAGCCTTATTTGGGAATTTAAATCATGTGAACTCCAATCGAAAATCATATTAATATGGCTATGTGCAAAAAGATTTACCAAGTCTAATCACAAGAATAAGGCTAACACAAAGATAATGTAAAGAATTATTGTCATGCTCATAACTTCTTGAAAGTAACTTGTAAATAAAATTCAATCTCATCATAGAATTGGGAAGTGACTACTACAAACAAATAAAAACAAGACTCAAAGTAAAAGAAAATATTTTTTTGATTTTATGACATTTTTCTGATTTTTTTTTTATATTTTAAGGAGAGACAAAATTAGAAACAAGACAATACTCAATCACCCACAACTTAAAATAAACATTGTCCTCAATGTGTAAAATAAAGAAATAAATTAATGGATAATCAATTAAAGAGAGAGAGGGTTTGAGGACTTCCCGGGTTTTCTAGGTGTGCGGAGGGGCAAGAATTTGTTGAAGTGAGAGGAGATAAACAAGGCAACGAACTCAAACACCCACAACTTGTGTCTTTGAATGCCAACGGACTAGTAATAGCTCCTAAAAGTCTCGGAATGTGATGAAATTGGAACGAAATTGAGCTGGATATGTAATCATAAAAATCTGGAAATCTGACATTTAGCAACGAAAAATCTGATGAACACCGCGGCAAAAAACTCTTTAGTGACGAAAAATCTGATGAACACCGTCGCTAAAACCTCTTTGGTGACGAAAAATCTTCAAATTCTGGGCAGAACAGCAGCTGCTGTTTTTAGTGTTTTAGGACCTTTTTTTGAGCTTCAAATCATCCTAAAACATAATGTAGGCCACTGGAGGCCCCCAAACCTGGTCCAAATCATTAGAATAATCATTCTAAACATGTTGGTGGCATCGGATTGACCTGAAAAACAGCAAAAAATAAATTAGGCAGAAATTCTAGTTTTGACCAAAATAAGAACATAAAAGCTATTTTTCTGTTTTCTGGTATCTAAACTCAGCCAATGACCAAAAAAACTTCTGGAACACATTTGGAACATGCTGCAAACACCCTAGGGCTATAAAAATGTGAAAATTTTTCTTTGGAACACAAAATCCATTGTTTGATGACGCAAAACATAACAAAAACAAAAATTTGAAAATTTACGAGAAATCACACATAAACTAAAACAAAAGTTAAGAATGGTTGGGTTGCCTCCCAAGAAGCGCTAAGTTTAAAGTCTTCAGCCAGACGCGGTTCTTTAGATGATTAAACAATAGATGGGGGTGGTGCATCCACAAGCATGCTCTCTTTTCCAAGCTCAAAAGATTCATAGTATGGCTTCAAGCGATGTCCGTTCACTTTGAATATGTTTCCCATCTTGTCATTTTGAATCTCAACTGCACCATGAGGGAAAACATTAGTAACAACAAAAGGACCATACCATCTAGAACGTAACTTACCTGGGAATAGCCGAAGGCGTGAATTGAAGAGCAAGACTTTCTGCCCTATTTCAAAGGTCTTCCTTTGAATGGCTTTGTCATGAAATGCCTTCGTCTTTTCCTTGTAAATCCGTGCACTCTCATAAGCATCATTCCTCATCTCATCCAATTCATTCAATTGGAGTCGCCTTGCATCTCCAGCCTCTTTCATATCGAAATTGAATTTCTTGATTGCCCAAAATGCTCTATGTTCAAGCTCAACCGGAAGGTGACATGCTTTACCATAAACCAAACGAAAAGGAGACATACCAATGGGGGTTTTGTAAGCTGTCCTATATGCCCATAATGCTTCATTAAGTCTCAAACTCCAATCCTTTCTCGTAGGGCTCACGGTTTTCTCCAAGATTTGCTTGATTTCTCGGTTACTAATCTCTACTTGTCCACTTGTTTGGGGATGATAAGGTGTCGAGACCCTATGTGTAATTCCATACCGCTTTAAAAGTGCCTCAAATGACCTATTGCAAAAGTGAGTGCCTCCATCACTAATAATGGCTCTTGGTGTTCCAAACCTAGAAAAGATGTTTTCCTTCACAAAGCTCAAAACAACTTTTGAATCATTAGTCCGGGTAGGAATTGCTTCCACCCATTTAGAGACATAGTCAACAGCAAGGAGAATGTAAATAAAGCCATAAGAGGAAGGGAATGGTCCCATAAAATCAATACCCCACACATCAAATATTTCAACAATAAGGATAGGCGTTAAAGGCATTTGATTCCTAGAGCTGATGTTACCGGTTCTTTGACATCTATCACATGTGGAACAATAAGTATATGCATCTTTGAACAAGCTCGGCCAATAAAAACCACATTGCAATACTTTAAGGGCTGTTTTCTTAGGACCAAAATGTCCACCACATGCAGATGAATGACAAAAGGTAAGTATAGAATTAAATTCATATTCGGACACGCACCTTCTAACAATCTGATCTGGACAATATTTCCATAAGTATGGATCATCCCAAACATAATACTTACTCGTTTTGACAAGCTTATCCTTTTGAGCTCGAGTGAGATCCTCCGGAATCAGTTTTGAAGCCTTGTAATTGATAATGTCAGCGTACCAAGGGTCCTTGGCTTCGAGGGTGAAGAGTTGCTCATCGGGGAAACTTTCACGTAGAGGAAGCATGTCCTCTTCTTCATTGGATCCTTGCACCAGCCTACTCAAATGGTCAGCCACCACGTTTTCACTCCCTTTCTTGTCTCTAATCACCAAATCGAATTCTTGAAGCAAGAGAGTCCACCTAATCAGTCTTGGCTTGGCGTCCTTTTTTTGGAAGAGGTACCTAAGCGCTGCATGATCAGAGAATACAATTACTTTAGTGCCAATAAGATATGATCTAAATTTCTCTAAAGCAAAAATAACAGCAAGCAACTCCTTTTCCGTAGTTGAGTAATTCAACTGAGCATCATTCAAAGTCCGGAGGCATAATAGATGGCATGTGGTACGTTGTGCACTTTTTGTCCAAGTACAGCCCCCACTGCATAATCCGAGGCGTCACACATCAACTCGAAGGGAAAATTCCAATCTGGAGGTTGTATAATAGGGGCAGACGTTAAAAGCTCCTTAAGCTTGTTAAATGCAGCCAAGCACTCTTCATTAAACTCGAATTCCACATCTTTGCCAAGCAATCGACATAGGGGCCTTGATATTTTTGAAAAGTCCTTGATGAAACGCCTATAGAACCCTGCATGTCCTAGGAATGACCTAATCTCCTTCACGGTTGTGGGGGGCTGCAAGTTTCTCACAACATCGATTTTTGCCTTGTCCACTTCAATTCCCCTACAAGAGATAATGTGACCTAATACAATACCTTGCTGTACCATGAAGTGACACTTCTCCCAATTGAGCACTAAATTGCATTCCTGACACCTTTTCAACACTAGAGAGAGGTTGTGAAGACAAATATCAAAAGAATCACCAAAAACTGAAAAATCATCCATAAATACCTCTATTATCTCCTCCACCATATCAGAAAAAATTGACATCATGCAACGTTGAAAAGTGGCAGGTGCGTTACATAAACCAAAAGGCATACGCCTATAAGCAAACGTACCAAATGGACAAGTGAAGGTGGTCTTTTCTTGATCTTCCGGAGCTATGGCAATTTGATTGTATCCGGAGTATCCATCCAAGAAGCAATAATGACTATGACCTGCAAGACGCTCAAGCATTTGATCAATAAATGGTAACGGAAAGTGATCCTTACGTGTCGTGGTATTGAGCTTTCTATAATCTATGCATACTCTCCAACCCGTTTGAATTCTTTGAGGCACCAACTCATTGTCTTCATTCTTCACAACAGTAATTCCGGATTTCTTGGGAACAACTTGGACGGGACTCACCCACTTGCTATCCGAAATGGGGTATATAATTCCCACGTCCAAAAGCTTCAAAACTTCCTTCTTAACGACTTCTTTCATCACCGGATTCAGCCTCCTTTGGGCTTCCCTTGTAGGTTTCGATTCTCCTTCCAAAAGGATCCTATGCATGCACTTTGTAGGGCTTATTCCTCTGATGTCTGCAATGGTCCAACCTAGGGCAGTCTTGTGCTCCCTTAGAACTCGAATTAGTTTGTCTTCTTCGGATGCACTCAAATTAGAAGCAATGATCACAGGCAGCGTCTTTTTGTCACCTAAATATGCATATTTCAAGTTCTCCGGAAGGGGTTTTAGCTCAACTTGTGGTGCCTTCACAATAGAGGGAACAAGCTTATTAGTAGATAATGGAATAGGCTCAAAAATAGAGTTAAACTTACCTCTTTGGGGAGGCAAGGCCTCAAGTATATTCACAGCTTCAAGTACAGCTATGTTCCCTTCTTTATTCACTGTTTCGGGGCTTTGGATGAGTGCCCTCTCCAATGGCGTCTCTCCTTGTGATGCACTAAATGTTTCTTGTACCATTTGTTCAAGTACATCTATGGAAAAACAAGCATGATCATCGTTAGGATATTTTAAAGCATCAAATACCTTAAACTCCACGGTTTCCTCATCGAATGCCATTGTGAGAGTGCCTTCATACACATCAATTTTTGTCCTTGCTGTTCTCATGAATGGACGTCCTAGAATCAATGGAAGGTCTTTTCCAGGAATAGGAACTTCCTCCATCTCGAGCACTAGAAAGTCAGCTGGAAAAATTAGCTCATTCACCTTGACCAAAACGTCTTCCAACACTCCCTTAGGATACTTGATTGATCGATCAGCCAATTGTATGCTCACGGAAGTCTTCTTAAGCTCACCTAAATTTAAAGATTCAAAAACAGAAAAAGGCATCAAATTAATTGAAGCACCTAAGTCTAATAAAGCATGTTCAAACCTTTGATTTCCAATGAGACAAGGTATAGTAAAACTCCCTGGATCCTTTAGTTTAGGAGGCAATTTACGCAATAGCACAGCTGAGACTTCTTCACTCAAGGCCACGGTTTCATGCTCCTTGAACTTTCTCTTATTTGTACAAAGGTCTTTGAGGAATTTTGCATAGCTTGGAATTTGTTGGATCGCATCAAGCAAGGGAATGTTCACTTGCACTTTTCGGAAAGTCTCTAGGATATCCTTTGAAACTTGCTCCTTCTTTGAATTCAAAAACCTACGAGGAAAAGGAACTTTTGGAGTAATCGAATGATTCACAGGAGAACTTACCTTAGAGTTGTCACTTGGAACCGTAAGCTTGGAAAAGGGGGCAGCCACTGTTTTGGTTGAATTTCTCTCCTCCTTGTCAACATTTGCCACCTCTTTTCCACTTCGAAGAGTAATCGCCTTTGCTGTTTCATGGCCTCCATTAGGATTTGGAATGACTTGGCTTGGAAACTTTCCTGGCTCTCTTTGACTCAAGGAGGTTGCAATTTGTCCAACTTGGTTTTCAAGGCTCTTGATTGCTGTAGACATTTGTGCCTGTGTTTGCCTTGTTTCCTGCATAAAACCTTGAGTGCTTAATGCCAAAGAATTAATTAACTCTTCTAAAGACTTACCTTGCCCATGAGGTGGTGGTGCATTTTGTTGAGGAACAAACTGATTTTGTTGAACTGGGGCTGTTTGCACATTTTGGTTGTTCTTCCATCCAAAGTTAGGGTGTTGCCGCCATCCCGGATTATAGGTGTTAGAAAAAGGATCGTTTCTTGGCTTTTGTTGCTGCATATAGTGTGCTTGAGCCATCTCTTCTCCGTCACCATACAAACTTGGACAAGACTCCGTAGGATGTCCGGGATTAGCACACACGGCACACACTTGTGCTTGAGGGATTAATTGCTTAACAAGGTTAGTCAAATTAGCTATTTGAGGACCAATATCACTAGCACTTACCTCATAAACACCTGCTTTCTTTGGGGGAGCTCTCCGGTAATTAAATTGTTGAGAGTTTGCTGCAATGTTCTCAAACATCTCCTTAGCTTGAGTAGCACTCTTGTTCATCAAGCCTCCTCCACTAGTAGCATCAACCATCATCCTCTCCGAATCAAGTAATCCCTCATAAAAGTATTGCATAAGTAGCCAATCTTCAATTTGGTGATGAGGGCACGAAGCTAGGAGTCTTTGAAACCGATCCCAATACTCATGAAATGATTCTCCATCTAGTTGCTGCACTCCCATGATCTCCTTCCTAATATGGTTTGTCTTTTGAGCTGGAAAGAAACTTTGCAAGGAACTTGGAAGCCAATGCTGTCCATGTGGTGATAGATGCACTAGGTAAAGAATAGAGCCACTCCTTGGCTCGTTCCTTGAGTGAGAATGGAAACAAACGCAATCTGATTGCCTCATCACTAATCCCTCCATTGTGCATAGTTGCGCACACAGCAAAGAAATCCTTGATATGTATGTGAGGATCATCCCCAACCTTGCCATAGAATTGTGGCAAAAGGTGAATGGTGCCACTCTTGATCTCAAAGGTGGTTGTAGTGGCTGGATATGCAATGCAAGACGGCTGGTCCAATGCTTTAGGAACCGTGAAATCCTTCAAAGGTCGGGTGAGGTTGTTAAGTTCCAACGCGTCTCCCATCTTGATTGGAAGTGTATCTTGCTTATTTTTATCTCGACGGAGATAACGAAGTGTGTTCTCTAGTTCAGGGTCGTATGGTATAAGCTCGTGACTCTGCGAACGACGACCCAGCATATACCTGAAAATTGAAAACAAAACTCAATTAGATTGACAATCCCCGGCAACGGCGCCAAAAACTTGTTGGTAATTTTTAACAACAATATTTAAACCTTGCAAGTGCACAAATCAAATGATAGTATAGTAAGCAAGCAAGGGTCATTCCCACAGAGATTGTAATCTAGAGAGATGTTTATCAATGTCACGCAACGAAAACACAAGGACTTCCACACACACGCCAACACCAAGGGGGGTTTTTATTTGATTTTGTGAATAAACAAAATAAGGAAAACAAAACAAAACAGAATTTAAATTAGAGTTTAAAGAGAAATTGGTTTATAATCAATCAAGAACAATAGCTAGGACTCACTATCCACCTCTAACCAATCAATCAATTCATAAACAACAATAGATAATCAATTTCTAGCAATCATATGATGACGACACTCACAACAAGATCATGGCATTTGACTCGAGTTGTATGATTCTCTCTTAAGTGCATGTAAAGTGTATGGCATTTACATCAATACGTGTATTCTTAATTGAAATCTAGTATGGCATTTACTCAAATTAACAATCAAGAATCCATTAAGATCAAAGAGAATATGAGTGTCACAAAAACCCTAAAACATGGCATTTGTTATTAGGAATTCAAGAATCGATTTCTCATAACTAGTTCTTAACCCAATTATTCGTTGCAACAAGAACACATTCAATATGGCAATTGACCTATGTTCTACAACAATTTAATTCCAATACATGCTTCAAAGTTAGCTACTCAAAGAAACAAAATATCAGAATTCACAAAACATAGAGAAACCGAAATCATCACACTTGTAGAAACTGAAAATCCATTCAAACTTGTTTATAGAATTGAAATCATGTTTAGGGCTTCAAGATTAAGCCCTAACTAACAAGAAATTAGTTACTCATGCTCTTGGATGAACTCAAAAATAAATACATAAGAACTGAAACTTAAAAGAAGAAAGGAAAAGAAAGAACTCGTTGGCAGCTTTCTCCTCTTACGCGGTTGATCCCTTTTGGACGTGAATCTGTATCTGGGGCCTTGGCTGGCCTTTTATATCACTTATATCAGAGTTCTAAAACCCTAAAATTGACTGACAAGTCGTCCAAGAAGTCTTGGTAAACAAGGAATCCAAATAGGAAAGTAAAAATCACAATTCCTAACTCCACAGGGAAATACAGCTCAGCCCAATTGTCACACGATTTGGGGATCTTCGGCCTTGCAGAAAAATCATTAAAAATATATTTTAGAAAGATAAATGTCTTATCTTTCCAACCATATATAGCACGTAACTTGGAAAATTCGGGAAGGCTTCCATTTCTTCACATTCACGTAACATGTATGAAACTGTCTTGTCTGCACGTGGGCTAACTTTACTTGTAATACTGTACCAATTGGCTTGGTAGAAAATTCTAGAAAAATCATAGATTGAACTTCAAGATGTTAGCTTTCATCTCCAATTGGCCTTGCTCTAAAATTCCTCCGAAAAGTTGATTTTTCCTTAAAAACCTTCTAAGAGCGCAGAAAAGCTGAAAATCAGAAAAGTAAAGTAATAAGCCCTTTTTAAATCTAATTCTCCTACAAACCCTAAGTAAAAAGAGTACATAAATGAGTATATTTATGGACTTATCATGCTCCTTGGGCACATCACTAGATAAGATCACCTTTATTGGAGTTCTTTAGCGTGTAGCTATAGTGGGAAGGTAGGAAAAGGTCTTGAAAATGTTGAGATAATGAAATCAAGGTACCAGGTGGAGCCAAGAACTGAACATTATGCTTGTATGGTTGATCTGCTTGGTCAAGAAGGAAAGGTAAAGGAGGCAATGGATTTAATTAAGAAAATGTCAATTGAAGCAGATGAAATTGTATTGCATGATGTGGATGAAGAAGAAAAGGCACACAGCTTGAGTTATCATAGTGAGAAAATGGCCATTGCATATGGACTCTTGAAGGTGCCACAGGAGATGCCCATTTGGGTGATGAAGAAACTTCGAGTTTGTGGGGATTGCCATTCTGCAATTAAATTAATATCCAAAGTGATGGGAAGAGAGATCATATTGAGGGATGCTAACAGATTTCATCATTTTAAGGATGGCTTGTGTTCTTGTAGAGACTGTTGGTGATTGCAAACCTTGTGTTATGGGGATCGATCCTAGGAAAGACTGGTTTTGAGACAGGAATCATGCCTAGCAGAGTTAATTGGTCAAACTTGTTTTTAGACTGAAAACTTCACCATGGCAGGTAGACAATGATACTTCAAAATGATGATACTATTTATTATGCCATGAGGGGAACTTACTAAAATTGTGTTAGTATATGATTTTCAAATCAATCGAGGAATTTTGAGGTTCAAATATGGTCTATCCTCAAGGGAAAAGGACATGGAAGGAAAAAATATTTAGATGGTCCTTAATGCCCAATCTTATTGCATTGTCCTCTAAATTATACAATTGATAACTTCGAGTAGAGGTGTCAAACGGGATGGGCCGGCCCAGCACGGTGAAGGAAGTTGAGGTTCCACCCCAAAACCAATTGGCAATGGGGGGAGTAGTCCAACTCCTTATAAGCCCTTGATAGGTTTCTTAACTTTCCAATGTGGGACTCTTTACCTGTTAAGATTTCAGAGGGATGGACCCTTAGCCCACCTCTAGCAATATCGATATTGTCCCCAACTTGACCACCTATTAGCAGGTGTGGGATTTTATACAAAAGGCCTCGATGTTATTAGGAGTGGAACCATTTATTATATGAGACTTTCTATTTTGTTAAGCTTCCGATGTGGGACTCGTGTATTCTTCAACACTCCTCCTCATGTGGGACCACTTCTTAGTGGGCCACACGTGCAATCAATTCAACATTAGTCTTTTTTTTTTCTTTTTTCTTTTTTTTAATTTTTAATTTAGGGTTTTTTTGTTTGATTTGAGTTTGTTTGATTTGGGTTTAATTGGGCCCAGTCAACTGACCCGCTATGATACCATGTTAAGATTTCAGAGGAACAAACCCTTGCCCACCTCTAGTAACATCGATATTGTCCCCAACTTAACCACCTGTTTAGTAGCTGTGGGGTTTATACAAAAGACCTCGATGTTATTAGGAGTGGAACCATTATAATATGGGACTTTCTCTTTTGTTAAGTTTCCGATGTGCGACTCATGTATTCTTCAACACACGGCATGAGCGCAGCTAATTTAAATGAGGCATGGCACGGCACAAGCACGAATAGTAATGGGCCGTGCTCAGCACGGTACGAAAACTTGGGCAGGGCTGGGATAAAAAATGAGGTCCAATGGATCAGGCCGGCCCGTGGCCCGAGTCCGCTTCAAGCATGGCCCGAGCCCAAGCCCGCTTCAAGCACATCCCACTTAACTTTTTTTTTCTTTCTCAAAAGTCAAAATGCAAAATTTTGACATCTAATATCATTGTTTATATTTTTTTATTATTTATTTTTATAATCATAAACATATATTTGATGTCTTTTATTTTAAGGAAATTTCTTGGATCCGTAATAATTAAACATATCAACTACAAATTAATTTAACAACGTTGGACTTGATATCCAATCAGTACATATGACATATACGTTTCTCTTATAATCAAAACAAGACATTTTTCACATATAAAATAAAAAGTTGTTTAAAGATGAAAAGTTGAAGTGGACTTTGTGGAGTTATACACTTTCTGCCCTCCGCCCTTTTATATCATTTTGATGTTTGATTGATTAATGTTTTCAAATAGTTCATCATTTCTTGCCTCTAATTATATTTTAATGTTTATAATTTGAATTATCAAGTATAAATAAATAAATCAAGTGAAAAAACTTCAAATTAAATGGGTTGGTTCTTGGGGGCCGAGCATGGCACGAGCACGGGCACTGCACGAGCCCGGCCCGGCCCGTTTCAATGTGGACATGGGCTTTGGGCCGGGCTGGGATCAATGATTTTACTAAATGGGCCAGCATGCATAGCCCGATAAATTAAATGGGCCGTCCTGATACGACACGAAAACGTTAAAAGCATGAGTTTAAATGGGACGAGCCAGCCCGGCATGGTCTGTTGGATACCTTTAACTTCGAGTTTAGGGTCTACAACAAGGGGTCAAGATTTGAAACGGTTTTAAAGTACTTATGAGTGTATGATCATGTGAGAAAGGCGTGGGAAGATTGCTCACAGAGGTGAGTATCGTGTTTGTCTGCTGCATATTACTAGCAAATTCTCTTATGGTTAGGTATGTTTTCAAAATCGGGAGATCCTCACTGAAAATTGAGTAGGTATTCTTCTTTATTCAAACTTTCAATTCCTAATTTAATGACCAGATTTTCATCACTTGTCTTCTGGAATTGCCTCACGAAGACGCACCATCAGAAAGGATATCGAGATGACTACCTAATTGTTGTAGATCATGTTTAGTTCTTGCTGTTTGTCTTCTCCCTATTTTTGACAACATAATTGGGATGTAGGAACTTGCCTGAAGTACTGTAAATTTATTTTTCTACATTTGGGACATAGAATGAGGTAAGAACTTCCCTCCTCCATTTATTATACTGTCCTAAGTGTTTAGATTCAGATGACACGAAAATAAAAATTGCAGTTTTTTAAACGCAATTTGTACTTTTGGATCGTTCTCCTTTCAACTGTCCTTGACATACCAATTTGTTTCTTCATACGATTGACAGACTTAAAATTGGTTCAGTCCAAAAGAAAAAAAGCAAAAATAATTAGCAAGAAACAATTTGGTCAAGAATCATGACAGCATGCACGTATAATTTGCCCATTGAATATATGCTTGAATGACAACTTTTATATAAATTCAAGGAATGAGTGTTTGCATTGAAGTCTTTGCATGTTTGGCTAAACTGGAGGCTGCAAATGCTGACCTTGCAAAATCTTGAAGTAGAGGTTAATCTTTTTTGTTCAGCTCCTTTTGGCAGTGAAAGCTATATCATACTACACATTTCTGATCACCCACATTCTTCCCTCCTATCTTCTTCGTCTATCGTAAAAAAAAAAAAAATAAAAGTTTGTTTTTTTTTTTTTTTTTTTTTTTTTTTTTTTTTTTTTTTTTTTTATTTTTTTTTATCTTTTTTTGCAGCAAAGCAAGCATGAAAAAAAATGGCGAAAAAAAGGTATGAGAGCATATATGAGAATCGGGCAGAGAAGGGTGAGATTTGTTATGTGATTTGATATTTATATCACACACTCAAAAGTGTCACAATACAACATTAATTAAATAAGTTTTTTAATACCACAGTACTTTTAAGCTTCAAAAAGTTCCATTAAGATCTCAATTGAATACAACCTCCTTAATTTCAACTTGTTCCAATGATCACAAATATGCATGTCACCTGCAACATGTTATTATATAACAAACAAAGAGATAAGAGTAAGGAAAGGATCCAGCAACGCCAAAACAAAAACACACAACAACAACATAAGACAATAGCAAAACCAACAGAAATATCTTAGGGATATGAAATCAATAAAATTTTATATCCCAAACCATGTTTTGTTCCTAATAAAATTTTAAACATGAACCTGGTTTTATATCTCAAACCATGTTTATGAGTTATGTTATTATTTATTAATATAATGATAAAGGAAAATAAAATAAAATAAAACTCCCCCAGGAAATATAAGATTCAAATTAAGAACAGAAAGAGGAGACCTGAGTGATGAGCTTCTCAAACTCAGTCGTGCGTCAGAGAGTTGCTGCATCTCCATCATCCTCCTAATTGCATACAAGGCAAGTCCAATTTACAAAGATAAGAAAACGAAAAAAAATATGAGAGATTACGGAAAAATATAGACAAAAAGACTACAAAGAAAAGACACGATAATAATCTTGTGATCAAAATGAATAAGAGAATTATACAAATACTAAAAGCTTCTTGTGCATAAGATATGATGAAACTACCTCTCAGCTTCGAGTTGTTTAGCAATACGATTCAGATACATCATGTCTCTATCGCGCATTCTCGTCAACCAAAGAAAGCCTGTATATGTACCGACACCAACAAACAAAAGAGTAGCAGGGTTTGCCAT